ATACTAGGAAACGGAATAAACCTAATTTTAGGGCGAAGGTATATTTATATAATTAATAAATAAGGAGGAATTCTATAATAAGTTCGAAATAAATACGGAACGGATTTTAAAATAGGCCCTATAGTTAGGGAGGCTATAAGAATATAAATTGGTAATTAAGATTAAGAAGGTAAGGGAAATAGAAAAAACGTTTAGGGATATAAATTAGTGTATTTAATTATATATATAAAAGATCCGGCTAAAACTAGTAATTATTAAATTAGAACGGAATTATATTGGAATTAATAAGAAGCCGATTAAATATATATTAAATATATTGAAGGTAGCCCCGGAAGAAAATTAAATTATAATTAGACTAAGGGAATTAGAGAATTAACTATTCTATATTGCTATTATTTAATATTATATTAATATTACTATAAGCCTCAACTTCTTTAGGATTATAGTTATTTTCTAAATTAGAATTTTTATTATTATTCTTATTAAAATCCTCGGTAATAATGCTAATAAATACCGTTTTTATACTATAATAGGGCTAAATAGAAATTGAATTATTAACTAGACCTATAATTAAAATACAATTATAAATATTATAAATAATTTATTCGATATTAATAAATTATATAAAGGAAATTAGTAGAAATATTAATATAGGAGTAATATAGGGTATTTATAGTAGAGAAGTAAATATTAAAGTTATTTTACTTAATATAAACCGCTATTATTCCCTTACTAATATGTATAATATCGATAGTAGCTATATTAATTTTATTAGAAAGAAGGCGGACGGATTCTTCGACCTTCACAATACAAAAACGAATTATAGTAATATTATTACGAAGTATAGTAAAGTTTATAAAAATATCGATAGTAGTATAAATAAATTTTTTTTTTTTAATAGGAGATTTAATTATAATTATTAAATTAAAAACTAAGAAATTACTAATAAAGGAGGGTTCGGCGCTAATATAATCCGCTATAACCTATATAGTAGCTACGGCCTCTACCTTACTAATAAAAACCTTAAAATCGCTTTTAATAATATTATAACCGTATAGAGCCGTAGCAGCTTTAATAAAGGTATATACTAAAAGAGTAAATTTAACGTCCGGGTATTCCTCGGTCCTCTTTTACAACTAACATTTATAATAGGGAATAAAAGGATAGACTACTTTATAAATTAGAAATAAAAATACTATAGTAATAGTATAAATACTTATAAAAATCCTAAAAATATTAAGCCTAATTAAAAATAGTTTTAAAAACGGCTATATTCTAATAAATTAGAAGGAGGGTATATTAGAGCCTATAAGTATAAATTTTATACTATTTATAATTCGTAGGAGTCCGGAAATACTTTATAGTAGTATTTTTCTTTTTTAATATTTCTTTTAATAAATATTTCTAAACTTTTTTAAAGGTAATAGGTTTAATAGGGGCGTCGTCGTACAGCGAATTAATAGGGCCGATATTAAGAAATACTATATTCGAAGCGGCGCCGCCCTCTAAATTATTAGGGGAAGTTGTAACCTTCGTAGCCTTAACTGTCTTTAAAGTAAGCGTTTTTTTAGTAGCGCCGTTAGGTTTCTTATATAGTATTATAAAGTAGTAATAATATTAATTTAGGTTAGGTATGGGCGAATAGTAGGAGCGGATTCGGTTAAAATATAGATATAATATAATAAAGGCGGTAATATAGTATAAAGAAGAAAGAAGGGAAGGAAGGAGAGAATTAGGTCGAAATTTCCTTTATAGAAATATTTAGGCAGCCCGGGATAATATAATTAAGGAAAAATAGGATGAAAGACTATTAACTGTAGAGAAGCTATAGTAGGAGGACGAAGGAAGGACGGTTACAGGCTAGAGTCGGGTCGGCTATGTATATAATATAAATTTATAGCTTCGGTTATAATAGTGAGGTTATACCGAGAGGAAGGAAACCGGGAAGGTACAGAGCTAATATAGTGCTATTGCAATAGCGAAGCGGAGGGTTTTTACCCGGCTATTACAGTACGGTTTTTCCTACCGACTACGAGCGAAGTAGTACCGCGTGCCCACTGGGCGGACTATGTATATAGTTAGCGTGTATAAGACTAATAATAATATAATTACGCTACGGTCTCGCTATACTAGCACTAGATTGTACTTCAAAATATAATTTATTGAATATACTTAAAACCTTACGAAAATAAAGGAAGGTCTTCGGGTTACCCTCTATAATACTAAAAGTCTATACGGGGGGTAATTTAATTTTATAGTTCCCAAAGATAACGTAAGTATTAAGGACCTTATAAAACGCCCTACTTTACTAGTAAATAATAGGGTATAATAATTTTTATAACCTTTATTAATTAACCTACTAATAGTATCAATACTATAACTAAGTAAGTAAAATCCTATCCGGAAAGTTACGCTTTAAACTATTATAAATAAGAAAATCAACACTTTCTTATAGGCGGATACATATTGCAACAAATATAATCCAATACAATAATAAAACCATTCAACCAGGGCATAGAACGTACAAAGTCCCATACGGATTAAGTCTTTAAATTGACCCCAATAGCCATAGAGAAACTACTTTATTATAAAAATACCTTGCCAACCGTATAAATTCATAAGGATTAGTTATCTCTATAGAATAAGGAGGTTAATTAAAAGCGCCGTCACTAAAATCACGACCTTCCTTTATACTAGATAATAATGATAATGAGTTTCCAATGCGGTAGACTATATTGTAGTAGATTACTGGTGTTATTATTAATATACGTTAAAATATGGGGTATGGCTGCGTTGAGTGTTAAAAAGTGGATTTCTGAGCATTTCCAGCTATTTCGAGGAGAGAAAATGAAGTATAGTATTTTTAGAGAAATATATGGATTTAATTGGTTATTTGTGAGTTGTGGAGCAAAAAATTTATTGGAATTGATTTTGCAGCAATTTACTAGCAAATCTGTTACTGACCGCTTCGAACAGGGTTCAGTAAAAACGGCCAGTAAGGTTTACTGGCGGTATTTACTGGTTTGCCGAACGCGCCCTTAGTGTAGTGTAGTGTAATGTAATGTAGGTGCTTTCTCAAACAATTCCAGAAACCACTTCTTGCAAGCAGCAGCAGCCCCGCCGTCTTTGTCTCTCGGTGATATCGGAGGACTGAGACCGGGAGGGGATTTTGGAATGTATTTTGATTTTCCAGTACCGGTCCGTACTCCCGAACGTAAAACTCCACCGTCCTTGTTTCGCGACGGACGACAAGTTGGTGTTGAAGGCGAAATTGGCTCGCTGAATCTCAATGTTTGTTTCTTCTCCTCAAAGAAACCAAAAAAATAAAAAATAAAAAAGAGCCCTAATGTGAGGCGATGCCAACGGTCGCGGCGCGGCTTGTTTTCGTTGCTTTGCTTTTAGGGCGAGCTTTCCACAACGCTTTGTGTCTTGTTCGTTTTTCGCTTGCTGAGGCCGGCGCCCCCTGTCCAGTGTCCGCAATCCCCCTCCACCCCCTGGCTCAGGGGTAACACACACACTACTGTGTGCACTGACGAGATCTCTCACTCAATTCACCCTGCCCAGGGAAAATCACACACACACACACACACACGGGCGGGACAGTGAAAAGCCAAGTTTGTAATGACTTTTGTGTGTCCGTGCCTGCGCCTCGCTTCTGGACCGGACTGGATTGGACTGTGGTCGGCCTTCTCGGTCCGTTACACCATCTGGTAATGGTCTGTTCTCGTACTAGCTAGCGTTCTAGCGTAGTAAAAGGCATTTCCGGAGGTCTAGTATAGGTACGGTCTCGTGAACTTTTTGTTCTGGGCGTTCGTTTCTGCTTGTGTAGTGTAAGGCCAGGGCCAGATCCAGAGCAACGGAGCCACAAGGGGAAAAGATTGTATGTCTCGGGACAAGATTATGTCTTGGTTGAGAGACGAGGTGATGCACACACCGTGTGTGATGTGTTCGAGTCAGAAAAGGGCAGCGGTGCGGTCTTGTCCGGTAGACCTTTGTAGACTACAGCTCCGCTTCATCAGAGGAGGGGTCACGCGAGCAGCGCAATCAGCATGTGAGCGGGTTCTGAAGGCTGCCTCGGTTGTGCCGAGTATGACGACGGTGACGGAATAGACGACTCGCTTGTCCAAGTCTTTTTCATCGCCCGAGTTGCTTACGAATCGTGGAATGGAACATCTTTGAAGGTGGAAGATCAGTCTCGTCCTTAGTTTTGGCTACCGCAATGTCGATCTGGCTTCAGGGTCGATTGTGTCACGTCGAACGGGATTCGATGCGGCTAACGCGACTGACCGCGGTTGTTGACCACCTTTGATAGGTTTTGAAATCTCCGATCCACAATTGCTTCTCTGGCGGTTGGGTTTCAGCTTCGGAGAAAAGAATGAAGCGATAAGAAGTATGATCTGAATGAAGAAGCAACGAAGAAACCTAGGCTCGAGGCTGTGGTCGACCCTGGAGAGGAGCTCCGACCTGAGCCTGGAAGGGATCCTCCGATCAAGACGGACTGAGAGGGTACTGCTTCAAAGGCAAAAAAAGAAGCTCCGATGATAAGAAATAAAGGGCAAGCGAGGATCAAAAGGACGGTTATAGATAGGTGTATACGTCAACAACGGGGTCGCAGACGACGACCTCAACCTTGCCCTACGACTCTCACATCTCTTTCGAGATTGACACATGATTAACAAATTGGCAATCAACTTGCAGGCGGCCACTTTGTCGCCTCCAGAGCCGGGTGACGAATCCTGTGGTTCGGCCATTAATGTGCATGCTCACCTACCTACCCAAGGCGCAATGTTCGCTCATCGAGGTGTTATCAAGTAATCCCATGACTCTGGTTCTGGCTAGATTCGGTCGTTCGCCGGCCTGTCTTTTGCTTAAATGGAAAAGCCGCGCTCTGCAAGATTTTCCCCGCACTTTTGGTCGTCACGGATTGGCTGTCTCGTCGAGGGGTGGGTGGGCGAGTCGTGGAATGCTTCCCAACTTTCCAGCTTTCCAAACTCCAATCCGCCTGATCATTGAACTTCTTTCTTGGTTAAGGTCAGAGCACGGTGTTGGTTCGGACAGAGAGGAGAAGGCTGGTCCTCTCTCCTCCAAATCCCCTTGTCTCATGACTATCATGATGTTGTAGGTATCTTGCGAGAAACTGAATTGAGGGGGTACAGAATCCTGTGAAAAGGCACAAACGGATGTGCCTCAATTGGAAATCTCGCAGCGCGGCAAGTGACGGCAGGTTCGAACCTCGATAACCCGCATCGACATGTGTGACATGCGGAACATCTGGTCCCGTCAAGCCTGGCAAAATTATATGGTGAGACTGGAAGGAACCGATCGACTGACTGACCGATTGCTTCAACATCCTGTTCTCAAACGCGAGGACCCTGAACTTGAACAGCCTTTCCATGCGCCAAACATAACCTTTCAACAAGTATATCCTCTATACTGGTTATATCTTACGGTTAGGGTAACTCGTACATCTTCACTTCGCTGACTAATGGCTTGAGGTTAAGCCGGGTACCCTGACCCGACCTGATGCAGATAAGCACTAACAGCCCCATAGACCGTCGTCGTCGTCAGACTGCCATTGCGAATCCAACACTGACGATGGCTTGCCATACAAACAATTGCTGGATTTCCCATTGGAAATATGACCACACTCCCGAGCGGCCCAGGTCTTCTTGGTATTCCCAGTTCTCTGGACGCAATCGGCCCAAGTGCCCATCATCCCATCTGTTAGGTAGCGGAGCCCCACCCCGGCTAACCCCGCTGCCGAGAATGACGGGCTCGATCTACCGATTGACGACGACGGCCAGGCCGAGGCCCGGATCACCGGATTGAACGTCAACCGAACCAACTCCCATTCCTTGGCTCCGCTCCGCTCACTTACAGCATCTTGATTATTGATCACATCATGAATTGAGTTTCGCATTCTCATCCTGCTCAAACTTACCTCTACTTGCCGTTTCTGATTCCTCTCACACGTCCCTTAACTGCTGCTCCGTTATCGCAGTCATCGCAACGCAACCATGCCGCCAACTCTCCCCGTTATCCCACACTCCGGCCGGTATCTTCTCACCCGCACCATCACCCAACACCTACAAAGAACCACCACCAGCACCACCCGCCGCATCTCAACATCCCCTTTCCTCACCACCCATCACCACAGCAAATCCCCCATTATCACTTCCCTCGACCAACAAATCCCCAAACCCCCACCCAAGAAATGGATCACCGACCTCCCTGCCCGCCTGGGGAAATGCATCATCTTTGGCTGTTCTCCCTCTCAGATTAGAGATGCGTCGGTGATCTTGAGAGCGGTGGCGACGGAGTGGCGGGGGTTGTTGGCGGGTGCGGAAGGGTTCTTGACGGGCGGGAGGAGGGGAGTGGATTCGCGAGAGGTGGTCTGGGGGGAGATGGATAGTTTTGTGAGTTTGTTCTCCTCTTTTTTTTTTTTTTTTTTTTTTTTTTTTTTTTTTTTTTTTCCCCTTAGTTGATGAAATTTGGGGGATGTGAGGGCGGGGTGGGGAGAAAAGGGGAGGGGGAAAAGGGGAAGAGGAGATGGAGGATGGGTGGGAAGGGTCGGAGAAAAAATGGGACTGGAAGGGGGAGTTGGGAAGTCATGGAGGAGATGGGGAAGAGAGGGGGGTGAGAAAGAGAGAAAGGAGCGGATATGGGAGAACAAATCGGATGAGAATATATTGGGAGATGTGCAAGGGGATGGATGATCGAGAAGAGGGGGGTGATGGCGGAAGGTGATGGATGGGAATGGTCGAAAGGTGGATGTGGTGAGAAGGAAAAAGGGCAGGGTGAAAAAGAAAAGAATACGAAGGGCAGAGAGGAGAGAGTGTGAAGCAATACAGCTGGATTAATGGGGCGCTAAGTACATCAGGATAAGAGCTAACGAGAAGCAATAGGGCCACGTAAACAACGTCAACTACTACCGCTACGCCGAATCCGCACGAGTCAACTGGATCACCAACTTCTCCGTGCACGTCGACCCAGCTCACAGGCAAGAGTGGGCGGAACTAATGCAGCCAAAGGCCATCGGTCTAATCATGAAGTCCCTAAAGTGTGATTTCAAATTCGTATGTCCTTTTCCCCTCCATGATTCCCTTCCGCCTTCAACCCCCCTCCTCCACTAACCCTCCCCCAGCCAATGGTCTACCCCGACCGTATCTCCGTCTACCACCGCCTCTCCACGCCGCCCCAGCACGGACAAACCAGCTTCCACCTCGACTGCATCGTCCTCTCGCACCAACATCGCCGCGCCGCTGCCCGGCTGGAAGAAGACGTCGTCATCTACGACTATCGCAAGGCAGGCAAGACGGCCATGCCCGAGTTTATGTTGACTCAGTTTGAGAAGACGTGGAAGTTGCAGCAGGAGGAGACGATCAGGGCGCGCAAGAGGATATGGGAATTGATTGCCGGAGTGGAGAGGTTAGAGAGGGAGACGTGGGATCGAGAAGGTGCGAAGGAGGATATGGGCAGTGCGGTCAAGGGGTCTTCGTCTTGAATAAGGATGACGGGAGCGACATAGGACTGAAATGTTGAACGGAGATGGGGTTATGTGGCTGGAGAAGGGGTTTGGATAGCAGGTAAGTGAACGATATCCGTGAGTTCCATGGCGGAAAGAATATGCTGACAGGGACACGGAGAAGAACTGATAGTAATAGAACTGTAACGCCACCACTTGAAAGTCGAAATGTTCATGTTGGGTGGGCTGCCCGATTCCAGCATGTGAGCTGATAAAGAAGGGAAAAGAAGATCCGCAGCGACAGCCGGTATTAGGCCTCTCTCGAGACAACTTGAATCCCACTTACAAGGCCAACGGAGACTGACTGATTTTTCCCGACTTTCTTCAGGCTTGGTCTTAGACATTGCAATCGGCTTGTATTGAAAGACGCAAAACTTTCTGTTATACCAGTCTTCCATCCTGACTTTCCTCATCATCTCGTCCAGACCTTTTATCAGCGATCGGTCCTGGATGTCCAACCTTGATTTGACTACCACTCGTCGACTCGCTAGACATCAAGACCTTCAGCCTTGTAAACATCAACATCGCCACCAACACGCTCTACTCGACATTCTTTGCGGGTCTACATATACCAACCGGTCATGCTGCAGGTATGAACCTGCTTTCAAGGCCACTTGTTTCCGACGAGATATCTTGCTGAATACAAGTACATGTGGTCACATCTAACTCACAGACCATCCACACCGCCACCATCCCAGCCATCGTCTGCAGAACTACCTCGAACCATTACGGTTATATGTCTTGCTACGGCATTACGAGTATCCTCGCCTCGAAGTTCCGGACTAAGGAGCCCTAACACCACCGCCGATATGCCGATATACCGATGACACTAGCAAACACGTCACTCAATACACTGAAAAGGAACAACACCACCGTACCGCAGCGACTCGAGGAATACAACTTGAGCTTTCCCTGGAAAACAGGCAGAATCTGCAAGCATATGTACTAAGATAATCATACTTCTCTGCCCACCAGAAACTTTATGCAAGACGTTGATTTGGAAAGTGTCATTTTGGAACTCGGTAGGCGGAAAAGAACCTCAAAGCCGAAGAATCCAATATCGGGGCTCGCAAGCTATATCCAACAATTTTTTTTCTCTGGCATGAAATGCACATATTCGTGCAGTGTGCTTACAGATTCTGCCTGATTTCCAGGAAACCTAAACTCGGGGGCGGATAGCCCGAGCCTTCGGATACAGACGACTCCGAAGCTCAAAGGGCGCGGCTGGCGCCAAACGGTGGTCATACTGCATTGGCTGCACGAAAAAGCATACCCGCCCCAGCCCTGGATATGCCGTGTATGTGGTGTTTTGATCACAAGGAACAAAAATTGGTCGTGCATGGCAACATGGATCCTTCACCCGAACGTCTGGCAGTCATCATCAGCCTAAGCCAGACAGTCTGTGTGAAAAACAATTGCCACATCTTTCGTGGTCCTTTGGCCCGTGTTGCGCGTCTGGAATCCAGTTTTCACGCGATCAGCCTGGTTGAGGAAAGTTCATACCGCAGAAGATGCATGTACAAACCCATCTTCACAGTCAACAGCCTTGAAGCAGCAGAGCGGGCCCTGAATAATGCAGGTAGAGTGAGAGAAGAAGCATGGCATTGCTTTTATTTATTTTTATTTTTTATTTTCCTTCGGCACGCATGCGATGCACATACGCCGCAAAAATATGGAAGTCCTTCGGATTCCATTTTTCTCTTACGCATCTTGCCTTCGTGGCCTTTTCCAATGGCCGTCAGGAATTGTATAAGAACTCGCTCCTCCCCCCTTCTGGCAGTTGTGTTTTTTCTCCATCATCATCATCACACACACACACACTCCAGACCTCTTGACCACTTCTTCTGTTCTCATCAACAAAGAACTTTACCACTCCAAGACCTCTTGATCACTTCTTCTGTTCTCACCAACGAGCATATTCAACAAGAAAAGCTTTTGCCGTTTCCTCGTGCCATCTACTTCAACAACAGTATTCGCCCTACCAACTCGAAAAATCCAACTGGAAATCAGTCAAAATGTTTTTCCCCAAGATCCTCATCGGCGGCGTTTTTGCCATGCTCCAGGTAAGCTCTTGGTCTACTGCGATCGAAACCAAAACACCCACTAACACTCTTTACAGATGCAGCCTGCCGCCGCAATTCCTATCAATGCCACCGCGATTTCTACCTCTGCCAACGCCACGATGCCAGCCAGCATGACCCTCGCGCGTCGGATCATCGATGTCGACACGGTCGACTGTCATGACGAATGGTATCAGGAACCGGCAGTCCGCACCAAGATTGCCATCACAAAGTTTATCCGAGAGGGCATGGAGTACCTCAGACATGTCGCTGGCGTCCCCAAGCTCGGTCCTGGTTCCAACAACTGCGAGCGGGTCAGCTGCTCAATGTCGTCAGCCATTGCCTGGTGCAACCACGTATGTCCTACCACATGAACCTGAATAACGATAAAAAAAAAATCATCTATTGATCCCTTACTTACTTCTTCTCAGGACCCCGACAACTCAAACGAGCTCCCTTCGTATGAAACGATTGCCGAGGCCGCTGAGATCATCCTTGGGTGGTGCAAGGCGAGTAAGAAAGAATTGCATATCAAGGGCCAGGTCTATTCGAAGCAGAAGTGGAGTGTCATTATTGAGGGAGATGATTGCTGAGACGGGAGGTGCGCCTACCTATCCTCTAGACATTTTTACGACAAAGGCATGAGGAGCATGGGCATTATCTATCCGAGTGGGCGTCAGTTTTGATCACGGGTTCATGCATTGTACAGGGCACAGGTTTGCCAGGACGGAAAATGTTAGGTAGCGACCCCAGGATCAGACGAGGTGGTCTTTTTGTTTTGTCTGGTCAGTTTTTGGGTCTTTGGGTCTGCATATAACATATCTCACGAAACAACAAGCTGAGGTGGAACTTGGATACCTCCGTCCACCGGAGAATAAGTTCCACTTGTCATATCAGTCTTCGGACACGTCGAGGTACAATTGATCTCCTTCTTCTTCTTCTTCTTCACCCTGAATTGCCGTAACTCATGACGGGCGTTGAACGTGGGGATATTCGACACTACCTCTAAGGTATGTTTGACCTAAAAAGATGTAAGAAGTGAAAGTCTTTGTTGACAATAAGTTTTCCATCACACATCAGCTTCAGGAACACCACAATTCCGGAAAAGCAATCCAGTGCGTACCATTGCGTCAACACCATTACCTCTATCGTTACCTTATGACAACTGAATGCACAGCAGCCGTCCTCATCGTATCCTCAGTCCTTACCTCCGGGTCTGTTCTGCTCATCTCCCTAATCCAGGTTTGTTCCGAATCCCGTGCAATTGTAGTTTTAGCGGACATTGACTTACATCTACCTTATGGGTCGCAGGTTCTTCCTTATCGCAGCAGTGCCAGCTGCTTCGAACGAACCTCGACAGCCCCATCTCCGGCTATGATATCCAGGAAATTGTCTTGGCACTTCAGGCTGCTGCGGGCATTTCTGCCGTCCATGTCACGAGAACCATTCAGGATGTCATCCAGTATGCGGAGAGAGTCAACCCTGGATCCCACTCCAAATTCACCCTCACCCAGCAGCCTCTCAAGGACGAGAGATTCGAGGTCAATAAGTTCAGGTTCTCCTTATTCCCAAGATTGGAAGACACAACGGCACGACTGACGCTATCTGTTAGGACGAAGAGAGCAAGGAACTTGACAGCCATGTTAGCATTGCGGAGGCTAGGTACTCAACAGCTTATTGATAAAGGTCGAATGGGCGCCTTTGTTCGTTATCGGCCTGATCCCCTCAAGGGCCATTGGAATGTCATCATCCAAAGAGAGAATGGTGCAAGAAGACAAGTTGTCGGGGAGCGAGTGAATGCAAGGCGACAGATAGGGAAAGAAGAAAGAAGCAATGATGTGGACTAATGGGGTAATAAAGTCGATAATCAGCGAGTTCCGTCTGATATCGTCATAGGCCGTGGCCGGCTGGAGTGGATTGATGACTCCCGTTTTGATGCTGATGGTTCAGTTGAGACTTTGTTATGATGGGAAGATGTGCAATTCCCATGGACAGCCATGAATTCTGTTATCTTCTGTTGATCAAGGCACCCATCAGTTTGAGGCGTTAGAAAGGGCGACTACAATACGGTGCCGGTTGACCATGCCAGCCCTTGCCAGCCATTGCCAGTAAGTGCTGGCCAGAAAGGGGCCCGTGACAGGTGGCAGCTGGTCATAGCTCAAAAAGCAAGCACACGGACAAAGGTCCGGTAATCACGTGATGCAACCAATGGGCATTAGGTAAGCAGGGCCACGGTGGAGGCTGCTATCTCTGCAGTGCGGTCTGCGAATGGAACTCCATCCAAAGGCGGGTCCGGCTGCGTTGCGCGAGAGGAGGGACCCAGTTCTGGCTGAGACACCAACCACAGCCCAGGAGCCCCGACCAGTCAGGCTAGTAATGACATGACCTGACCACCAGCGACCGCCGCCGCCGCCGCCGCCCCCAGTCCACACACCACAACCAACCCGTACACTACACACTACACAACAACAGCATCTTCACACGAGTATCCATTGACGGGCGCGACACCCAGCAAACACGGTTTTATCGGCCGAGTATCGACAGAGGACGCATAGTGTACACAATCATTACCGTACGTTTTTGCCCTCCAGTCCAGTCCAGACTCCTTGGCTCCGACCTCCATCCATCCAGCCTTGGCCCAGACCAGATACCAAGGTAGCCTCGAGCGACGGGAGTGGGAGACTTGGTGGTTAGGTTGGCAAGTCAGTGTGAGAGTGGAGGAACAGCCGGGTGCCACCCAGCCAGCCCGGCCACGGCAACGGCACTGCTCCTATTCCCACCACCACCACCACCACCATCATCGAGTCTACCTCCAGTCTCACTCACTCTCTCTCTCTCTATCTCTTTGGATCAGCTGCTAGTGCGGCGCATCGCATCTTATCTGATCGTGTCCACCTTCTTGTCCCTCCCTGGCCTATTCTTACCACGAAAGACCAAGCTCCTCTTCCAGCCAAGGTGGTGATATTCCTCCTCTCTGCCTCACCAACCACACGTGACACACCCCCTTTGCTCGTTACCAGTCTGATTCATGAACTAACTTTCGTCTCGTCCATTGCGCTCGTGCTTAGGCTTGTGCTTCTAAATCACTACATGCGATTAGACAACCGTTAACTTGCGTCGATCGTCGAGCTTGCCTCTTGCCCCCCCCTTCTCAACTCAACCACCCTCTCCGAGAAGAATTGAAACGGAACCCACCCGACTACCACTTACACCGACGACGTCACCTTCCTCTCCCCGAGACGATCGACGGTTCAGCGAGTACTCACCGCGCGCGTCAAGACAACCCCACGGCACTCCACGTGCGGTTCCTCCTTGCGCTGCTACGACTACTACACTAGCTCGTGCCCCCCGCTGCCTGCTGTGCTGTTGCGCTGCTGTCGTTGCCGGATGGCCGTCTGAACGTCTGGCACCATCCCCCGCCAACGGCAGACGCTTAGGACACTGCATCCATGCCCGAAGAAGAGACTGCTGTGCTCCATGCCAACTTTGCTTTTCCACCTCCCGACAACATCGACTACCCGAACCTGGTCGACCCAGATAGCTGTTTCACGCGCGACCCTCGCGCCCGACCCCACCACCTTCACAGGCCTGCTCGCCATTCGTCGTCGCTAGATGGCAGATGGTCACCGCTATATGCAGCAGTCCTTCTTGACCCCTCTGCCCACCCAGTTCGCCTCTAACAACCACCTCGCGACGGGACTCCTCCTGAATTCCCTGCTCAACCAGTTTATCGCCGACCCCTCCGCCGCCCAGCAGCAAGCCGCCGCCCAAGCCAACCCCGCCCACAGCTCTGCGACCCAAATTAATCGAGGCATGTACGGCCAGAACCACCCGCAGGGGCACAACCCCCGACTCAATGGCGCCGCGCCAGGCCGACAACCCAACATGCCCATGTTCTACAACCACGTACCACAGCAAGGCCATCCACACCAGGGGCACAATGCGCACCACCAGGTCCTCCAGGCCGGCCACTCGGGGCATGGCGCGAGGAACGACCTGATGAGCCATTCGACCTTCTCGAGCGGCATCATGGGCAACGCCAGCCCTTACACTACCAACAATCTCCAGAACGGCCACTCGGTCGCCGCTAGGGGCGGTCCGGCTGAGCAGCCCGCCAACGAGCATTGGCAAAAGCAAATGCGCCTAAAGGAAGAGTCGGATCGCGCACATTCTGCAATGACGGAGCAGCACCAACCTCATTACTACGCGCGGCTTAAGGCGCCCGAAAATAAGGGGATTGGAGGAGCCCTGACTGCGGGTGGCACAAACGCCTCGGGTGACTCCGAGGAGGAAGTGAGGAGAAGACCCTACCAAGTGGAAAAGAGGAATAGACGACAAGACTGGCACAATCTGGACATGAGTGGTCAGGGCCTGCGCGCTCTTTCCTCGGCGCTGTTCAGCTATGACTTCTTGGTAGAGCTCTATATCGCCTCCAATCGATTAACGTTCCTCCCCGCCGAGATTGGCAAACTGCGTCACCTCAAGATTTTAGAAGCGTCCAACAACCTACTATCCGAGCTTCCCCCGGAGATTGGCATGTGCACCAGCCTCGAGAAACTGCTTTTATTCGACAACCAAATCAGAGATCTGCCCTACGAATTGGGCTCCCTTTACAAGCTGGATATTCTTGGTATTGAAGGAAACCCAATCAACCCGGGTCTCAGGGAAGAGATCGTGGAACGTGGAACAAAGAGCTTGATCAATAGCCTACTTGAACAAGCACCAGGTGAGTACCACATTTGTAGCTCGTAACAGCTGTCAAGCTAACGCGCTTATTGCAGTTCCTCTTCCTCCCAGTCCTCGGAAACCCATCGTCGTACAAGAAGACGTATCGCCCAGTCTCGAGCGGATCAAGGTGATGACCTGGAATATCCTATGCGACAAGTTTGCGACAACCACCATGTACGGTTATACGCCTACGGGAGCGCTCTCCTGGGAATACCGAAAGGAGAGGATTCTCCAGGAAATACGGGACAGGGACGTGGACATGTTGTGTCTGCAGGAAATTGCTACGGACGTGTTCAGGGATTTCTTCAGCCCGGAGCTGGCTCAGAATGACTATAAGGGTGTGCACTGGCCACGGCCCAAGGCCAAGACAATGAACGAGAAGGATGCGGCAGCAGTTGATGGATGCGCCATCTTCTACAAGGGAAGCAAGTGGATCCTGCTCGACAAGCAGCTTATCGACTACGCCAACATTGCCATCAACCGTCCGGACATGAAGAACCAGCACGATATCTTCAACCGAGTCATGCCCAAGGACAACATCGGCATCATCTGCTTCTTCGAGAGCAGGCGCACGGGCGCGCGCGTCATTGTCGCCAACACGCATCTGGCTTGGGAGCCAACACTAGCCGACGTCAAGCTTGTCCAGACGGCTATTCTTATGGAGAATATCACCAAGTATGCCGAGAAGTATGTCCGCTGGCAACCCCTGAAGGACAAGCGCGGCATTCAGATCCCGCAATCCGTCTCTGTCGAGAGCGACATTCCAAAACCCGAAATGCCCGAGCCGGGCCCCTCGCAGGAGTACCGCTCCAACACGGACATTCCCCTCATCGTCTGCGGCGATTACAACTCGACGCAGGAATCCTCGGTTTACGAGCTTTTGTCCATGGGCCGCGTCACGCCCGAGCAATCCGATTTTGGAGGCCACCAGTACGGCAACTTTACGCGCGACGGCGTCGCCCATCCGTTTAGCATGCGGTCCGCGTACGTCCATCTCAACGGCACGCCCGACGAGCTGTCCTTCACCAACTACGTGCCCGGATTCCAGGAAGTCATTGATTATATCTGGTACTCGACCAACACGCTCGAAGTGGTGGAGTTGCTTGGCCCTCCCGATCAGAACCATCTCAAGAGGGTGCCGGGTTTCCCTAACTACCATTTCCCCGCGGATCATATCCAGATTATGGCCGAATTTGTGATTAAGCAAAGGAAGGGCGAGAAGGTCAAGGTTCTTCATGGTGGCGGTGGCGGCGCATCAGGTCAGCAGCAGCAGCAGCAGCAACTGGAAGGTGGACAGGATTTTGGATCTGGTTCCAAGTAGCAAGCTGGGTGAGGGGTGTAGTGTGGAAGGAATGGAATGGACAAAGGAGTGATTTATTTTGTGCTTGGAGGTTGTGTTGTGTAAATGTGATGTGGATGATACGTACGTACGATAGAGGAAGAGATGGATGGATGGAGTTGGGAGGAAGTGGCAAGAAGAAAGTAGGTTTGGTTTGGTTTGGTTTGGTTTGGTTTTTGCAAGTGGAGACTTGACTTACTTCGGAGCAATGAATGAACTTTCTTGTGATGTTTGTTTCAGTCCAGTTTTCAAGTTCAGTGTTGAGTTCATACCGACAGGGCGAACGGTTGTCAAAGTCTATCTTATAGTTTGGAGCGGTACTACGTAGTTTTGGTAGCGGTTGTTCTTTTTGTTTTGTCTCACTCGCTTTTTTTCAACGCTACCTCCTTCTTCTTTTTTGATTTTGCCTTCATTGTTTCCATGTATTATGGTTGGATGTATGAGGAAGGGTCGTTTTTTTTTTTTTTTTTTTTTTTTTTTTTTTTTTTTTTTTTGTCCGTTACGCATCTTGGACTCGCGTAGGTGAGAAGCATAAACCATTTTCTTGGTAGAAAGTACCTACAGGCAGAAGGGGGACGAAGTTACTAGACCAGGTCTTGGGTTTTACTATGTAGACACTTTCCGGGGATTTGGAAGGTGGTGGTGATATACTCGGTGTTCTGGTGGTTGATTTCACTGCTGCTTCAAGATGATTGATTACCTAGCGAAGAGTTCCATTTGTACCTATCTTCACGCGCCATGTTTTGCTCGGCCTGCATTATGTTGTTGCTCCTTTTGGGTATCTCGACGTTTTGATGAGTTATTGCTATTAATTACTACCTAGGTAGGTTCTACCAGATTTTGTCCCATCTTTACTTCCACCAAGATCTATTATCCTTCCTCAACAATCAAGTGTTCTTCGCTAAACCTCTTGATAAACCCTCCATGACATCGACTTCAATCATGAACTAGTATGTCTAACGACAGCAAATTCCTCGCCGAAAGTCTTTTCCACCTACACGTATAGGTACCTACCTCTAGTGAAGCTGGTTCCAAGTATATGCGTCCATCATATGTTTGCTTCTAATAATTCACTGGGCAGTATGGTAACTCGAAACATTCAGAATCCCGGGCTAAGACCCACGTCAGTCTGTTTGCCCCGAATATAAGCCGAAAGGCTCGAAATGAGCGTTTCAACTTATCGACTTGACGCGTCATTGTTTTTTTAAGGTAGCTGTGGAGGTGCACAGGCAACCGGGCGATCCGGGCGATTCAAGGTAGCAGGCATTGAGAATATCGAAAGGGTTGCCTAGGTGAGAGGTATTACCTTCCGCATCACGCCTTTTGGAGGAACAACCGAAGTTACTTAGTCTGTCAGTATGGTGTCTGGACTGTGTGTCTATCCTGTCTAAAACCAGGAGCGGCAACGGGAGCGGTACCCGTGCAGCTGGCGGTTGATGGTCGATTCGCAGTACATATAATATGACATGACATGCACCACATCAATCTTGGTGCCTTGTCACTGCCATGAACGCTCATGTTTGATTTAATCCTTCATTGACATTGAACTAAACCAAGTCAGTCACCGTAACCAATCTCGAGTCGCTCGTCTGGAGCAACTAAACCGGGCAGGTACAACTAACTAACTTGTTGCCCGTGTGACCCGCCCCTCACTAGGTAGGTACCTGGTCATCAGGCTGCTACTATTGTACCTATCTTCTGAATTGAATCGTCAGGCAGGTACCTTGGGTAAGTGACTTTCAAGTGCTTCGAGGCAGCAGCCGCGCACTCGTGATTGGTACCTAAGTAGGTAGGGAGGTAGGTAGTCACCCCTCTTCGTACCTTCCTTCCCTTTGACTCAAAGAAGAACCCAAAAGAATCGCGGGGTAGCTTGACGGGAGGCTAGGCCTGGATTGGAGCTGTCGGTATGGAAGACCGAGTACGCGTATCTGGAACGAACTGAAGGTTACAGGTAAGTACCTCTAGGCAAAATAGTATCTGCAATATTAGAGGGAGGGAACTGCCGGGTGTCATTCGGTCGGTATGGGATCCGAATGACTGCCAGTCAACTTTGGGGATGACAAAGACGTCAAATTGTTCATCATAAGGAAGAACACAATCGACAATATTCTAGTCAAGTCCCTGATAGATATCACCACAGCACACTATGATGCCTCATTCGGCTACCGGCTTATGCCAAAGCATGCCATCGCCCATCGGGGTGGGTGTCGCGTGTTATTGAAAAACTCCACACCCCGTCCAGGGCCGTCCAGGGCTCACAGGGTTAATGCCAGCAATCGCAGTATTTCGTAAACCCTTTAAAGCATGCATGCACACATAGAGGTAACTAGATCTTGGTGAAACGCCGCCGCCGGCTTATGCTCCGGACAAAGAAAGGCTACTAATATGGTGCCTGAATGATATTGACCTGTCGACAAGGTGCGGACGAACATAGAGGGAGGTAGCTACTTACAGTACATGGAAGAAAACCGTCAGTCATGATACACCGGGTAGAGAGATATTAATCGATCACATCGAGATCCATCGTCATATAGGTAATAACCATTGTAGTATTGTATTTTCCTTGGAATAACAAAGTTGACAGGATGCGACATGTGGAAGAAGAGCCAAAGACAGGGGCAGAGAAGAAATGAAATGAGCGATGAAAAAGACAAGAGTTGCTTCTTTTCCTTTTGACCAATGGGAAGGCTTTGCTGCGGGAGCAAATGCCGGCAGCAAGATCTTCGGCGGTGGTCTTTGGAGTGCTTTTACCTTTTTACCCCTAGTTCATTCAATGCTATCGGCAGACTGGGTGGTATTATGGTCAGTTTTGGCGAGTTGGAGGGTGTAGAAGGTGGTATCAGTGGTCGAGAGTGATATAAAACCCTTGTCTTTTGTGGGCGGAGCCAAGACTCAAGATGGCAGGACGTTGTGTCTCTTTGCCATCTGAGATGCTGGGGGAGGGGGAAATGGTGGTGGGGGGTTACGACTTTTGTTAGGTAGCTTAACTCCAAGGCAAAAAGGGCTGGCGATATCGGAATCTTTGAAACGGAGACAAACAAGCCTAGAGGTATGATAAGTAGGTAACGAGAATCTCAAGTAAACGCAGACAAGCCAGCAAACAACCAGTCCACTTGCAAACAGAACCGCAAGACATCAATTAAACAATGGAAGGGAGACTGAAATGACCGAACGGCGTGTAGTAGCAGCGCTAAAGTGTGAAAAAGGACCGGGTAAATCTGGCACACTGTGCCGCAGCCGCCTTTTCTGTAGTGTAGCATTTAGTCAAGAACGTTGCCAAGGAGGCATCATCGACAAGGAGTGAGATCGGGACATCGGGGGGAAAGGAGGGATGGATGGGATGCGGCTGCGACTGGAGCGGGTGCGGCGGGTTGGTGAGCCAGCCAGAGCCAGTTCGGTTCCCTTGTTCCAATCCGTCGGTTGGTTCGCTGTCAAGCTTTGAGGATTCCGTCGCTTATGGTTGGGCAGCTTGCTGATGCTTCCTTCCCCGCCTTCTTGATGCTGATGTCTGATGTTGGGTCGGTCTGATGGGATCGGAGACGGGATATGTTGGCAATCATGATGTTCAAATTACCCGCTGTCCGCTGTTCGCTGCTGGTCGGAAAGGGGGTTGGAAGTCGTTGACGTTGACGTCTTTGCGGTTTGATCCTTGACAAACGTCGGCAGAAAGGTGGGTTGACGTCTGCATGTGAAGATGGGGGATTTGCGGGCATATCGGTGCAGGCAGGTGTCGTCTGTCGTTTTGTCTCTTGCACTCAATCGATATCGACAATGTTGGATGTTGAATTCTGGACAACAAAGAGGCTGTTGGGACTTTGGATGGAAGGGTTCAACAACAACATGACAGACTTTTGGTGGCGGCTGACGAACATCACATCATCCGTCTGCACACTGCAATTGCCATGCTGCGCCTGTTTCATGTTGAATGGGAGAAAGGTGAGACGGACTGAGAAATGCGGATATCCGTTGCAGATCGTATTCAGAAAAGAGTTGAAGGGATGGTGAAGACCTGACTGAGGAGTCGTGCTCTTTATCAATTCCTTCCATCTCAACTCCTGTCTACAACACCTCTACATATTGTACCTGGTGAGTTGGTGTAGAAGACTCCGAGATGTTGTCCGGGCGCCTCAGCGACAACCAAACTCCGCTCACAGTGTCAGATTGGCGGGGCTTCAGCTGAGGTTGAGATTAACCCACTCACGTACTGCCGCGTACCTTGCATCGCAAAACGTGTTCAATTGTGGGAGACAAAGACTTGACGGTACCTTTCAGTTCCCACCTCAGCAAAAGACATGGTTCCCCGTGGCTTCTTTGGGGGCACACGACTTCCCCACCGCCCGGCATCCACGGCGAGGTTCCACCAGAGAAAGAGCGTTGTGAGCCTGTGAGCCAAACACTGACGAGACTGACTTCTTCCTTCCCACACTGTCCTCGGTGGGTGCGGACCTGCCATTCTGGAGAAAAGGCCCTTGTTTCTTGTCCACTGCTTGGTTCCCTTCCTTGCCTGCCATCCCAGTCGGGTCCCGTCTTGACAGTTCCTTCGCCTTGTGCCGCCCGTGTCTGTGTCTGGTCCGTTGAAAACCTCTGTTCAAAAATCCGCTTTTCTCCTGGAATCCCACCTTGGCCGGCGCCAGCTTGCTTAAGAGAGAACATTGTATCGACCATACGTACCTATCTACAGTAAAGACTTGATATTCGATAGACACTTTGCGCTCGCCGTCGCCCGCCACCCGGCTAGCTCTGCCCCCCCTCGAAAATTATAAGAAAAAGAGCCAGCCGACACCAGACTTGGTTCCCCAAAAGACCAGCTTCCCGATGGGCAAATCAGACCAGAGCATATAGCGATTCTGCGGTCCACCTTTATGCCCTTCCCGCACCATCTCGAGTTCCATCTGTCTTCCTGGCCTTGGCGACCGCTCCCTCACAGCAGGCCGCCACGCCAGTCCGCCGAGGGAGGCTCAGGCACGACCACGAGCTAGTCGTCCGGCGAGAGAGAGAACCCCTTCGGTCCCGACCTTGACCACGACCACCACGTCGACATTTCCAGTCCCCGACCGGTATCCCGGCTGGCTCAGAACACGCTTCTGAGTCGGCATAGGCGTATGCCTCGCGTGTCCCAATCCGCAAAGCGACAGCAGGGTGCGAACAACCAGCGCGACACAAGACATGAAGGTGGCCTTGTAGGCCCGGGCAAGCGCATTCCCAAGCATCAAAGAAGTCACCAGCAGCTCGCCGCCCTCGATCAACGCCCTACTGCTGCTGTCGTCGATAATGCTGTCCCCACCGCAGCCGTCCCCCAACAAAACAATAACAACAACAGCACGACTGCTGCCAATGCTTTCCCCGCCCTGTCCGACGACAACAACACCACCATGGCCGCCGAGTCTCTGCGCCGCGGCTCCCTGGGCGGCGCCTACTCCGAGTCAGAGTCCGCCGAGTCGCTCGCCTTTCCGCCCCTGCAGTCTTCCCACGAGGAAAACCACCGTCAGATCAATGTGAACGATGCCAAGAACACAAACGTTCACCGTGACCCCGGTCCTGTCGAATATGCCCTGACCGTACTCAAGTCCTGCCCGATCTACGATACCATCGCCATCCTCATCATCCTGATGCAGTTGTCTCCAGCTTTCCTCGCCATTGTCTACATGCTCTTCACCCTCTTGACCTTTGTCCCTCCTGTTACCACTAGTTCCGGGCTGACCATTGCCGACATCTTTGATGGGAACCAGGGCACGCCCTCGCTCACGACGCTGGTCTGTATGGACGTGGCTGTGTTGGGCATCTGGCTGTTCCTATGGGCCCCCATGCAGCAATTCATATTGGATTTAGCCCAGGTTGTTATATCCCTTACCCTCGGAGGAGGCGGAAGCTCAAGGACTAGCACGTCAAACAGCATCTTCCTCTGCGTCGCCATCATTACGGCTTCCCAATGGACGAGACAGGCTAGGTGGAATGGTCTCACCCATTTGAGTACCCTCTTTGGCACGAATCGCTTTTTTCCAACCAGTCATGGTGATCCTATCGAACACACTGTACGCGCTTTCGAGAAAAAGGGTCCATATGGCTGGGTTAGAAGCGTTTTGGCTATACATATTCTTACACAGGGACTGGTACGGTACATTCGGGAGTGGTATTTACGCAGGGAACGACGAGATTTGCAGTCACAGAGTCAACTGGATCCGGAGGCCGGCAAGACGGTGTCGTTTTCAGACAGCTGCTCCGACGCGGCGCTGATGGCAGCTGATAGCGACGCCCATCTGCAAACAAGCACGGGTACTGTTTCGAACAAGAAGAGACGAAAGCAGAGCGCCCAAGTGAGGATACGACAGCCTCTCTGGGCCGCCCTGGCTAGCACCAAAATTGTCATGGTGAAGGAGTATGAGCTTTCCCATGCGGCTTCCGAATCAGCCGGTAGCAACGCTACGGATATCCACAACTTGGGGAACGCGCCGTTTAATACACAGCCGGAACAGATTTGGATTTGTTACATTGGCAGCGACGAAGTCTGCTTCAACACCAGTTACTTTCCCGACTTTCCTGATGACGAAACCGTTGATGAGGCTGGAACCCCTGGCGTCAGCATCGCCAAACCCTTTTATGTCCGAGTCAACAACGCGAAATGGCAACCGACACGCATCATTCCCATCGAAGGCACCGAAGAAGACAAGCACCAAGGCACCCGCTGGACAGGCGACATCTATGGACTTACCCCCTTATCCAACTATGCATGCGAATTTGTCAGTACTCGAACCGACCAGGTTATCTACAAGGCCAATGTCAGGACCGTCCAGGCTAAGAGTAGAGATCCCGAGGCACCCGCAAAGGCAGCACCTCCTAACCAGCGCGTTGATAACGTTCGCCACGACTCTCCGGTTACTACCCTGAGGGCTTCGATTGCGGCTGCCGAAATCAAGCTGGCTGACGAAAAGGCCCGACTCAAGACTGCGCGCAAGGAAAACAACCGTAGAGTGAACGCTGCCAAGAAGGAGATTGAGAAACTCACGGCAGCTGTCCAGTCCGCGGGAGGTGATGATGACAAGCTCAAGCAAAAAGTGGCCCAGAACAAGATCCAGGAGAAGCGAGCCGAGGAGGCCATTGCGCAGCTGGAAGCCGAACTCAAGGAGCTTGAATCCATCCCCGAGGAACTACTTGCAGAATATCGCTCCAAACAGAGCACTTGGAAGTCCGAGAAGGGTCGCTATGAGGAAGCCCGCTCTGCATTCAAGAGCTTCAAAGCCACGCTCGAGTCCGAGGTCAAGGTCCTTAAAGATGAGCAAACCAGCCTGCAAGCCAAGCACAAGAAGATTGAATCCCGCATCAACAAGGTCAAGGAAGAGCACAAGCGCATAACGGATGCCAATGCTCAGGGCCTTGGTGAAGCTGAACGCCGGCGCCAGAACCGCGCCACTCTCGAAGCAGACATTGCCACGGCCGAGAGGCATCTCACTGATCGCATCAATTCTGTTAAAAGCATGAACATGGCGAAGCAGGCACAGATCACCGACTTGAGCAACCAGATCCACGCGTATCTGTCTAGTGTGCAGGAGGATATGGCGTACAGCCATGCGGCGGCTGTTGCTGGCGGTCAGTATCCGCAAGCAAATAATGCGAGCACTGGCTGGGGAATGCCTCCTGTTGGTCCTACCGCCACTGCAGCAGCTGGTAATAGCACTTTTGCCCACTCGCCGGCTCAGACTCTCTGGCCCGCAGCCACTGCCGCGGCATCTGGTTCCTCGTCTCTAGGACCCCAGACTGGTTCAGCAGCTCTTCTTCCCCCACCGCCGATCGGAGGACCCTTCAGCAATCCCCTTCAGCCGCAACAGCATTCCCAGCAACCGGCTATCGGCACTCCGGCTCAGCATCGCAGGGCAAGAGGCAGATCCTCGTCGATGCTTAGTGACATCTCAGGATTTACCGAGTCCACAGATGAAGATGAGCGTGAGAGACTTGAACGCGAAAGACTTGCACTAAGACATGGTCAGAATCATCAACATCAGCACAGCAACCCGAATACCATCTTTGGCACCCCGGGCTCGATGCGCGGAGCACCGCCCGGTTTTGGCTTTCCAACTCGTCAGCAGCGACTCGCCGGCAACAACGGAACCTTTGGTCCGATCGGCGGTGGCTCGACCTCGGGCTCCAACGGATTCACCAGTGGTACTGCCTTGGGATCCGGCTCCGGCTCCGGCTCGGGTTCCGGGTCTGCCGTTGTCTCTGTTGGCTCGGGATCTGTTTCAGGTTCAGCGTTGGGTTCCGGTGTTGACTCTGGTCGTAGCAGCGTCAGGTCCGCCGGAGACAGTGCTGGTAGTGCTAGTGCTGGAGGAAGCTCCAAAGATCCTGGTAGCCCTAGCGATCGTTGAGCTTTCCTTTAGTCTGCTGTGCTTGGCCTGCATGGCTTGCCTGTCTGTTGCGCCTGTGTGGCCTGCCTGTTCGTTCTGCTTGTGCTTGTTTGAGTGCTGTCTGCTGGTCTGTTAGATCAGTGTCTCCGTTCGTTCGCGTCTTTGATGGATAGCTGCTGGGATGATTGCTAAGCTGGTGCGCTTGACCGCCTGAGTGTCGTGGCTGAGCTCATGACCGGCAATGTGGTGTCGATAGACGGTTGCCTACCTAAGGATGTGCCTAAAGGGATGTCACTTGTCGGTCGCAGATCCTCGTTGTGGATGATGTGGGGTTTATCTGGCTGGCCTGATGTGTTGACGGCAGTTGAGCCGGGAAAAGATGTACCTAGCGTAGTATGATAATCCGAGCGGGACCAGTCCTTGTTTGTTTTTCTCTTCATTCTTATTGATCAACCTCAAGTGATTATGTTCTGCCTCCGCTGTCCAATCTTGAACTGAATGTTGTGTAATGGCTCAATGCTGGAAGCCGAGCTAAAGATGTGTAACTCAATTAAGAGGGATACACAGCGGAAAGGGGAGCGGCCCTTTTTATACCTAGAGGTACCTTGACATGACTGATCATTGTCCTTTGTCCCCAACCTTAAACACGGCACGTCGTTTTTCCACTTCCTTGACGTTGCTCCCGATCATCTACAAATATATACTGGGTTCCATGCCAGTCAGCTCCGTGCCAATGTCCAGCATTAATCCCAGGGTGTCACGATTCGGCTCAGCATGGGTCAAGTAGTGCAAGTCACTTGTCGCACCGGACGGGTACTGATACCGAAGAGGCAGGCTTGCTTTGGATCCATGTCGAAGCTTTGCCCGTCCCAGTCACTGAACACCTGCAGCCCTCCAAGGCAACCAACCTCTTGAGATTCGCGATGGCGATAAGTTCTTGGGAGTTCAGATTACATACATCGTTGATCACATGTTGCCTAGATAGAGGTAGTATGTCGCTTGAGTCGTTAGGTAGGTAGTCTCTCTCTCCGGGGGAACATAAGCGGGCATCTTCTTGCTGGTTGGTAAGTATCCAGGCTATACTTTCCGCTTCTTTCAATTTGACCCGGCAGGTTAGATTGTTAACCGTCAAATGACAAGAACCCTTTATGTTCCTTCCGCTTCATCTCTGTTAATTCGCTACACAAAGGGTGATTTGCATCTGTTGACCTAGCGTACCTTGACCTAGTTGAGGACAATAGAGATAAAGAGAGAGAGATGGTCCTGAAGCTTTCCTTCGTTTCTCTCTGCATCGCATCGATTAACAACATATTTTTTGTCTTCTTCTATTTCTTCTTAACTACTCACAGGGAAGAAAAGTAGGTAGGGTATATACCAGCCTATCCGCTGCGAGGAACATAATTTCATCCGGTGTTCGATTAGTTTCCTCTTCTTAGGTTTAGAGCTTTATACGTACTCTGTCTACGTGATCACTTCTTTCTTTTTTTGTTGAGTGAAACTAATGTCGCGATATCCGTGTCATTTGTACGGCACCTACTCTTACGTTGTGTACCTACCTCTACATACTCAAAGTACTTCTTGGTTTTTGATAGAGCATCTCTAGTCCTCTTGATCCTTTTATGTCCTTTTATCACGTGTGTGAGAAACCTCAGTCCGCAAGCAAAATGGCACGGAAAATGAGTGTAAAAAGCTCACAACAATACCTACCCAAGTAATCCTGCTATTTTCTTGTCCAACTCCTAACCCAGCTACTTGCGATTAACGATCAACACATTATGTAGAGGTATAGAGCCGCATTAAGCCCGACCAGCCGATTAATGCACTTTGTTTTCCGCTAGGTAGGTACCCAAAGGTAGGTACTTTCCGTCTCTTGTGTGTGGTGTTTGCACTTTCCCGTCCATTCAGCAATGCATGCATAGGTACACTCATTCCCCATCCTTCGCAACTAACTCCGTACAGTAGGTCCTGCGAGGTCTTTGTGTCCCGCAATCCAACCATCCATCCACATCTCGGCGGCAGACTTCAACCGTTGAATTTACATAACCAAGTAGGGTACCATTTTCTTTTCTTTTCCTTTCACCACTACACGTGTACATACGTAGGTACACTACTGCACACCCCTATATATATTGGCGTTATAACACAACATCCCCCCTTTTCTATACATACTTCCGGTCTGGCGCTTGTCATGCATCGAATCGAAGCGCGCTCGATTTACTTTCCTCTTGGGGAATGCTTCTATTGCGAATGTGACATCACCTTGCGCCATTGGTGTGGTACTGGAAATTACTGCGTTGCAGCTGGATGGTAGAGAGGATGGATGGTGGTAATAGCATGAAGAGGATCGGGGTTTGGGGATACTTTCTGATCTAATTCCCGCTCACGTTTGCGGATTTTTCTATTCAAAGTGAAGTCCTTTCTTTGCACAACGACACCTCTAATCTACAAGATCGTGCTTTCCTGGAGCGACTCTCAACGAGTCAATTTCACTTTCAATTCGTGTCTGCAAGTCTGCATCCACGTGGATGGGCATACATCATTATGTAACACACTTATTGCAACGGAGGGACGTATCAATCGATTCCCCAAAATACTAATGGTTTATGTTCCCCAGAAACGCCACAAGCCACATCCGTCCAATTGTCTCAATCATCTCCCAATCCAAATCTAATTTCCATTCCAGTGAATGCATGCGATTCCCCAGTCCGTCTTCATATGCCCTTTGTTCTCCAAGATCAAATGTTTCAACACGCCACCTCACCCGAGGCTGAATCCTGAAAAACAAGGACAAAAATCCAGTCCTAACATAGTACCCTAGTGTACGTAGAGGTAGGTACCTACATTCGTGTCCCGTCGGTCCCGCCAAGCCGACATATGCGGCGCAAAATGCTAGGAAAGCCGTGTGTACACTATGCCACGCAGACAATGGACTCGGTGCTCGTCGGTGGCGTTGGACGAATTTGGCGGGACTGATCGACATGTCCACATCTTAAGTAGGACAACTAAACATGTCTTTGTTCCCCTCCACCGGGTTGTTGAGCTTACGACGACACTTCTTCGGGTCGGACTGGAGTTTTGCGGTAGATTTGCGTAACAGGTGAAGCTTATATTCAGTTGGTAATGGAGAATGTCGTACAGCTTTTTCTCCGAGTTGAAGGAGGGCCACTCAGCCTCAATCCACTCAACAATAGTACCTAGGCATTTCAATGTTGCCATTTTGTTGATCTCTCGCAATTTTTCGTTCCACCTGCTCTTCTTCTTCTTCCTTTTCTCCCATGTATCTCTTTTGACTCTGGTATAACCCTGTTCAGCTGTCTTTAATTATACACCAGTGTACTGTGCTCATTGTGCAAAACCAAAACGTAAAATCCAACATCTCACTCAGTCTCCAACCACAACCCATCATGCCACCTGCCCCATTAGGTAGACCCCGGGCCAATCAATACTGTACAATACCACTTCGTAAAAATTATACATGCACTGTATGTATGCACTCTTCACCGTTCAAGCGATCCCCGATGCATCAACCGTCAGGCAACGCACCGTAGGTACCTATGTAGTGTACAATTACAGGAATTACACTGGCAGTAACAACCAGAGAAATCGGGATGTACCAAGATCCAAAGATCCACGACAGATTGATCCGCTCAGAGGTAACCCACCCAAAATTTACCTGTCAAGTACACTACATACCCGAAAAACAAAAAGAAATGGACATGAAAGTGGCTGAGTCTTTTTTTTGGGGGGGGGGGGGGGGCGAAAATGCTGCGCAACCGCTTCCATTTCGCTCGCTCGCTCACGTTACCTACCTACCTTCACCCCAACTGACATATGTACCTAGGGTACCTACCTACCTACCTACCTACCTACTATATAACTCTCTACTTCCTGCTCTTTCGTTACATATAGTTTTCTTGGGCAGTTCCATATCATCTATCTGCCCAATTCTCAATATCCCAATGAAAAACCTTGATCAGAATCGCTCGAACAACAACAACCAAGCGACGTTGAGAATCCGTACCCAGGCGAATAGCAGGCATGCTTCAGTTCCAGTCTGGATTTGCCTTGTCTGCCACCTGTGACTGCCACCTGTCAATGAAGTTTACAGGTGTGGTGTACAAGTACACAGTACATCTTCCCATGCATCATCCATCGGCCGACATGCATGCTTGACCTTGCCATGCACTGGCTGCTGACATGGACCCGACAGGGGGCGGAGGAAAAAAGGGAAAAGGCGGCATTGAGCCGCAGAGATGGATGGATCCATTTTTTTGGAAGGAAGGAAGGAAGGATCACGGCTCAGACGGACTTGGGGCGGGTGTTTGAAGCTGGGAGAAATGAGGCAGACATGACATCGGTATCGACGTGTGGTTTAATTTAAGTCCGCATTTGACTTTTCGAGAAGGCGCTATTGAGACGTTGTTTTGGGGTCATTTGAAACGCTCTTGAGGCGCTTGTGCGCTTGTTTATGATTCCTGAAAATTGTTTCTGTGTTTCAACGATGAATGCGCGACAACTGATCGGGATTTCGCATTGGTAATTTGAACTTTTGTTTTCGTTTACCTACTTTTCGGCGAACGAGTAGTTTTTTGAACTCCTCGGCATATTTCCACTTAGCCACCGCACCAGAATTTGACAGTCACATTTCGGATAAAAAAGTTCCGGCACGAAATCCATTTGTAGTTGTACACTTAAAAACTTTCATACAACATTTCTTTGTCGTCGTAAGAGGTATCATCCAAGCAACCACCACCTTCATTCTCATCCGGCTTCACTTTGTTTTCGTTCCCAACCATCGAGATTACTTCCACCACACCACGCAATCACCACCCATCATAATCTGATAATTTAGAAAGCAGCAAGAGCAGCAAGGGCAGCGACACCGAAGCTGCCAATGTAACCGGCAGAAGCGGCGCCGGCATTGACGGGGCTGGAAGAGGCTGGGGGAGCCATCGAGACGGTGCCGTTGCTGCTGCTGCTGGAGGAAGAGGGGGCGGCAGAGACGGTAGAGGTGGGAGCGGTAGCGGTAGCGATGGCGGAGGTGGTAACAGTGGTGGCAGCGACAGTGGAAGTGGCAGCGGCAGCCGAGCTGGTGGTAGCAGCGGCGGCGGAAGTGGCAGCGGCGGCAGAGCTGGAAGGAGCAGCGTCAGAGCCGCCGGCGAGGACCTCCTGGCAGAACTTCTCGGTGGCAGGGAGAACGTCGTCTGAAAAGGGAAATCCCGTGTTAGTATAAGTGGGTGTTATTCTTAAGAAAGATGTAGAAGGTGAAAACATACTCAAAGCGACGGTGGCACCGCACTTGGAAATGACGCAGGAGGTGGCAGTGCTGACGAGAGAGTCCTTGTTCTCGCAGAGGCACTTGTAGTCGGTCTTGGAAGTGCAGACCTTGGTGGCGGCGTCGTCAACGCAGGGAAGGGCGCACGAGGGGATGACAGAGATGTCCTGGGCGGAGGCAATGGCCACGAAGGCGGCAAGGGCGACAGCGGAGTACTTCATTTTGAATTAGGGTTGTTGTAGTAGAGTTGTTATTAGGTGTAGTAGGTTGTTTGGCTGAACGAAAGTCGGCTGGAAGCTGGAAATACAGAAGCGACTGTGTGTATTTTGGTGGTGGAGAGACAAAAGAAGGGAAAGAAGGTGCAGGTGGGGAGGATGACGCCCCTTTTATGTTGATGGAAGGTTGTGTGTGTCAAAGAACGGCACCGAACCAGCTTCCTTCCTTGCCTCCCATGGCTTCCAAGACCCAAGCCAAGGCCCTAGAAAGGAGGGTGGTAAAAGACGGGGGTGGCTGGCAGCCCGACGGTAGCATCCCATCCGGGCCCACCGAATACTACACAGTAGTGTCTTCTCGGTAGAGGTGGTATTCACACATTCCACGCCTCGCACTTTTTGACGTGCACACGGCGTACCGCAAAGACTCGGGCCATTGATTTTCAACTTTCCTAGAAATCAGGCATCATCAGACATACATATACCCAATTCTGTACATTTTATGCCCGTAAACAATGATAGGGAATAATTTCTGGCGGGCATGAATGTTGTAGTATGCTTACAGACTATGCATAATTCCCAGAAAGGTTGAAAATCAAGGGCCCGAGTCTTTGCGGTACACTAGAACCCCGAGTGTCGTCCTCGTTGCGTTGTGGGGGAGGGACTAGGAAAATCCGCTTGACAGCAGGCACCCTGGATCGGAGGCGATAGTTCCACTGGGCTACAGATGTTCCCATGAATGGCTGGATCAAGCAAAATGGAGCCGATAAATGCCATGTCCCTGGCTCGTGTTGCGGAGCACTTGCCCTACATCGGCCATCTCGGCCGGGCAAATTGCGGCGGCGGAAGGACGGAACAAGCAGACAGGCAGGACCTGCCAGGAACTGGACAAGGACCGGACGAACTGCTGGTTGCAGTCCTGGACCGGCGTGGACAGCGTGGACCGGTTCGCCCGCAGATTGAGGAATCGCACTGGGTGCTCCTTGCGAATTAACATGTAGCAATTTCAGATGCACGGATGACGGCAAGAAAGGGGATTGTAACCATGTCGTCCTTTTCTCCTCGCCGCTTGATCCAATAAGGACTTATCTCCAGACGATTGACATATGCGATTGTGTTAGAACTCATCACATTTTGCATCCATTCAGGGCTGGTTTGGCCTGGGGATGGACGGAAGAGCTGACAGAAGGTCGCGGGCGGGACGATGGAAAATCTGGGGAAAGTGGATGAATGCATATGATTGTCACTTGTCAGCCTCGGCATCGTGGAGCAGGTTGCGGATGGTTTCACAGGGGGGAGGCCTGTCCCAAGGCGACACGCACACAGACACACAGCCGGCACCAGCCCTGAGAGGCTTAGCCGACCAGGCGTGGAATTATGACACCCTTTTCGGTGCATAATGACACGAGCAATAAATATCTCCGACCATGTTTCTGAAGTTTCACATGGGAGATGGTGACAATGGTTTCGGGATACACCAGAAGCGTGCAAGGTTCGAGATTTGTCAAGCTCAAGTGTATTTCCCATTGTCTCACAACCCGAGATAACAAGGGCTGTCAAGGTTCACTTACCCATGATCAAAATGGATCCCCTTGAAGATTCAAAGTGGATTGAAGGGTCGGGTGTCCACTTTGTCGGATTTCCTGAATTCCTGGTGAATATCATGATTTAGCGGCCACCACGACGATCAACAGAAAATCGTTGGGAAAATCGGCAAGCGAAACGGCAACACAGCACTTGCTACCTGCTGTCCCGACATTAACCTGTGCCGTGTGTTACGTCGTGTAGAGGGCTTGATACAAATTGATTTGCCTTTCTTGACGGGGGCAACATGGCGGTTGAGCGGTATAAATGTATGCGCCAACAAGGGGAAACTGTGACTTTTGGTGATCCACACCACCGAAACCGCTGACCTACATAAAGCCGAGGACGAAGAACCCCCAACGAGAAGAGCACCCGGAGCTAGCCAAATGTCGTCGCGGTCTCGATTGTGAGTTCGGAAATTGGACTGCAACCCACCACTTGACTGATGACTCTGTTGCGACGACTTGGCAGCCAGTACATAGTATCCGACTGCAAATGGACTCTGGATTTAGCACAAAGGAGAAATTGTCATGCGAATCCGGAGTTTACCTCTTGACGGCGATTGGTTGCCAGAGGCCGGTTGTAGCCAGATGCGAGATTCCTTCGACCGGCGACGTCACCCTGTACAGAAACATTGGTGTACACTAGTGTGTATACTTTCGTACCGGGGCTGTGGGAAAACAAGTGTGGCTCGTGTCGTGTTGTTGATCAAGGAGGGTGTGACTGTTCCTGGAGTGGTATGTGCGGATAATTGATGTCTTCTCCAGAGGTATTTTATATCCTCCTCCTCTGGTCCTTCTTTCAAGCTTGGTGGCAGCAGGGTCGCCCGCATTCACGGTATCGGGCCACATCTTCAACGTTGTGCCCTGACTTGATCTCAGAAAAAGAAGCGTGATTTGCTCGTTGCTTGGAGTGTTTCGTCTTTGGGAGGGGATGAGGTGTGGTTTGCCAGCTGGAAGTCGGTGGTCCATGGCGACAAAACAGGGCAAGAAACCCAGGTGTGAGTGGACCGGCTTGGCGTAATGCGGGGGAATCTTGGCGTAGATCATTGGTCAACTTGCCTCAAAGGCCAGGAAATGCATATATGTCCCGGGGCGTAGTAGTAGTGTACCTAGGTATTTCTACACTAACGGAGGAAACAAGGACAAAACAAATAGTGACCAAGTGACATTGAAAAAGACCCTCATCAAGCAACCACCAATTTCCCCCAGACTTTTTCTCCTCGATTCTGTGGTACTAGGGACTCCTGGGCGGCCTAGTTGGAGAGTCAGTCAATCGTCCCCCGCCGGCCACCATCTCCCAATCCGGAGGTGATGGCCGCTGATCCGCCCAGAGCAGAGTCCTCTCGTCGTCGTCCACCGTGCCACGTCCTCCACGAGACCAGTTCAACCCGTCAGACCCGTCAGGTCCCCGGTCAATGCCCCAGAAACGAACCAAACATAGGTACTGCTCCGGGCCAAGCTTGCACCTCGCTCGACCTTGAAGGAAAACTTGACTCCTTGAATGAACTCCTTCGTTTTCCACCGGTTGCGGCCAAACGATGAACTCTCGCATTTTCATATATTGTCTACCTAAAATCGCCAAGCGACGGCTATATCGCCTACGGAACTGCCAAAGAATGGCTGTAGCGTCATCGAACGTACAGGTTCTGACCTGCTCGATAAGGGATTCCGTGACTTCCTCCTCACTTATGTCGGACTCGTAATCGGTAGCTGCTTCGTTGAGGGGTTGGAGCTGGTTATGCCACAAAGGGAAGTTCCGTCGCTGTGCAAGTAGCGCTAGCGTTCGTGTTACTCCTGCTGCTAGTGCCGGCGCTCGCGTTGCTGCTGCTTGTTTTATCGCAGACGTGAGATCATTGCGAGGTAGGAGCAGCTAATGATACCTACCTACATGACATTGGATGAATGGCTCACCCATCTTGATCCCCGTGCCGAAACCCATCGCTTGAAAATCATCCATGATCTGGGTGGCCACAGTAGCAGCTTCAACACATGCTCAGAGCTGAGTTGCACAGCAAGCTGCCAAACATGAAGGCAATCGAAGCGGCCAACTTCATCAAGCAGGAGGAAGATGTTGGAACTAAGCACCGCGCTTTGGGGCAGAGATGAGCGTTCACGTGTATACCGTGGATCATCGTTAGAGGTAGGTAGGTACCTATTCAGTCACAAAAACCGCCGTTGGTAGCTCAGCTGGAGGTTGACTTCATAACTGCGTCAAGGGCAAGAACCTGAACAAAGCGAGTACGATCAAATGGACTTGCGACGAACAATACCCAGTACCTCCCTCCCTCCCTACCTTTGTTCTCTCTTACCCTCTGCCCAGACTCTTACATTGGTCTTGAGCTCGACACCGTGGTCTCGAGGACCTTGAACACCGCGCGAAGCGTGCAGCGGGTTTGTTGGGGTGGTAACGGCGATGTGCATACCAACGCATTGCGTGTAAGAGAATACCCCCTTTGGGCCCATTCTTCGCATCGCACAGACAAGTTTTGTCCCTTGTCATAGTCGCTAAATCGCGACTTGACGCCGAGTGTTGATTTGGTGCCCGTGCCATCGTAAACGGCTGGACGTTGACCAGTTTTCTCCCAATTAATCGATGGACACCCCATCGCTGGTGACCGTAGGGATGGAGGTTCGGGTGAAATTTGAACTCCTCCACCGTTGGCGGATGGGGCCGAGACAACATCTCCGAAAATTTGGGGACGACAGTAAATGTTCCTCCTTCAATGTAACCAACAAACCAGCAAGATTCCTCTTGTCCGAGTCAATATGCATTGTCATATCAGACGAAACCAGGAAGCATCTATCTCGAGATATTGTTGCGTCCTGTCCATATGTCTTTGACTCGCTTAGAGGCAATACAAGACTTCCGTGGGTTTTATCGTATACCTATGGAGGATTCCGAGGCAAACGACGCATACAGAGCGAAGAAGATTGAAAAATTTCAGTGTAAACGGATCGATAACCTCATGAGCTGGAAACCAGGAACAGAGGAGACGGACTAACGTATTGATCAACATCAACCCGCCTCCCCGCTGCAGGCCACCTTTCCTCCGGAAAGTGACTGGAAGTGTCGAACGGTAACCGGGGCGCTACCTTCCACTCACCCCCATCCCCGCCCGTTGCTATCCAGCAACCGGAAGGTAAGCACACCCTCAGCAAGCCAGACTCCTGACAAAGCGGGCAAAGAAGAAAATGACAAGCTCGCGACAGTTGCACCGACCGAGGTGATCCCTCCAAGCCAGGAGCCGTCAAACAACAACGAAGAAGCGTTGAGAAACATGCTTCTAGTCGCAGCATACCTGGCTAGTGCCTCGCAAGCGTCTTCAGCAAATCCGACCCCCATCAAGAAGGGAGAAGAGAAGGCTGATGAGCTCATGCCGGATGCGCCTGTTGGGGAAGAGATCTCACCAAGCAAGAAGGTTGACGACAAGCCCTTGATGCCACAAGTCCTGACTGGCGATTCACCATCAAATGGGGAACTCCTGACCGTAACGGATCCTCTCCCTTACACGCCAAAGGAGCTGACACGTGTTGATTGAAGGACGTCGAAAGAAGCGCATCCCGCGGGAAAGTAGTGATCCTTGGGATCCTGGTGGTAGGAGAGGACATCTCCTTTAAGGCGGAACCAATTGGTGGCCTGGGCTGTGGTCGGTCGGGTATTTAAGGTGGTTTCTCCTGGGGTTTTCAGTTCTGAACTTAACTTCGTCCAGTCAACCAAACCTCGCTCCATTGAACCCTTCACCCGCGAGCACCATAGATTGGTTGCACAGCCCCTAAGACCACCCAACCAAACCGTCATATCGACCGAGAACACATTACACTACGCTAGGGAATACAATCTCTTCGAAGATCAGTCGGGCAGGCCCTCGTCCCCAACTCAGGACGATATCTTGGAGCTCCCACTCCTTTTTTTTTTTTTTAACCCCAACTGCAAGAGGCATTCCCGCTGGCTCTCCACCTGACGCCAATCCAGCCGCAACTGCAACTGTTTCTCCTGTTGTTTCCCAAGCTATCGTCCCGGCTACTATTCCAACTTGCCCTCCCCAGCAGACCAGAAGGAACAACTCTCTAAACCACAGAATGGAAAAGGCAAGGACTAGACAGCCGCTCACCGCAAGATGCCGAGCGCGGTTAAGGACGACGAGAACCGAATCGTCTTCAACTGCAACACTTGCACCGAGATTGCCGCGGACAAGCATGTGTTGGCGGTGTTCGGCAACAATCTGGTTATCCAACTGTCACGCCAGGCAGTCAACTTCATCCTGGCCTTTGCTATGCCGTACCGGAAGCAGGCCAAACGCTTCCATCGTTTCGTCCGCCGCTGGGCCTGGGCCCAAGTCGAATGCTCCCTCGGAAGACAAGCTCAACAGAGAGACTTTACAGCTCCGACACAACAACTTCTGCGGATACCGAGGGAGGATTGGAAGGGATTTCAAATCCTCAACCGTGGGCGGGCGGGATCGAGACAAGTTTGACATCCCCGAGAACTTGGGGACGACAACAATGCCGCCGGTAAGCTGGTCCCACATGTCTCGAAGACGTATATGCCCCTTGATGCTGCGGCTTGTCCGGTCTTCTGAATGGGAAAAGAAGTTCTAACTCTCTTCCAGGACGTCGACCGGCTGTTGCTCCTCTTCCCCATCATTCTCATTGTCCTCGTCGTCCTGGCGAGGACGCTTTCGCAAAGACCAGGCCGGCAGCGGAAAAGAAGGAGAGGAGGGAGGCGGAAAAGAGGAGAGGAGGGACTGGTGGCGGCGGCGGCGGCGGCGGCGGCAGCTGCGGGGAGAGAAGAGGGAGCGGAGGGGAGCGGAGAGGAGATAGCCCGGGACAGAGGAGAGGAGGAACTGGCGGCGGCGGGGAGAGGATCATTGCTATACCAAGTTCCCTCTCCAAAGCAACGGGGACTTGCGGGTGGTCATGGACTACAGGCCAATCAACGGTGTGACCGTCAAATTACAATGGCCCATGCACAACCAGTCGGGGTTATTTCGTTGCATCGCGACTGGAGAACACCGAATCTTTTTCCAGGCCAACGGAGCACACGGTCATTGGGGAGAGTCCCAATGGCGAGGGGGCACAAAGACAAAACCGCCTTCATCGCCCCAAACGACCAGTATTGGAACCTGAGAATGCCCCAAGGGATGACTGGTTCAATTTACGGCTTGTGCGCGAGGCGCTCCTTCCAACTGCAGTGCCTGCCTTATATGAGCAGCGAGGGCAAAGAACGGGGTATGGTGTGTTTGAAACGTCGTGACCTGTGCGGGACATCATGGATGGCGTGAGTGAGTCCATGAAGAGCAGGGGCAGTAGGAGAATACCTACCTACTGTACAAGTGAGGAAGGAACAACATTGTGCTTGTGCAGCTCAGCAGCGGACTGGACCTTTGGATCGACATGGCGCAGTCACATCTTTTGCCATCATCATGACAGCGGGCACAAGAGAGTGTTTGATACTTACTACTGAGACTAAGACATGTCAAAATTGAATAACTAGAAATCCGGGAAATGATAATATCTCGCGTCGCGCATGTGGTGCAGATTGTAGATCTGTGGTAGAGAATTCCGTGCTTGATAACGGATTCTCGGACTGGGAGCGGGAGATAACGGAAGTCCACATTCCTCACAAGTCCAGATGCTGAAGGTTATCTTGTCGATGTCAGGCGATATATCATAGTTGTAGGGGACTTGGAGGGCCTGAACAACTTGATATGTGTAAATGAGTGGTGGAAATAAAGAAAAGAACATTCAATCGGTTAAAAATACTCGGTCCAGACAACCATCATCATCAGCAATGTAGCTCAGGACAGCTTGAGCGACTGTCACCACAATGTCAACAACAAAGAAAAAGGCCGGGTGTAACAATAAAATCACAAATTATTATCTTTAGTGGGTATCAATGCTCCTACTCCTCATGCTGTCTGTCCGCCTTTATCCATGCTTTTGAAGCGCTGTGACCGGGGGAAAAAGAAAAAAAGAAAAGAAACAAAATGAACACTGTTCATCATGCCCTTAAAACGCCAACAAGCCAGAATGTTACCGAAACACAATCTTCCCGCTTCCGCAGTATTGGCAGACGTGCTTGGCAAAATTAGTACCACACACTCAGCGGAAGATCCTCCTGCCACCAGTCCTCGTAGGAAACCTCTCGACACCGTTCTGCTGCTGCTGATGCCATATCAACTGCATGCCAACACCACCACCCTCGAATCCCATCTTGTAGCGGCGCAGAGCCTCACGGAGATGTTCTGGACGTAGCGGACCGCGTCGATCGTCCCGCTCTTTTTCCTTTTCCTTTTCCTGCTGGGAAGCGTCGGGCATGGTCTCGTCGCCCTTCTCGGCTGCTGCTGCATCTCCACCCTCTCCGTTCTCGCCGTTTGTGTGTGTGGCACTGTTTCCCTGCGTCTGCGACTGCTGTGGTCCCTCGCCGCCTAAATTGCTGTTGATGTTGCTGTTGGAAGCAGCCGCGTGAGGCGTCGCCGGCGGACTAGGCAAATCGGTCTGCTTCTCGCCCGTCTTCTCGATCCACTCCGCTTGCACACGACGTGCGCCCTCGATGATGTCGCCGATGAAGACCTTGGCTACCGCTCGCATGCCAATAACCACGTTTTCGGTAACGGACTGGGAGATGGTTGCGTTGATCAACTGTCACCGTCAAGTCAGCGTTAAAAATCCCAAACATAGCAGATCAGGAATAACGATGAACTTACCCTCCTAACACCAGCCTTACTCAAGTTCGCCGCCCTCCAATTTTCAAACCGATCAAACTGATCCGGCGAAAAGGCATTAATCAGCATTCCCCTCTGCCTATGCTCCTCCTCCTTCTGTTCCTTCGTCAACGTATCCGCCGTAGCCGCCACCTCCGTCGGGCCCTCATCATCATCCTGATCTTCTTGCTGTCCACCTTGGTCCTTCCCGCCCGCAGCACTCTTAGCCCCTCTCCCAACCGTCGACCCACCAACCTCACTAGGCGGCGCCGTCCCCGGCTTACCACCGGCTCCAGCACCAACAACACTAGGCGTCTGTTCCCTTGCCTTCTCCGCCTTGCTCTTACGGCCACGCTTCTTCTTAGGCGGACCAGTCGGCACGGTGGGAGCAGCGCTGGCGGCAGCGCTGACCACGCTTTGGGCTGTGCCGCTGACGTAGGACATGGCGTCTATGTCGACGGACGGGGAGCGGGCGCCGCCGGGGGCTTCGTCGGGCGGGAAGGAGGTTTGGCGGAGCGGGTGGGCGGAGCCGACGGACATGACGGACCCTTTACGGCGCTTCATGTTGGGCGAGGGACCAGAGCCGTCGGCGGCGCGTTTCTTAGACAGAGACGAGGTGGTGAGGGATGGGAGGTGTGGTGGAGAGCGGGCGCCGCCGGGGAAGGAGTAGCTGTTGTGCGGTGGTGAGGCCATGGTGACGGCTTGCTGGGGATGTGATTATTTAGATAGTTGAGGTCGTGGGTGTTTGCGGATGACGCGGGGCGAGCTAGGTTGATGGGTTGGCTGAGCTCGGTGATGGAGCGGAGACCGCTCTGTGACGAATTGATTGTTTGGTGTTGATACGCGAGTGAGGTGTCAAAACTGAATTTTGGCAGCGGATAAGGTTTGGCCCATTGACTATGGAGCGGGTCGTACTTGGTTGTTGGCGGCGAGCTGATGGCGAGTTTGGTTGTTGGTCGAAATGTTGAACAGGAACTTGAAGTTCTTTGTCGCGGTTGACATACGGTGCTGCGCGGTACGTTACACGTAATTACTGCAATTGCGACCCGTGGTCACGTGGAGTGGGGCATCTGCGTGACCAGCAACGGGCAGCCCGCACCCCCCAGAGCCCAGCTGTCTGAACGTTTGCCTGTCAATTCTGCAGAAGCTGAGACATCAATACAACCAAACAGTCCCAAATTGACTTTCACCTGTACACTATAGTAGCCTTGAGCCGCTTTAGGTTCGAATTCGCTGTTTTCAACTTTACGCGCGAAACCGTCCTTTGTATGAAGGGCATCCCACACTGTCTTTCCACCCGCCAAATGCCTTTGCCGGACTCCGGGAGCGGAGTGTGCAAAATCTAGCACCTGCAGCTTCGATCCTTCGGGTTACAGTATCTGACGATTCTAGTGTACTCTTTGAGGTACAAGCCCGTGTCGTGGTAAGGTCTTGGTCGGGACCTCGGATCAACTTGCTTGGGCGTTTCAAAATCCAATCAATCTGTTTCGATCCATAACCAGACCGTGATCATCTCTTTGAATACTCCATGTCCGATATTTATTATGTCCATGTGAGGGTTGGGGCAATTCGGGATAGATCTCGTCAAGTACATCTACCAGGAAGTACCAAGCTACATAAGAAACAATACACACAAGTCATCGGCCCGGCCCCGTTCGAAGACACTCTGTGGAACCCTCGGCCGAACCTTAAAAAAAAAGACCCTTCAGTTTTGATGCCTTCTTTCCTTGGCAGCCGTTGACTCCATCAAGCTTATTTTTCTGCACAATGGAAGTCAGACCATGAATGCACGATGCAGTCGCAGTTCAGTTCGCAGCACCAGGTCAAAGTGGCCAAACTCTCCAAAAGTGAAACAAAGCCGAATTCTACACAGATGAACCCCCGCCCCATTTCGTCCCCAGAATCAGTCCAGAACGCAGGCTTTGCCCTTGCAGAAAAGTTGACGTCAACGGTGATAAGATAAGACTAACAGGCCTGGTTGGGTCTAGCGCGTCTAGATCCCCCAAAACTGTTGGTTTGCCCTCCTGCAATCGGCGCTCAAAATTTCCACTCCTCCGCCTGCCTAGACCCAGTCCCCGGTTTTATTTTCCCTTCCGTCTCTTCCCTGGACCGACGAAACACTGGGGTTGCCGCACAAGAGTCAGTCAGGACTTTCCTTGACCACTCACCCACCCATCCATAGTTGTTCGCAATCCATTGCAAGAGTCAGTCAGTCACCCGACTCTCTCGCAATTGATCTTCTTCTGGTCTTTTCTTTCTTCCCTCTACTACGCAGCCAATTCCTACCGAAACATCCCTCTATACCACCCTATTCCTACCACCCGCCTACCCTCTCCCACGTACTACTTACACATACATTCATACATACACAATGGCCCAAGAGACGACGCGCGACGGCTCCGACAGCCCCTCGGGCTCAGTCAGTCCCCCCATTGCCAACGGCACCAACAACAAGAAGGACAAGAAGAGCAGCAAGAAGCGCGCCCACTCCAGCGGCGAGAGGCGATCCAGCGTTAGCAAGCCCGCCCGCGACCCCTCGGACAAGCCCGAAGAGTCACCCTCCAAGAAGAAGAAGAGAAAGACCACCTCCTCCACCGCCGCCGCCGCCGTCCCCTCCACCATCACCGAAGAAGTCTCCCCATCCACCTCGGTGACCCGCTCCCCTTCGCCCGTCATCGACTTTGACGGCCTAAGTCGCCCCTCCCGCGGCACCCGCGAGCGTCTGGAGGAAACCGAAGCCCAAAAGCAGGAGCGCCTCGACAAGATGAAGGGCGCCGTCCGCACCCTGCTCGAATGCATCGGCGAGGACCCGGACCGCGAAGGTCTCCTCGCCACGCCCGAGCGCTACGCCAAGGCCATGCTCTTCCTGACCAAGGGCTACCAGGAGAACGTGCGCGACATTGTCAACGGGGCCATCTTCCAGGAGGGCCACAACGAGATGGTGATTGTTAAGGACATTGAGGTCTTTTCCATGTGCGAGCACCACCTGGTTCCCTTCACAGGCAAGATGCATATCGGGTACATCCCCAGCAACGCGGTGATTGGCATTAGCAAGCTGCCGCGGATTGCGGAGCTGTTTGCGCGCCGGCTGCAGATCCAGGAGCGGTTGACCAAGGAGGTGGCGAATGCCATTATGGAAATCCTCAAGCCGCAGGGTGTTGCGGTCGTCATGGAGAGTAGCCATTTATGCATGGTCATGAGAGGCGTTCAAAAGACGACGAGCAGTACCATTACCAGCTGTGTGTTGGGCTGCTTTGAGTCGAGGGAGAAGACGAGGCTCGAGTTCTTGAGCTTGATTGGCGTCAACCGTTAAGCTTGCTTTCCTAGAGAGCAGGTCGTGCTTCATTCGGATATACCACCCTTAGTCGAGCGCGGCCTTGTTCCAGCTAGACACAAACAAAAGAGGAGGAAAAAGGGAAAGGGAAAAAGGAGGGGGAAAAGTACATAAAGGGAACTGGATCTTTACATACCTCTACACACACAGGAAGGATCTGCCTCAACAGCATGCCAATTTCTTCACATATTTCTTTCAAGCATGCAAACATGTTGCATCAATCTGGCGTTCAAGGGGGGCTTCAACCGGGCAAATTCATAACAGCGAGGATCTCAACATCAAGGCGGGGGGCGGCGAGAAATCTACTTCTTCAGAAAATAACAGTATGGCATGTTTGTCTATATAATCTCTCTTTATATCCCCTTTTGGCGTTCGCTATGTTGCTTGCTTTCAACATTAATGCATCAACATTCCTCTCGGTCCGTGCTTAACAGTTTCGGGGGAGGTGTGGTCTTGGAGGAGAAAGACAACAAGAAAGCGACAGGAAGAGAAGGTCCAACTCTACCATCACCTGGATAAACGTAGAGCTTTGACACGAGATAGATATTCTCAACTCAATACTTTTGAGGTCTATTTTGTGGTACCGCCAGGAAATGGACACATCAACAACATCCAGCTTTGTCCTTTTTGATCTCGGTATCATATGATTCAACAGCTAACACACCCAATCGCCAAACGCCCAAGAAAACATTGTGTCCATTACAACACCCTCCTGACAACCTTTCCAACCTCCCCCCTTTCCACCGCCTCCACTCTCGCACTCACCACCTTCCACAACTCCTCCGCCACCTCCTCGACGCTCGCGCTCGCATCAATAACATGCAAATCCTCTTCCTCCTGCCTAAACGCATACTCCCTGTCAATATGCGGACCGCCCGCAGCCCCAGCCAGTGGCGTCGGCGCTCCAACCGCCACCTCTTCCATCTCTGTTGGTCCTTCAGCAAGCATGACCGCTTCCCTCTTATTCACCTCCTCCCCACCCCGCTTTCTCTCACCTCCCGTCCCAGCACCACCCAAGGCCGAAACACCACCAACCGGCACTGTCACCGTCCCCACCCTCCCCAGCGACAAACCCCAAAACAACTCCCTTACTCGGCGCTGCATCTCGGCTTTCTCGTAGAGCTCGTGACCCCACCCGCCGCGCAAGCGCGCTTGTTCTTCGTCGAGGTCGAGGAAGAGGACCAGGTCGGGACGTGGGAGACCGATTTCGGGGGCGCGCGCCCAGGATAAGGAGAGGGATGGGTTTTGTTTGGCGGCCGAGTAGACGATGCCCGAGTGGTAGTACCTGTCGAGAATGAGGGTGGTGCCTTGGGATAGTTCCGAGGTGATTTGTTTTCTGTTTGATTGAATCTTGTTAGTCTGTCTGTTTGTCTGATTGTCTACTGTTTACTGTTTGTATATGTGTACAGTCCCACTCCGAAAGAGTAGGGGAGAAGCAAGATAAGAAACAGGAGGGTGAAAAGGGAAACAAAAAGGAGGGAAGAAGAAAAGAAAGAAAACATACACAGCCTCCCATCGATTAGCACTAAACAGCAAGTGAATGACATGATCGTCCATTTGCGCCTGCGACTTGAGGTACGAATCGATCATCTGGCCGATGGGCGTGGTTCGGTCGGGGAATCGCATGGTCTTGACTTTTTTCCCGGCTTTCAGGAAGCGGTCCTCCAAAAGCTTGACTTGGGTCGTTTTGCCGCTGCGGTCGAGACCTTCGACGACTATTAGGGCGCCGCGGGCAATGGGGTTGTTGTTGCCGCCATACTGGGTGGTTGGCGTTGGGTCTGTGGTTGTTGAGGCCATTGTGTGGTCTGGCTTCCGGGATTATTTTTGTGTGAGGTATCAATTGATCTTGAAACAGATTGGAGGAACCGTTGAAAAGGAGTAGGGAGGGTGGAACTGGAAGATTGGACGGATTGAATTGATGCGAGTGTTGATGCGATGACCTGGTGATGGACTCGACCCAAGCTCTTATCGTGCGATAAGATGACGGAGTGGGACAGCAAGGTTCGCGGGGGAAGGAAGCTGCAGTTGTAAGTGGACAATGGGGGGAAGGTGCGCACTGTCTCGGGTCAGCTCACAGCGCTCACAGTAGGGCAGTTGAGGGCCGGCAATAAGCCTGCCGGGGCTGTGGACGGGCAGGTGACAGAAAAGTGCTGCGGTATGTCTCGCAGCTGCCAACCTTGTACTATGTAGAGGTACGCTTTGTGACCGGGGCATCATGATATTTGGGGGTTTCCGCTTTGGGTTGCGACTTCCTCATCGCCTGGGAGACGTGATGATGGCGGTGGACAATATTCTTGACGGGAATCTGGGAAACTTCCATTCTCTGGCGAAACCAATATATCCTTCCGTTGTTCAAACGCATTATTTTCAATTCATCTGCCCATCACCAATTCACCCATATCAACCCTGAAACCACGCTCTCCGAAACTTCCAACTTCCTAGCTACCAGCTTTGCGAATCCAGTTCCCCCCAAAGTTGAACCCATCTCAGTGCCATTATTTCTACGAATGACACAAGTCACAAGATTTACTGGTCCCAAAGTATCTCAATTTACGGTTTGCGGATGGACATCGCATCTTGGCGGGTTCTGCAAGCGTACTGTTCGTAACTTGACCGCTTTCCTTGATACCTTACTCGTCTTTCTGCCACTGGAGCAAAGCTTGGCCTTTTCGAGCCGTTTGGAGCTTGGGAGTTGCTCAGTTGATCCCCTAAGGTCGGGAAATGATTCTGGGTGGAAGAGAACATTAGGAAAACGGCCATATTCGGATACGTCGCGCCGTTCAAGCCGCTCTGCCGCTGAGTACCGATAGCCCAGAACTCAAGCAATGCCCAAAACACCGAAAGTTGCTAGAGCCAGCCGCAAAATGATTCAGCCTCCTCCTCCTCCTCGGCCGATGTGTTCTTCAGAAGACTTCGGCTTGTCATGACGACCTGAAAATATCCAACTATTTGCTGGGAGTGTTGCTGTGCAGCTCTTCTACCCTCCCGCTCTTCGGCGCCATCATCAGTACGCTTCAAATCCGACATCATCGACCCACTGATCATGAACATAGAGTTGCAACGGGAGAGCATTTGAGGTTTGGCGTCTTGGGTTCTAAACCAAGCAAGTCATTGCATTGGTCACCACGCTCAACCCTCCCAGGGCCTTCCTTGTCATACCGGGTAAGCGTCAAACCTGCGATGTCCTGCATGAAAACTGCCGCTGACAAGGCCTAGATTGTGCGCCAGCGTATTTTTCGGCGTCCTTCTCCTCACCCGTCGACCCTACGGCCTTGACTTGTTCTGAGATGACCACCGTCAAGGACATGCGAGGTCCTGTATATGATGATTCCAGTCATCGATCGAGACTTCGAGGAGGAGGGCGCGTCGGCGCGGAGAACATTCCCTTTGGGTGCCCGCCCAGTGGGAACGAGAATCGGCGATGATAACACCGACTGGCTCGAGGCTCCCCAGCCGGAGACGTTCTGGAAAAAGGCCTCGGCAACCAACAAAGTGGCCTTGCCCATCCACTGCCCTAGGAGCCTAGTTGTGGGTACGCCATCCTGCAGCGACCCAGGCTTACGTCCCACCTCCCCTCCCGACAGCGTCGTGAATGCCCCAGTGCCAACCACGTGGTATTATCTGTCAGTTCTCCCCGCTTCTGTCAAACTGTTAAGAGCATTAGATTACAGTGGTTCACATGCGGAGATGGGTCGGGGACGCTGGGATTCGCCACTGAAAGTAGTAATATCGCATCCAGACGGACCAGGCAACAAAAGACGTCCATCCACGGTCATCGTTCATGCATATGTCAACCACCATCGTCGAGTTGAAGGACTGTGTGCTGCGATGACAGTCTCGGTCTCGCTTCGTGGCACATCTTCAGTTGGCTGTCTCAGCTGCTTTCGGATTTCCTGAGAGATATCATCTGCTCCAACCATCTTCGATATGTAACTCAAGTGATGAAACCGCCTCAGGAGAGCATTGGGCATCATCGCATCTCGACTACAGAACGACGAGACAAGGAACCCGATCTGGAAGCTCAACTGAATCAGCTTGGAGCTGAAGAGGACAAGAAAGCTTCAGCAGAGGTGCCACGAAGTCCAGATGGCATATAGATGCTGCTGCGAGGCTTATCACACCGGCCCAGACAGGCATTCTGAGCGAGCCATGTCCCCGGGAACGCTAGCCGGGGTTTGCCAAGTGGTGCGAGATGGCTTGAGTGGGTGCGCCTGTCATCACTGCTTTGCATACAATCACCGCGGGGAAGTGAGAGTGCTGTAGCGGTTGGCTTGCATGATGCCCTTTGCCCCAGAGTTGAGTTGGAGAGTCTGAAGCTAGCATCATCTCTAGCTTTACCCACGGACACTGGGAGAGACTAACAAAGTACAAGCAAATGTTAAGGGAAAACTCAAGCACACAGCTTTACTTCTCGTGAACAGTTAAGCTTATGAAGAAGGTAGTGCTCGAAACGTCGCTGTCATTGCTAGAGACGGATTTTCAGGGGCAATTTCTCTTCTCTACTCGACCACCAGCAGGGTTAGGGTTGCATAACAATACGCCCCATCCCCTACAAATATCACCGGGAGACACACACTGCGAAGTTCGCCCATATTTTTTCTCTTCTTTCCTTCATTTATTACTTCAAAAAGAGTCTCCACATAATGAGCGAGCATAATCCGACACTATGTCCTTCTGATACAGGAAGCCTGGTTGCTTTCACAATAGTTCAACTCAAGCTCGAAGGAAATCCAACCAAAGAGCCGCACAAGGGCATGCCATCTACCCAGGAGCCTTCATGATACCAGATATGGGAGTGCCCATCCAGCGAAGAATTCAACGTCCAAAGCGTGATACCGACACAATGTCCTAGACATGTGTAAGGGATAGCAGTACCAGCATTACCGCTGTGCACGAGATATGTGAGCAAGTGAGACAAGGCAAGGTGTTTCCGCAACATCGAGCAATGGGGGAGCAATGAAATGTCTCAAGAGCTAAAGTGCTTGCAGATGGCTAAAGTGCTTGCAGATAACGCCTTGACCTACAGAGTCTATCAAAGTCAAATGTCGTCGAACACTACCTGTACACAGTAGGCAAGTTTGTTCGAGTATCAGGGCGACTACCGGTTCAGCGAGATCTTGTGTAACGTTGTCCAAATGTGACGGCACAGCAAGGTCGAGACACCTCCAAGCATGTCGAGATATCCCGGGCACAAGGATTGGACGCCAGAGGAGTACAAGACTGGTGAAGGGGTGGACGGCGATGAGATCTGATAGGGGACCACGAACAGTGTCATGTCTGAACTTGGCTAACAGGTCGTTGTACTACCATGGCCGTTGGTAAGAAAATGATGCCTCCATCGCTGCCGTGACGTGACCGGAACCTACGCCATGGCCGGGCCTAGATGGATGAGGACCTCTAAGACCCGGATGGCTGCTCTTCATTAAGCAGAAGAATGGACATTCATCTCGTTCAGCTGCCAGCCGAGCGCATTGGGTTCGGGAATCTCCACGGACTGATGATATGTTGCTCCCTGACGGGATGAAAGACCAAGAGAATGCTGCATAAATTGTAGTGTACGGGCCAGACAATGGCTGCCCTTTTGCATTTCTGCGATGGCCCGCATTTGCGAAGGTGGAGTCACTGCAGAAGTGGTGTGGGGCAGCCACTTTAACGCCTGCGGGGCCTGAGACGCGGTGCGGTGCGGTGTTCCCCGCGCGGGCGTGTGTGAGGCGGGAACATGGAAGGGGCACCACGCCCTGTCATTGGTGCACAGAATAAATGGATTTCTTGGAGATGACCACTCAACTGGTACTGCAGCGCGCCAGACGGATGCACGGTACCTACAAGAAAAGGTCGAGGTGGTGTGCGGACACTGACTCGAAGTCTGAGGGTTCGCATTGGATTACCTCAACCTTGATGGACGCATGGGCGGACGACCTGATCTCGACTGAACGTTCCAATTCCATTATTCGTCTTGGGTCTACAAAACCTGCAAGCTCTTAAAGAAGTACACTACCTACAAACAGGACAAATGGTTCAGATTATGTACCTATGACGGCGGTTGCACAGGGGTGAAGGATTGAGACCATCTGCAGGCACTTTAACAAATTCCCACAGCGCATTCTTCTCGTAAAGTGGCACAGGGATGACACTGACCTCTCTGCGGTCCCTTGCGCCTCTAGACGCCTCTTCGTCCTCCGCTCCCGCGATTTCGTCGCACCTTTTGATTGGAAGAAAGTGGCGACGGCGCGCGTTGAGAAATGGTGTTTTACCACGAAAAAGGCACGTCAGGTTCACCGACCAGTGGCCTATCACAGCCGGTCAGTTCAGCCTTTCAACCTCCACCGCACTGCCTGCAGTGAGAGAAGGACACTTCAGGTTCTCGACCAATTCACTTGCACTTGGCTGCCCAGTTGTACCACCGATTTACCCGACCGCCGGTGACTGACCACCAGTCTTTCCCACAACTGCCACACACTACTTCAACCCATCACCTTAATTTTCGCTCTTTCCCCCACCCCTGCCCTATCCGGAAGCCTCCCTCTCGTGAGCTGCATCGACAATATCTTGTCGCCCAATTTACGGTCGCCAACATACCTACATACGACCGAATTATCCTACTTACACCTAGGTAGGTAGGGACAATACCGACTCGGCCAGACCCGCACAGTCATTCGGTACCCGACAGTCGAAATCCAATCCCGTTTCCGCCGATCTGCCACTGTCGACGTCTCTCGAGTTGGACCGCCAAACCACATCCAACCATCACCGACTTGCACGTTGCCCGGCAGAACGATACCAGGCCGACGATTGCGACACTCGAAACACACAATTGGTCGTAGAATCCGTCCCGAAAGTGATATCGAGTCGGTCGGGCTATCTCAGTGTATGTCTCTTGCGGAGGAAACCTCCCGTTGCGACGCTACGTAGGACGTAGTCGAGAGGCAGCCACGCATTGCACAAGTCCTGCGCTAACAGTTATGCAGTCGCAGATTGTGGTGTTGCTGCACATTCAACCTCCCAGGTTGCCATTACAATTACCACCACCATCTTGAAAGCCAAGGCAGTCTTCGAACGTGCGCCTCATAGACAACGAATTGCATTGGACGAGACCATCGCACCAATCCGACAGAACACCAGGCCACCAGCCCGACTTACAGACATCTCTACTACCTTGCCAAAGATACTGGTACTGATGACTGGCACTCTCCTTTGCGAACTTCGATAAGAATTGCTCGCTTCCGTCGACTGTCGGTTGTCTTCTTGCCGCTTTTCTTTTTTTTTTTTGCTTTTCTTCAGCATCTACATCTCTTGTCTTGATCTTGGATCCATTGCTCTTCTCGTTGCTCCCGGAAGCTAGACCAAGTCGAAAGACACAACCTGTTCGTCGCAGAAGGAGGATAAGAAATCATATCTCTACCAACCCTGCACGTCCAACGGTTGGATCTGTACCTCAAACATCATCCACACACACAACCCCCGCATTTTTCTCTCCTCCTATCTCCTGGGCACTTGGAGCCAAGCCCCTGTGTCTCGGCGCTTACCTATACCTTTTGCATTTCTTTTCCTTGGGTTCGGGTGCTGCGCCTGTTCTACGCCCGCTCCTTCACAGTACTTAGTGTACGCGAAGCAGCAGCGAAACCCACACGAAGATTCGCGGGACCACGCCAGGCAAGTTCCGTCATACCCGCGCTTCCGCGAAACAGCGCGCGGCGTTCGTGTGTACCTTGCACCCTTTTAACTCCGCAGCTGTCCCCTCTTTTCTTCCCCTTACAGTAATATTCTACCATCCATCACAATGGCTGCCGTTAGTCGTCAACCGTTTGCTCCCCTTAATGAGGGGAGGTTGTCGGGACTGACGAGTTTGAAGAACAGACAGAATGGTAAGTTCGTCTCCTGCTTTCTACTGCCGCCTGGACTGCACCTCTTCTATTCGGTTCATTTGTCTCCTTACCAACGACGTATCGATGCACCCGCAACATCACATAGCTAACACCATCTTCTAGCCCTCTCTACCAAGAGGAAGGCCGCTGAGGTTGATCCTCTCGACGATGCCGAAAATGTTGACCCCAGCATGTTCTCGAAGCGGGCAAAGTCCTCGCACTCCAACATCATGAAGCCTTCCCAGTATGTCCTCAAGAAGGCCAGCACACCAGTCATCTCTCTCGGAAAGAGCATTCTCGGCAACACATCCACCCAACCCAGGCATATCCTCCAAGCCAAGTCTCAGCAGATTCGTCTCAACACTCGCATTGCCACTCCCACAACTCTCACTGCCCCCGCCGGCCGATCCCCCATTCGCGGCTCCAAAAAGGGCGGTATTCTTTCCAAGCGCCGCATCCAGCGCGTCGATCCCCCCTCATTTGGAGGAGTTTCTGCACCTTTTTCCCTCGATGCCGCTCTCAAGGGTACCATTCCCAGCTATTCCGGCGGCCTTGGCGAGACCAAGTCAACAAAATCCACCACCACCAAAACCGAATCACTCACCCCCTCAACCATGAAGTCTGACTGGTTCTTCGACATCCACGAAGATACTCCCGAGCAGGAAATGACCAACCTCCTGCAGCATAGCACCTGCGTCCTCGACATCAGCAGTGACGAAGAAACCGAAAAGCGCGAGACGCTCGAGTGCGCAGAGGGACGCGACAAGGAGAACGTGCCGCCTACCGATGATGTCAGCCAAACCCAGTCCGCACGGACTCCTTCGACACGAGGTGCGAATTCGAATGCAGGTTCGGATGCGGATGACATGATTGTGGAGAAGAACAGGGGTCCGTTGCAGGAGATGGACAGTCAAGATTTCTGGCCTGAGGGAACGGATGACGAAGATTTCTTTGTGGTGCCCGGAGATGAGGATGACGCTGCTGCTACTGTTGCTGGTCCCGAGGTTCTAGGCGACAAGGCAGGAGACAGCCAAGAGAAGCAACACGGCGACATTCCCCAGATTTTCGTCGACAACTTTGAGGATGACGAAGCCGATGAAGCCGATACCAGCTCTTGCAGCGACTCTGACGATGTGGACAGCGTCGATGGCATCATGGGCGTTCACGACGGACCGGTCAAGGCCGCGGTTTTGGAGCCGATTGAGGGCACGGGTGAGAGCTTTGAGCTCTGGGAGAGCGAGAGCGCAAAGGACCAGCAGAGCGTGCCGTCCTCGCCTGCGCGTGAGGGTGTTTTGGGGGAGGTGGATATTGCTGAATGCTAGTGGTTTTGGGATGAATCCTCTTCTGTTGTTCGTTAAGTCGAGCAACACCTTCAACGCTTGTCACGACATCACCTGAACATCATCATCGGAAAACCTTGATGGATGGATCAGTATAGTACATGTCTAAAACAGTGGTCCCTATCATGAGGGGCAGGCGTCCTCAGAAGCTGGGGCTGAACGTCAAGGCCGAGAAAGAGCCATGAACACGCTACGTGGCTGTGAGTGGATTTTACAGGCGTTTGCTTACGCCTTGAGGATTGTTCAATGGAAATGATGAAGATATCATGGATTGGGGGATTATTTGCTTCAGACGATTGGAGTACTGGAGTTTGAACGAACAAATGCTTGCTTGGGTTTACGTGTACAGTGTTGATTACGAGCTAGCTAGGCTAAATGAGCTTTTTGATAGCTTGAGAGATGATAGATAGTATTCATTGTTTTGCTGCCTGTAGCTTCCATGTGATCTTTGGATTTCGTGAAGGTATATCGTCATCCAGATCATTGACAGCGGAAGGGGCGGTTGGACCTTAACCCTTGATGCAGGTACCGATCGGAGGGATCTTTGTTCATTCTGCATCTCCGCAATCATGCTGAAGATCGATACCCGCCCTGCCGTCTTGCCGGCCCTTGTCGACGGTTCGGTAGACGAGCAGATGGGGAGATGGGTGGAAGCAAGGGAGGAGTTGAGGAGGCGGAGGATCGCCAGGGAGTTTGAAGAAAGACGGATGAGCTCTGCATGGAATGAACAAAGCCACCACACAAGTTAGGTAAGAGGACGTGCCAGAATCCCTCATGTCTTCTTTCGTTGGTCTAGAGTCGATGCAGAAAAAGGTGATGTCGCTGGAAAATGAATGGTAAGTACCTCTACGAAAATGTGCGAAATTTGAAGATGTGCAAAGATGTGCGAAGCAACAAGTCGCCACGAAAAGGTGCAACGAAAAGGTGCATCAGAAAGAACGGAAAGCAAAAAAACAAGAAAAGAAAAAGGAAGGAAGGAAGGAAGGAAGGAAGGAAGGAAGGAAAAAGAAACTGTACTCCATATCTTTTCAAATGATATCGGTAAAGAGATGAAGTTGGTATTAATTTAAAGAGTACCATAGGTCTTCCCTTCAACGTAGAGGTAGGAGGGATTCAACCTGCCACACAGACAGTTCCTTATATCAAGCCATGTGTCTGGGAGCAGTCTGACTGTTGGAAACCTTGGACGTGGCTGTCAGATTTCGAGTGGTTGGAAGAAGCCATGACTCACCAATGGATGAGAATGGCCTGCGACTGTCTGAGGACGCCACAGACTGAGTCATTGGTAATTCTCATGAGCCAAAAGCAAAGAGTAGATCTGTGGTACGAGGTGAGACACAGAACAACACGGCACCGAAGGATCGAGGTGAAAGGAGATCTTCGGGAACCCAAGCTCACGGAAGACGACAACGTCACATGGGAGCACCCAAGAGACCCGCTCGCCCTCTGCAATTTATAGTAGTTTAGAATTACCGAAATTATTAAAATTACTAAAATCAACCCCTACTACCCTCTATAGTCAGTATGATTGTAGGGTATATATAGGGCATTTACAATTGTTACATTTCTTTATCTTCTACCTATGTAAAACCCTTGTATGTAGGTACCAAGCTAACGAACCTACCAGGGCTCAAGTATATTTCGATGCAGCTGAGGTAGGCAGTCAAAACTCGACCACCTTTTCCACCCACCCAAAACCGTATTAATCACAGATCATTAAACAGCTCAGTCTACAAGTCTTTTGGTCGTGAAAGTAAATCTTCATCCTGCTGATTAAAAGTCTGGTGAATGTTTCGCAAAGGCTGTATGTATCAACAGGGAGGGGTAAAGCTGATTTGACGGTAACTATGATTTCAGTTTGTCGTCGATGAAGTAAGGTGAGGTGGGTATATAATCCCCAAGTCCAGGACAAGGAGGTACACAAAGTCGCCTGGCAATCGCGCGCCAAATCGCGGGTCCAATCCGTGGCGAAATGGCGCGTGCTTTGTCCCAGAGCATTTCCTTCGTGGCGCAATTGGCTAGCGCGTCAGACTGTTAATCTGGAGGCTGTAAGTTCGATCCTTACCGAAGGAGATTTCTTTTTTTTTTTTGTTCACTTTATTTTTGTGAGAGGAAATGTAACCTAACTGTAATGAGGCCTACGAATCTACGATAGTACGATGCAGTGCTTGGCTTGGGTGGGTGGATGGGACCGCTTTTTATGGGGATGGCGGGGCTTGGCGGCCCCGGGGCCCTGTGGTGGCACTTCACCTGCTTGCTTGCTATGACTTCCTTTGACGGTGCTTCAACGATGAACATTACGGAACAGTTCTTTTTTTTGTTTATTGTGGAGATAAGAAAGAAAGCATCGAGAGGCAGAATTTGAAGTCGTCAGTCCAAAGACGAATACCATCAACCAGCAAAAGGAGGGAATTCGCAGGCTCGACAGGCTTAGCGATTTCAGTCAATCGCTTTTGTTTTTGACCTTGATCACACGCAGGAACTAGTATCTTCTGTCCTCAAGTTCGCTGACACCTTGAGTGCCTTTCCCAGTCGGAACCAAATCGAGTCCCTGAGGAAAACCGGTACTCAAGAGGCTTTGAAGTAGCTTCTAGGTTGTTCATCGAGAAAGGTTACAGATGAACAAAGCAGGGCCCACGGAACATTAGAGAAACCACCCAAGCAATGAACCAACCCCAACATCATATACCAGCCAGAGTAGATGGTTTTCCAACCACTCGCTGTAAAGTGTATGAAACTCGCACCTTCGACGAGTGAACTATACCTGGGTAGAGACAGAGAACTCTAATCCACCAATCCGTGCCGTCTTCTTCAACAATTACTTCCATCTCTGCTTCATAACCAAAGCAACCTCTGATTGCCTCATCTAAGAGATATCCATACTCCTCCCCGTCGCGAACGAACTCGAAATGTAATGAACTACCAAAGATAACCCGAACAAACGAGCCCTCTCCGCAAATCCTTACGGATAGAATCCACCTCTCCTACCTCATCATTCCTCTCCATGTCCTCTCCTCGTTGTGCCGCTAAACCCGCTTCCGGTGCTGTATAAACCACCACCTTTTCCCATGACATATTCAGTTCCTTCTTCCCATGTGCGAGGGCAGTAGTCGCTTGCGATTCACGTACCTCCTTCACATACCCCTCAATACCTGCCAAGAATCCCCTCGTGTTTTGCTCATCATGACAATGGTTCCCCTCCTCGTTCTCCATCTCCAACTACTTCTCGTTAGAGGTACCTAGGTATCCTTCTCATCACCGCTGTGTCTGTCGCCGTCCCCGTCCCCGTCCCTATCACCATCGCTACCGCCGTACAACACGTCCATATATCCCCCTTTCACCCCTTCACCGTCACCTCCCTGTCCACCTCCCTCTCCCTCTCCCTCTCCATTTCCCTGTCCACCACCCTGCCTCTCAAGATCCATATCCTCCTTCTGTCGTCGACCACATATACATGTGCATCTACATGTACCTCTCGGGAGACGATCCCACTCCTCCTCATGATTCACCCACAAAAAGGCCCCAACCACAATAACCACCACGAAAAAGATGATTATGGTCGTCACGGCAACCATCAAGTCCTGATCAAGACCCGCGGCCTTGCAGTAGGCGTGGCATGCTTGGCTAATGGGGCGGTAGCAGAGGAGTTCTTCTTGGGAGAGGATGTTGTCGTCTTTGCCGGTTTCCATGTTGGAATGGAGATCGGTCTTGTATGTGGTTGACATTTTGGAAAATCTCAAGGGACCTGGAATAGGTAGGTAGATGTATTTATAAAGCTTGAAAGTTGGAAACTGTCTGATGGGACTGGAACAGAGGTTGGTGAAGGTTCGTTCGCTTCCCTTCGATGATCGCAAAATACCACCGTGGGGACCAGAGAATGTCGGTACACCGTCTGGTCAGGACATACTGGACGGGAGGTAGGTAGGTACCTAGGTAGGTAGTGAGTACACCTTTGGGTACCTAGGTGTAGAGTGGTGCTGCACTGGACTACTGGACTGACGTTGCGGGCTTGGAATCGAAATTGGGACTGAAGACCGGTTTCTTATGGAACGAAGGATCGTTGATGCGAACTTTGGAATACAGAATAATGATTTCCTGGCAAAGGGAGAAGACTAAAAGTTGGGGTCAGAAGATTGGTAAACACGTAGAAAGAGCTAGGCAACTACCGCAGAAACTACGGCCCTCAAGTTCTAGGTTTTCAGGAAGTTAGATATATTTGCCACACCCCGAAGGATTGTACATTCGGTTTTGTAGTGCCCCGTCTTTCCTCTCTAAAGGCATCTTTCTAAGGACATTCAGGAGTAGGTACATTCAACATCACTGTCTTACATACAACTTCTAGCGAGCATAAATGTTGCAGCCTGCTTCCAGATTATAGCTACCTAAAGGCAATTTCTAGGCAACCTACAAAAACATTAACGGCCCGAGTCTTTACAATAACGTATCGTTCCTGCCTGTAGACTGGATACACGCGTACATCTAGGCAGCTACATTTTGGGCTGGGTGGGGTGGTACGTGCACCGGTGCACGCTCGTAGAAGATACAAGAAGTGACTTTGGCGTGCAACTTCCTTCTTGCGATTCAAACCCGCGGCAACTCGATTACTCGTAGAGGAAGAATAATAAAGGGCCAGGATGACGTAAACTCCAAATATCAACATTTTGGTGGTTCGGATCAAGATAATTGTATCGCTGTGCTCGAGTGTCCAACTGCTGCGTTGTATCTTTGACACCGAACATGCCCTTTGTCCTTGCTGGTCCCACACGAAGGTTCAACTTATAAATGTATTCAGTCAAATGTTTACAAGGCCAAAATAGGAGGGTATCATATTGAAGCAAAAAGGAAAACAAACAATGCTAAATGTGCAGCAGTATTCCAAAGAACAAAAAATGACCTTTGTAACTTTATTCTCATTTTTCCCCATGTGCAACAGATGCTAATCCGCCTACGTCCAGCGCAGACACCCCATCAAATCATCCCGCCCGGCATTGGATATCCTCCCGTTGAACCATCCAAAGGCGACCAATCATCCTCCCCACTCGCCTCCTCATAGTACGTCCCGATCCCATACCGACCCCCAAATGACCCCGACATATCCGACGCCGCTGATACCGAAGAGTTCCACCTGCTGTGATATCTCTGCGTTTGCGACTGCACACTTCTGTTGCTCCTGATTGTGCCATGGCTGGCTTGTCGCGGTCTTGTCACCACTGGCCCTGGCCCTGGACCGTATCCTCCGTATCCCATTTCCAAATCTCCGTAGCTGTGGCCGTAGCTTGGCCTGCGCGGTGTGTGAGGCGAGCTGGAGAAGGGCTCTTCGTAACGGTCGGTCGATATGGCGATGCCTACTCCTACGTGGAGGCCCATTTCCATTTCCGAGTCCCTCCTCCTGCTGTTATAGCTGTTGTTGATTGGCGACCCGTAGACCGGGGACATCGGGCTTATCGGGCTGACAAAGGTGTTGCTGGAGGTAATGCTTTGAGTTGGGGAAATCAGCCTCTTTGCTGATTGGGATTGAGGACTGGCGACTCCCACGGCTGTTGTCGCATTAGAGTCCTTATATACGTGTGAGTTCACAGTTTTGGTGCTCATAGAGTGACTGTGTCCCGTCCATGGTCTCTTCCCCGTCACGTTCGACTTTGTGCTTCCGGCTGTCTTCGGCCTCGATCGGGTGGTGTAAGAGCCACGGGTCGCATTGTTGGTGATCGATGGCTCTTTGCCCCGCAGGAAGAGGAAAAAGCGGGGAAACGAAGGCATGCAGCCGACGAGAATGGTGCCGCAGTACTCGATCATGGTCCAGATGCCGACTTTTGTAATGATCCAGGTTAGGTCGGGGTCGGAAAGGAGGGGGATACGGACGACGACGCCAACAGTTGCTATAGCGCAGGTCCTATTGCTTGTGTGTTAGCAGATGAAAATGGGAAGGGAAGTCCTGCCATGAAACCTACAAGATACCGACGGCAAACACCGCCGAAACGCCAACCTTCCTCCTCATAGGCAACTGCAATCGAAAGATCGCCCAAATAGGGGTGATCAACATGCCCAAATCCAAAAACAGATTCATTGCTCCTCCAAAGATAATTGCGGCTGCAATGTTGATGCAATGCCCCTCCATCAAGGGATTCCAAGCTTTCTCGCGGGGCGTGCACTGGAAGGTGTAGGTAAAGATGGCAGAAAACGAATGGCCGGCGTTAAGGAACAGGAGGATGTGGATGCACCACCAGATGGAATCTCTTCGAGAGCCGGGGCAGAAGATGCGCCTGAACTGGAGGAGAATCGAGGATTTGGCGAGGAACATGGTGGAAGCATAGGATATTTCGGCGAGGTAGTTCCACTGCAATGTGTCAGCAAGATGGCGGAGATCGACAGGAATGGTGTTGACTGCTACTGACGTATGAGAGATTCGATATGTCGACGAAGCGAACGTTCCAGAGATGACGGGAGAAGCCATGCTTGGATTGGTAGATGAAAATGACTTCCCAAAGGATGATGCCAGCCTGCGTCTGGGTTAGTATCTGGTCGTCATGCGGTAGTCCAGTGTCCATACCGTGCCCAAGATGGCGGAGTAGTCCTCAAGCTTGACCTCTCGTAGAAGGAAAGCCTTGGTAAAGATTCGTACGACAAGTGCTATAACCATCAAGACCATGGTCCCGATGGCAACCCCAAGCACAATAGGATGCATCGTCTCCGGATTGACAAAGTTGGGTATCTGACCCTCGGGCGGCATCATGGCCGGCATGTCTTGGAGTGTCCAACCTGCAGCCATGGTTACGGTGGCGATGGAGTTTGTGATGGACGGAATGTGTACCCGGTCTGTTGTAGTGATGGACTTTGTGCCCGGTATGTGGTAGTTATGTGAACTCCTTAGTAACGAAACATGATGACCTTGCTGAGAAAGAGTGAACTTGGTTAGAGGTCTTCACGGTCCATGTGTTCGCGCATCACCATGGGAAAGACAGGGTTGACTGGACAGGAAAGTTGAAAGAACGTTGTCTGCCCAGCAGCCCAGCAAAAGCAAAGAGAGACAAAAAGAGAGAAGACGGAGAATCCAACAAACTATAGTTTAAGCTCGGGAAGAGAAAAGGATCAGTTGAACCCCATATTTGGGGTGTGACCAGAGCTCCGGGATCCGGTTCGGCAGACATTGAACTCGAAACGAAGACCGGACCCGCCCATTGTTTACACACATCATGAACTGACAAGTCTCGCGATATCACTGACTCCGCCGCACCGCAAAAATTTCCATGTCCAGTCAGCTCAGGAACTGGTTCGGACAGGACAAGGGCTTTTTAGGATTTCGAGGATTTGTTGACCAGTAGGGACCACCATCACTGGCGGAGCGGCAAAGACCAGCGAAGCCACTCAGCGTGTAAAAGCGGCCTCCGACGATCTGATTGGCTCCCACTCTCGCGGGGCAGCACAACGATGCACAGCGCCTCGATTAGCTTCGCACAGTTTCTCGGCCCGTGAGTGGTAAAGTTAACGGACGTTGTCCACCCAGCTGGAGGCCTGGTGGCCACCTAATGACGATTTACGATGTTGGCTTTTTGCCCATCACCGACGGGCGCTTGTCAGGTTCAGCCAGCCGGTGGCTCAATGCTCAGAATGGCTTTGTTGGTCCGATCGAATGGCATCGGTGCGGCGGTGCTGGTGATTTCCACGACTGGCTGGCATTCGGCCGGAGGGGTGACTCGGGAATATGATGGTCGTCGGTATTCTTTTTGGATGTGATGTGGCGGGCCATTCATTAAACTCAACAGTCGTCGTCGTCGTCGCCGATAACGTTGACGGGTGTTGTCGATCTTTCGCACTCGCTTTTGGCTCGTCATGGTTTGGTGGAAGGAAGTGAAAAGTGTGGTCAAGCTCGTCGTTTTCGACAGTCCAAAGGTCACAGCTGCCTGCCATGATTGCCCCGCGCAACTCCGTCTTTGCCTTCCTCATCAGGGAAGTGGGCTCCCGTGTCTCCACTCCGAGTCCGGGGTCCATCTCGGTACCTGAACCCACTTTTGTCCGGTGTAAGTTCCGACGTCAGCCGATTGCTGCTCAAACATCAGCTGGTCAATATCATCTATAGAATAAAAAGTTAACACTCCCCAGAAAATCCCTCTAAAGTCTCTGCAAAGAAGACGTCTTTGTTTAGAGTTGAGCCGACGCCGTAAGCAACAAGGGCTAAAGCCACCTGCAAGGACAGCGGTATCGGCAATGCATCCGTACAGGTACCTTCCCCAAACAGCTCCTGCTTCCTATTCTTACCCAATCCCGCGTAGCACGAGATATCCATTAGCTCCCTTCTCCCAGTTGAACATCCCGTTTTCCGACCCATCATCCACTGGAAGAGCCACCATCAACGCCTCCTCTCTTTTCTCAAGACTCTTACACCAACGCATCTGAACCACGAAAGACCCCACAATGCCCGAAATATGCCCCCACCAACCTCCTTCTCACCTACTACCTCAGCCCTCCCCAGCTTTGCTTCCTCTCTCCGAAGAGCCTTGTCCATTTCAATGGGGCTGGCAGAGGCGGCCGCCTGCGGTTGGTGCTTTTACAAGTGCTCTTGCGCTTGCACATACTCGTCTGTCATACTTTTAAGAAGGTCCGAGTCGTATCGTTCCCGGGTCACCACTAGAGGAGCCCAAGTGTACCTAGCCACTTTTCTTTGCAAATGCCTTTTGATATCGTGATTCGATTGATGGTAGAAATCTAGGTATTTGAGGGTATCTCCTTCACAGCCTGGTACTTCCATCCTGAGCACCGCTCTTCTAACCCCTTTTTCCACAACCCTTTTCCCCTGATGTCTTTTCCTTGATCCCTTTTTCATGATACATGATTCATCATCTATTTTCCATTATGCCTTTTCCTTGACCTCTTTCTAAACTCCTTTCCTTACATTGTCTACACTCGTCAGTGATAAAAATCTCCCTTACAAGTGGTTTATATTTTTTCCACTACCTAGTCAACGGCAACTAGCAGCCCCGATGACTAGGTATCTCTATAATATTCAGCATACATCGCTTCAGTCACAACATGAATGGACTCTTCATCCGTCTTGAACCTCAGCCGAGACTCTCCACGTATTCTCTTCAACTGTAGGGGGAGGGATCCTTCCCCAAGCCAACCTTGGCCGGGCTTGTGCTCCTCGAACAAGCGGCACTCGTTCTTGCACGGTACTAAACACCAAGCGGTACTGCCAGTTGTAAATCTCGGACGTGCGGATTAAGTATCGGCGTCGACGGACATCGGGGCGATCGCGATCCAAGGATGCTTGATTGGAGATTCGTCGTACAAATTGCCGCCCGTCGAAACTGTCAGTGAGCCGGGGAGGAATCGTCGTCTCGGTAAGAGATGGTGGTGGCTCTGGACTGTCTAATAAGGCCAGTGATGGTCGACTGAAGAACGAGACACGGAGGCCAAATATGGAAATCCCCTCGGTGGTAATGGCGGCGGGGATACTGGCCCAGAGATTACCGCTGAGGCCACGGAGGGATGTGAGCCACCAGACTGAAGGTATGTTCCGTGCAATCCATTGCTTTCTGGTGTTGCGGAGAGGTTGTATTCAGTCAGCTGTGGTTCGCTCTAGAAGAGAAGAGTTGGCTAGCTTGGCAGAGGCTGTGGGCACGGGACTTACAGGAGGTTGAAGGGGATTGCGGCTAACATGACGGGGAAAGTCGCCATGCGACAGACGAAGGGCTGTTGAAGGCCTGGAATGTACAACTGGTCTCTTGATTGGGGCATTGTTTCTTTCTGGGACACGGTATACGATAGTGATGACTGTTGGGATGACTTGTTTGCTTGGGGTATCTCAAGTCGTTAGGCTTTTATTGGGACATCGTCAGAACTTGAAGAAAGTGCGGTGATGAATAGGGAAAAGGAAGTGTGAGCAGAGGAAAGACAGAGCGTATCATTTTGCTTTTTATCACAGTTCAGAATATCGGTGGACGTGGTTTATTTTCCTCCTTTTGTTCTGCATGTCTGTTTTTTTTAGAACAGGGCATGCAACATAATGTCCGACATTTTGTATGAACGGACCTCGATTTATAACTGCATGCTAAAGGTGTCTCCAGAAGCTCGGCGGCTATGATGCGCAGGTGTTGTTCGCAGCTTCCTGGGGATAGAAAAGGTAACGACAGGATACCTATTCAAGATTCCCGAAGTATCATCTGCAGAAGCAGTTCAGTCCAGACATTCACAGCCATAATGATCCACGATCGTGAGAGCTCAACAACGTACCGATTGTCATAGGGAAAGTCCTGCCATTCGCCTTAGAAAACACCAGGAGAATGTTGTGGTTATCATTATGATGGGCCACGTCGATGCCATGTTATCAGCCCTGATACTCCTCACCGCCCACGTTGTTTACTCGGAGCTGATGAGGTCCGTATGATGCACGATCCAACGGACCTTGAAGAGGACCTTTCACTATTTGTGCGCTGCATAATGCGTTATTGGAGATACACCGGACTCCGGGCATCCTCTGGGATGTTAAAATGCATCTGCGCGTAAGCAAGGTAGGGGAAACTGCCCTGCAGCGTCTGGAAGTAGGTAGAGGTAGGTAATAACTGCCACATGAAAGAACCGAAAGAACATGGGGTTGATCGAAATCATGGCGTTGCCATCTGGAGCTGGAAGTACGAGCATCCACCTGCTACCGAGCAGTTGGATCGAGAATGCCTGAACATGGAATCGTCCATCGATCATCGTGCCTTGCCAGCCTAGAGGTAATGAATGCGGTGGTAGGTAACTATCGGCTTGTAGCCAGGGAGGCCTGTACTAAAGCCGACAACTGCCGCTGGAACACACAAATTGAAGGTACCTAAGCATGCGCGAGAGAGGCCAGACTCCTTCCATTTTTGTGTGGCCCTTGACGACAGACTGCTCTGGCAAGTTGTAAAAACCCGGCGATTTTGACGTTCCTTTTTTCCTTTCCATCAAACAGCTATCGCACGTCAGCGGCAAGATGAAGTGTGGGTGTTGGCAAAATTCTTAACAACATCCTGGCCAGCTTGATGTGACGAACCAGATTCCAATGTCCAAACTCTAAGGCCAGTGATGATGATGATGATGATCCAACGGCACTCACTTCTCCGATTACATCAATATTATCTTGGGTATTCCTTCGCCGAGACCCTATGCGAGGTGCTATATGAGATACCTCTAGACATCCATCACATATCTGCCTGGTTACAAGTCGGGCCAGTGACTGGAACGCAACATCAAGAGCCGGCAAAATGTCCAGGATCGACAACGTCGATATGGATCTTGACTTCCGATAGGCACGCACAAATGCTTTGCAATATCAAATACCCTCCACTACCGAATTGTTCATCATTCGGCACTTGCAAACCGTATGAACTCGAATTTCCTGTCCGTTAGCAACACCGAGTACGGGCGATGAGGCCAGAAAGCTCGATACTTCATGAGCCTGGTTAAAAGCTAAGGTTATCCTCTCTGTCAGCCCAGACTGTCGTGTCCCTGAGTTCACTGGATCAAAGATTGCTTTCGATCACTTCCTCTTTTATCACTCCTCTGAGGCATTGTTATCATCGTGACCATGTACTGGCTTGGAGCTCTCTCCTTCGTGGCCGCCGTTCAGGCCCAAGGATTTTCAATGAACATGTTGCGGTTCGGCTGTTCACAAGCAGTCATTGACCGTATTGATCCGTGAGTTCTACCTCCAGCCTACCTCTGGTCGCAAATAAAAAGGCACTAACACCCCCACAGACTTGTCGAACCGGGCATGCTCCCTTCTTCACACGTCCATCAAGTCGTCGGCGGCGTACGTCAATCTCTTCCCCTTCCCGGTCGATCCCCCTTTTAATGCTCACACTAACAACGAACCACCCAGAACGCCTTCAACGCCACCATGCCCTCGGGCCCCAACGCCGACATCTCCAAACTCGCCACCTGCACCTCCTGCAGTTTTTCCGAGGACTTCTCCAACTACTGGACCGCCAACGTCTACTTCCGCGCCCGCAACGGCACCTACAAGCGCGTCCCGCAAATGGTCAACGACCAAATCGGCGCCGCCAACGCCGGTATCACCGTTTACTACACGGCGCCCGGTCCCAAGACCGTGACGGCCTTCAAGCCCGGCTTCCGCATGTTTTCGGGCGACTCCAGCCGCCGCACCTCCCCCGGCTTCGGCAAGAACATGCAATCGTGCTTCCGGTGCTACACGGGCGCCAACTTTGGCGGCAACACGTACGCCCCTTGCCAGGACCCGCAGCGCGACACCGAGACGTTCCCTAAGCAGCCGTGCCCGGGCGGAATCCGGTCGAGCGTCATCTTTCCTATTTGCTGGGATGGCAAGAACCTCGATTCTCCTTCGCATACGGAACACATTGCCCATCCGGTCGCGGGGCCAGCGCAGTTTGCTGTCGTGGGCGCCCAGTGCCCTTCTAGCCACCCGGTCAAGATCCCGCAGGTGCATTATGAGATTGTATGGGACACGCGCCAGTTCAATAACAAGGCGGACTGGCCTGCGGATGGCAGCCAGCCGTTTGTGTTGAGCAATGGGGACACGACGGGGTACGGACAGCATGGTGATTACGTGTTTGGGTGGGAAGGAGATAGGCTGCAGCATGCGATGGACAATCGGTGCTTTGGGCCGACGTGCAATGAATTAAAGACGCAGACGTTTGACAAGGCGAATCAGTGCACGGTGAAGAGCGTGGTGAATGAGGATACGGATGGGTGGTTGGAGGCGTTGCCAGGTATGGCGGGACATCCGATGAAGAAGTGATGGATGAATGGGGGATATCTGTCTAGTAAGTGGAAGGTTTGATGAGGATGATGATGGAACGTTCGTTCATGTCAAATACCCCCTTGCCCCATCGCTTCTTTGAGTAAGTCGATCATTTGTAGCAACACGTTAATCCACCTCGAGAACCTTAAATACAAATTTCCTTCTACATTTCTCTGGACACTGAAAGCGGCCGTAACGAGCGAGTGTATGACCTCCTTTCTCCAGCTGTACAGATGTGAACCCCGAACATGAAGAGACAAAGGACATCCATAGCCGGCCAAAGACCCATCCATCTCACATGTGAAATGGTAGGTATCGTAACGCCAGATGGAGCCAAGAACGGCACTTGCTCGTCTCTCTCTCAGACGGAGACGGGGGAAAATCCCCACGCTACCATTGGGACGGATGTACGTGAGCAACGAAACAGGGAGAAAATGCGGCACAATACATGGGCATACATAGGCAAGTATAAGGTGTAGGTAGGTAAACTCATAGTCATAAATTACTGTGCCCCCTTACCATATTGGATATCTGGGGGAAGAGGACAATATTTTGACCATGACTGTAGACAGCATGACTGGGGTTGTAACCCTAGAAGTTACCCGGCATAGTAGTATAAATGAGTTGCCGCTGCCCCCCCCTGTCGTTCGTCGGCAATTGAAGAAAAAGAAAATCCGGGGTGCATTTGAACAATACCTGCCTGGGCCTTGAATGGAATATTAACCGGATTACCCGTCCCACTTGAGGAAGTCAGAGAAAGAGAGAGTTACAACATAGTCCCTTTCCGTGGTAGCAAGCCCACTTGGTTGTCCCGAAATTCAGGAGTTGTGCCGCCTGAGGCGTGAGGTGTTGGTGTTGACGAGTGTGCCGGCGACGGGGTAAGTGGAGGTTTGTGAAGAGATGGATCGGGTGGCTGGAAGGTGTTGGAGGGACTCGAATAATGGAGGCTGTCGCTGTTACAAGGCAACGGCTGATGGTCAAATTTCTACATGCCAAGGTTGCGTGTGATGAGTGATGTATTGGGATAAAAGGTGACGAGCAACTCGAGAGCAGATGGAACGTGACGTCATTGAAGCTTCGGCGATGATCGACGCGGTGCTCGCGTGGTCTCCGTTTGTGTGCTGTATCTTGCTCTGTGAGCTCTTGATGAATTCAGATTTGCGTCCATGAGCGTACCGACGCCAGAGATATAATTGAAGATTTCAAATAAAGGGGAAATCCAATGGTGTTGAACTTGTTCGATGTTGGTATCCACATTGATGGACGCGTTGTCCCTCGCGACGGACCTGATTGTTAAGGGGGCCCCACCTAGCGTGGTTAGTGCACAGACGGTGCCTGCTGATCAGCTGTCGGTCGCTGCCGGAAAATCCGGGGAAATGCGCATCAGATCGACGGATGGAATTGAGAGAACATCAGCACAGGGCATTTCTGTCTCGATATCCAGAAGTTATGATTTATTTCAGTTCAATCGATGCCGAGATTTGAAGATGGAAGGAGGAGGAAATGGACGACGAATGAGGAAGGCTTTCAATGCCCAGAAACGCCCAGAAAACGCCAACCTCTTTTAGGGCCTAGGCGCGCCATGGCACATTAATCGGGCAATCAAACTGGGGCCAAGGGCACCTTGACGTCCACCCTGCCGCGAGCCTGCATCCACTAGGTGTGACCGCCGCCTGCCGCTCCCCTCCTTTCTCACCCGTCCATCTCTCCCCCTCTCCTCCTTTCGCCAAAGGCACCGTTGCAAAATGGCCGGCTAGCTACTACTGTACTGCCTTTGGTCCAATGGATTATTCTTGTGTCCATCCATCTTCGCTGACGACATGATGCTACCTTGGACAATCCCACCATGCAGCACCCATCACAACACCCCGTCGTCATCGGCGACCCCGATCTAGGCGTCAAGATCATGGAGTTTGAAAACGAAGACGACTTTCTGCTCCAGCAGCGACGAAGCCCTACCCCACGACAAAGGATGCGGGCGCTCCTCCGTCAAATGCGATACGGTCCGCTCGGAAGACTGCGTAACGCCCTCTTCTTCCTCGGCACCCTCCTGATCTTTGGCTGCATCATGCTCCCATACGACAACGTTGTCCGTCTCGGCCTCCGATTCAATGTCAACAAGTTCCAACACTACCTCAACTCCCACCCAGTTGAGAAATGGCTATTTGCGCCACCAGCATACCCCGTCGATCTGGGCACAGACACTGTCGTCATCGTCAAGACCGGATACGGCACGCGTATAAGGGCAAACGCCTGGTTCGAAGCTCTCAGCGCCTCCAACGAGTTCCGCAACTTCCTCGTTATCGCCGACTATGCCTCCAAGCCAGGTCAAGAGGCCAATAACTATGGCACGCCTCTACCGATACACAACGTTGTCAATCAGACCCTAAGCTCCTTGGGACCGGCCGCCAGCTTGTCCAACTCACGAGTTGCGAAATACCTTCGATTTGCCGAAGCTATAGAAACTGGGAAGGGAGAAGAAGCAGACCAACTAGCCAAGTCCACAGGCTGGGAGATAGACGCCCTCAAAGTACGTGCATCACGGTCATCTCTCATCACCACCGACACCCGTTAACACTTGTCCAACAGTTCATCTCGGGCCTCGAACTCGCTTACTCCAAGTTCCCCAACAAAAAGTGGTACCTCCTCGTCGACGACGACACCTACCTTGTCCAACCATCCTTAAAACCCCTCCTCGCCCACCTCGACTCCGAAGTCCCCTACTACCTCGGCAACGCAGTCGGCGACTTCCGCGTCCGCTTTGCCCACGGCGGCTCCGGCATCATCTTATCACAAGGTGCCATGTCCTCCCTCATTCTCGACAACCCACACGCCGTGCGCACCGCCCACCTCGAATCACTGTCGGAAACATGGGGCGACCGCTTGCTGGCCAGGACCCTGATAAGAGCCGGGGTATATCTGGATGAGGAGTACAGCCATTTGTTCAGCGGCGAACCTCCATGGTGGGCCAAGATTCGCCCGGATCGGTTCTGTAGTCCTATTATCACGTTCCATGGACTGGGCCAGCCGGAGAAGATGCACCAGGCAGGCGAGAGCTTCAGAAATGTGAGCAAGCCGCTACTGTGGAGCGATATCTGGGACGTGTATGGCATGTCGAGGCCGTGGAGGCAGAGTACATTGACGGAAGACGAGCTGGCAAAACCAATAGAGTATGCGAATTGGGACCATGCAGGTGGGAGTGGTGGAGAGGTGGCGGTGATCGAGGGTGTCGAGAAGGCGGAGGAGTGCGGGAGGAAGTGCTATGAGAGGGGGAACGAGTGCATGGCTTGGACGTGGGAGAAGGAGACAAGGAGGTGTAATCTCAGTCCGTGGATGATTGTGGGAGAGAGGGTTGAAGGGAAGGTGAGCGGGCCGAATGGAAAGTTGGCAAGGGAGTTGGAGATGGTTTGTTTAAAGTATTAGCAGACCGGGAGATGACAGAACGGTTATGAACAGACGTGTTGCTACTCAGCGGGATGAAATACCTTCACGACCTATATTACCCATATTGCTCCAGTCAGAAAAGACGTGCGGCGGAGCATCGCGAGATGCTATGCTAGAAGAGCAGAATACCCGGCTCATGTTTATTCACGAGTATTCTTATTAACACATGATTAACAAACTGTATTGTTTTACTTTGCCCATGCGGTTGAAACCTATGCGACGCAGGAGTTCCCATCAACAGGCGAGTGTCGTACGTGAACACGAACACGGAGTTGTCAACGTCACCTTCGCACATCACCAGACCCGAGTCTGTCGTCGTTGAAGTCAAGCAGTACTACTTGGTTAGCTCGTGCCATCTCGTCCGCCACAAACGTCTTGAAGCATGTATAACGAACCCCGAGTCACTGCGCGAACGCGGTTCAGTTTACCTGCCTGGTCATCTGCAGGGGCACGCACTGGCGCATGTTGATACCATAATTAAGCGATCGACAGGGGTTGAACTGACTGTGCAGACGGAACAGTAAGAATTGCCCGTTTATCAGCTACCTTGTGATACTTGAGAAATGCTGCGATAAGATCCCGTGATATGTACCGACATGTCGCTTCCTTTTTTTCCTAACGTTGGGAGGCCGGGCGCTAACGAAACTGAACTGAATGGACCAGTAAGTTGAGAGAGACAGACAGACCCTGGGGATCTCGACACACACCGACAGTCACGCCATCGTGTCTTCCACGCAAGTTCAATCATTGCGCGACGGATTGAGAACTCCCTTCTCTGTGCTTGGTTGGCATCCACCTTTCTTGAACAGCCGAGGCAGACCAATGGACTGATCCCGCTCCTTGACCAAAGAACTAAACCGTCGCCTTTCGGAATCTTGCTCTTGCGCCAGAGACCACCAAGATGCGACCGATATTCTTACGCTCCGTGTTCCGGGTCGCCACCATCGCCACGCCCATTCTCCTCGTCCTCCACTACTTCGTCACCCACGTCCTCGCCCTCATCCACATCTTCTTCCAACACCCCGGCATCGCCATCACCCAGCGCGAAGTCGCCAATGCCTACCTCAACGGCACCCTCCAGGAATCGCGAAAGGCGCCTCAGATCCCCAAGATCATCCACCAGATCTTTCACAACTGGAAGGACCCGGCGAACGAAACGCTGCCGAGTGATTGGGAACAACAGAGGCATACTTGTATAGACATCAATCCCGATTGGGAATATCGCGTATGTTTTCCTCCTTTTTTTCCCCCTTTTTTTCGTTCCCACCCTTCCCTTCTCTCTATCCAATTTGTCCATAATTTATGCTAATTTGGATACAAACAAACAGCTCTGGACACACAAATCCTCCCTCGCCTTCCTCTCCACCCACTACCCTACCTTCCTCCCCGCCTACCTCTCCTACCCACACCCCGTCCAGCGCGTCGACGCCCTCCGCTACTTCCTCCTCTACCACTACGGCGGCATCTACCTCGACCTCGACAACGGGTGTCTGCCGTCCATCAAGTCAGGATCAGGTTCATTAGACGCCTTGACGTACTTCCCTCTCTGGATCACCGATGGCGGCAGAGGAGCGCTAAGTAATAATATCCTGGCTGCTAGACCTAACCATCCATTTTGGGGACGGGTGGTGGCGGAGTTGATAGAAGGGAGGGGGGCGTTGCCGCTTGGGAGCTTGACGGAAAGATTAGCCGGGTTCTGGAAGCGGTGGTGGTGTTTGTGGGGGGTGTTGCGGTATGTGGAGATTAGTTGGGGAGTTGGACAGTGGTTTATTGGTGGGGTGTGGGACGAGTATCATCGGATGCTGCAGCTTGGGAAGAAGGATGCCGTGGGAGGAAAAGTAGTACTTGAAGGGGTGGATGAAGAGGTGAGTGGGAGGTTGTATAGGCTCATGATGGATAATCGGCCGGGCATGGATGAGTGGGTGTTCTTTACGCAGGGCAGGGGAGGGACGTGGAATGGGTGGGATAATCGGTTGTTTTTGGAGATTGGAGACCATTTGTGGATATTTTCCATGGTGTTGGGATCGTTGGTGGGATTGATGGGTTGGTTGGCGAGGAGGTATTGGCGGGCCCAAAGAGGGAAAGGGTATCGGAAGGTGAAGAGTGAGGACATGGAAGATAGAAGCGAGTGAGGCTAAGCAAGTGCTCGGGGCTTCGGTGTTGTCAAGCCTGGTGTCGGCCTTGTTTGTCGTCTTTGTTAGCAGAAAAGGTGGACGAGACTATGGCTGGATGATTAAATGCGGCCAAGACAGACATTGGTTATACCTGGAATTTCGGATCAAGGTTTTCGTTTGGGATAAAAAGCACCTAGACACTGCAGCACGCGTTTATAGGAATTAATGAACATCTTTGTGGAAAGCCTTCGGGCTCTGTTAAGAGGACATGAAGGGTGAAGATGCCTCCCTGTGACAGATATGAGGACATTTCGAGATATGGCTTGTTGAACAACAACACGGTACCCGAGGTGGCCCAGAGAAGACACCACCACCATTCCAACCACAAAAAGATAGCGCCGGAATCTTTAGCCTTTGTTTGATCCGTCTTGGTCTATGGCTTTTCGAACCAGATTTTTCTAGCATCAACTCTCAGCTCGATGCAATCAAAGGTCCAGGCCGAAAAACCCAAACGCTTCACTACCATTGACGGCCGCATACACCATGACGTGGTCCAAAAACGGTGGACTTCCCCTTTCAGCCACTTCTACGTATCTGCCCCAGTCGTTCATGCACTCAGAATTGATGTTCGGGCGTGACGCCGCGATATCAAACGGGCGCTTGAATGTTTCCAGCGTAACGCTTATCCGGACTAAGAAGCTCCACGCATCCTTCCCAAGTTCCCATGCCCAGGCACAAAATTCAATTCCCAACACTTTTGCCAACTCCTCTTCCAACCGTTGCATCAACCTCATTCCCGCCCGACAGGAGACGGACTCCAAATTACCCGCACCGCTCCTCGCGTATGCATGCCGGTATTGCTGTCTCTCGCGATAACACTTCGGCTCCGGGAGCCTGGGTGGCGGAACGTACAAGACATGGCGGCTTCACTTTTTCCCCGCTTGAACGCCATCGCTTAGAGTTGCATAGCACTGTTGCATTCATACCTCCTCTTGCCTCCCAAACTTGTCTTTCAACCCAGAGATACCGGTTTTCCAGTACCGCGGAACATGGACAACCGCGATCACCGTGTTCTGGAATGGAAAGTTGTGCCGCGGTGGTCGTTGTCGAGACACTAAGACGTCGAGGACCCACCATCACATGGATGTTTCCCCTTTCGGATAGACCGCAGCGTTACATCCTCCCATGAAACGGGAGGAACACACCCCCCGGTACAAACACGGATCCCTGTCCAGGGGGAACTGGGGAAGAAATGCCTCCGTATGCTTAATCGGGAATAGGGGCATCGCAGTAGGCGTCTCGATGGTCTTGGCATCTTTTCGGGTCCTCGGCCGCGAAAGGGTCTTTGGACACTCGATGGTTTAGGGTCTTCAATGTCGTGAATGAGGAAAACGGCTGAGGTGAGGTATAGATCCGAGTATGAAAAACATTTACAGAGGAGTTCAACGCCGCAATGACGACGGTGCCTGACCCGTACATACTCCAAATCAAGGCAGATGTTCAATCGACTCTTCGGCAGGAGGCTCAAATTCTTTCCAGGGTCTACCGCAACTCGGTTTCAGGAAATCCAGAGCCTGCTCCAACACCCCTCGCTTGTCCGGTTCCCGGCACTCCTATCGCCCTGAACCCGGTCACTCAGAGCCTCAGACGGAATGCTAACCGATGTTTCCTCTCAGACTTGGGGCTGTCCACCAATACTGGAAGTTTCCGCACACACAATGCTGTCTCCGACGATCCACCCCCACTAGTTCTCCCGTCCACCTCCAACATCCTACCCGTCTTCAAACATGGTGGCTTTCCGGGGCGCTTGCACTTTCCCCTTGGTCTCCGGTCCTGCTCATCTAATCTCTAATAACAGGATGCCAATAATCCACTTCTCCACGCGTTGCGGCAAACGTCAGACGTTGCGGTATCGCCGCGAATTGCATCATTGACCATGGACTGCAAGCGCCGCAACGATGCCATGGGTGAAGGCCCATTAGTGTAGCCGAGGCTTGTGTTGTTCAACGCCAATCCAAAGGGTATAAAGACGTCGACAGGTTCCAAGTCATCAGGAAAAAAGAAGAAGCAAGACAACAGACTTCAGCATCTGAACATCTACCACATTCACTTCTCTTCTATTCTATTCTCCAACCATCGTCATTCTTTCGATACATATAACATTCACAATGGCCCGCAAGAGCATCCTCACCGCCCTGGCTGGCGCTTCCCTCGTTGCCGCCCACGGCCACGTCTCCAAGGTCATCGTCAACGGCGTCGAGTACCAGAACTACGACCCCACTTCCTTCCCTTACAACTCCAACCCTCCCACCGTGATCGGCTGGACCATCGACCAGAAGGACAACGGCTTCGTCTCGCCCGACGCCTTCGACTCCGGCGACATCATCTGCCACAAGTCCGCCAAGCCCGCCGGCGGCCACGCCACCGTCAAGGCCGGCGACAAGATCTCGCTCCAGTGGGACCAGTGGCCCGAGTCGCACAAGGGCCCCGTCATCGACTACCTGGCCGCCTGCGACGGCGACTGCGAGTCCGTCGACAAGACGGCCCTCAAGTTCTTCAAGATCGACGGCGCCGGCTACGACGCCACCAACGGCTGGGCCTCGGACACCCTCATCAAGGACGGCAACTCGTGGGTCGTTGAGATCCCCGAGAACATCAAGCCCGGCAACTACGTCCTCCGCCACGAGATCATCGCCCTGCACAGCGCCGGCCAGGCCAACGGCGCCCAGAACTACCCCCAGTGCTTCAACCTCAAGGTCGAAGGCTCCGGCTCCACCGTCCCCGCCGGCGTCGCCGGCACCGAGCTCTACAAGGCCACCGACGCCGGTATCCTCTTTGATATCTACAAGAACGACATCTCCTACCCCGTTCCTGGCCCCTCCCTCATTGCTGGCGCCTCCAGCTCCATCGCGCAGAGCAAGATGGCCGCCACTGCTACCGCGTCCGCTACCCTCCCTGGCGCTACTGGCGGTAGCAACAGCCCCGCTACCTCTGCCGCTGCTGCTCCTGCTACTTCCGCTGCGGCTGCTACTAGCCAGGTCCAGGCCCCTGCTACCACCTTGGTCACTAGCACCAAGGCTGCTGCTCCCGCTACTTCTGCTGCGGCTCCTGCTGCTCCCGCTACCTCGGCTGCGGCGGGCGGTGCTGGCCAGGTCCAGGCTAAGCAGACCAAGTGGGGACAGTGCGGTGGAAACGGCTACACTGGTCCTACTGAGTGCGAGAGCGGATCTACTTGCACCAAGTACAACGATTGGTACTCTCAGTGCGTCTAAGTGCGTCTAAGTACCTAGACCCAGATGTATATTAGCGAAGAGGTGGTGCATGGTTGAAGGATGGGGGAGAGAAAAAGACGGTGATCGATGCCATAGCATGACATGACATGACAGTATGGCATGACATGGTATGAGCACAAGGTTGATGTCCATGACTGTCTACCTAGAGAGTGATGAGACGACGGAGATGGGAGAGGGATGAAGGATGAAGAAATCTTGTAACATAGGTCATTTTTTTTTATATTTTCCAAAACCAATTCTTGTATCTGTACATACAGCTTTGCATCATATAGAAACATACATCATATCATATCCACTGCTGTCTGTCCCTGTTCTTTGATACTGGTAGAGGTTCCTTGGCTTGTTGCTACCTCTAATGACATGAAACGAACAAGAAACAGTAACAGGTTAGCTTACCCGTTGAATGATAAGAGGTAACCGGGAAGGTGTGCGTGCAAATACGTTTACGCCAGGAAGGACTCGGCAATAGTCTGGTCATGTTTAAGGTAGGTAGAGGCAGGTATGTATTTGGCACATTGAATGCCCTACTCCGTCTACTCCATAACAAATTGGGAGGATCGCAGAGTTGATGACTGGAAAATTCTAGTACCTCTACTATTTTGGTGCTGAAAAATCCTCCATTTAACAAGATTGCTGTTTCGCTTCTAAACCACGCGTGGTTGCTGAGTTCTTGACTTCTTGATAGGGACGTGGCGTTGTCGGATCTTCCCGAGTGAGGAATTACGAGCAAACAAAGTCCAGCGACAAAGAAAATCACGATACCTCTAACGCAAAATGAGTGATAGGTATTCCGGATGCAGCGCCCAAAAGATATGTCATTTTTCGGCCGCTAACTGGAAGGCGGCCGGCCACAAAGCATGGAATGGAACAAATCAGAAACCAGCCCGCTTTCTTTTGTCCACAATCTGCCTATGAGTTAGCATAACTTTAGTCGAAGCTCTGCCCATTCGCCTTTTTTTTTTCGCCTGGTGTCCAGTTTATTTCCTTGTTTCTTTTAATTTTCTATCGTGCCCATTTTTCTTTCCCAGAGGGCACTTGTATCTCTCGGGCTGTCATTCATCTCGTGCACGCGTGCAGCTCAAAACGCAACCTTCCTCAACACCATCTCCACACACACTGCCAGAGTAACAAGATTCACGTTCGATCGCTGTTATGGAATTCAACACAGACAGTACTTCTCCGCAGAAGGAATCATTCCATCCAAAAGAGGAAAATACCATGGAAGTGGGACCTGCCGCCATGGATTCCAGCGAAGACATCCATTTGCAAAAGGATTCATTCTCGCCGGGGCCAGAGGACGAAATTTACATGGAAGATTCACCTGTTGTGGAAAGAGCACCTGCTGCCATGGAGGAGACAACTGTCGCGAACAAGGCGTATGAACCTTCTGTGACGGAGTGGTCACCTATTGCGGAAGGGTCACCCATCTTGGAAGGGGAAGGGTCACCCATCGCGGAAGAGTCACCCAATGTGGAATGGTCACCGATCTCGGAGAAAGAACCTGTCCTCGAAGGAGAACCTGTCGAGGAAAGAGCATCTCCTTCCATCGAAACGCCATATTATCACGTCGATACGCCACCCATTGCTGAAAAGGCATCTCCCGTCATAGAAAAGACAGCTTTCATAGAAGAGCCGCTTGTTGTGACAATGCCAACCGTCGTCGACAAGCCATTTGATTTGGGAATGACACCTGTTGAGGAAAGAACATATTTCACGGGAGCGGCACCTCCTGTCGTGGAAAAGCCACCAGTTGTGGAAAAGGTACATCCTATCGTGGAAAAGACGTCTTCCCCGGGAAAGGCACATGGTACAGAAGAGACACCCATCGTGGCAAAGAGGCCTACCGTGGAAAAGAAGGCACCTGCAGAAAAGAAGACACCCGTCGTGGAGAAGACACAGGTCGTGGGAAAGGCATCTGTCACAAAGGAAGCACCGTTCATGAACAAGGTACGCGTACCTATCATGCAAAAAGTGCCTGTCCTGCTCGAGACAACTGTCTCGAAAATGGCACCTTTCGTGGAGAAGTTCAGAAAGGAGATTCGTGCCCTTCAGAACTATCAAGAAGCCCCGTCAGCAGCAGGACCGGCCGCGACAATGTCCATCCTCTGCCTTTTCGCCTTGTACATTACACTCTTCACCTTGATTTCCCGCCTCAATGCATCCTCGGTCCTTCTCTTCCTTCCATGGCTCTGAGCGGCTGGAAAAATCCATCAAGCGGAAGGGTTGGCCGGTGCTTGTCACCGTTGCTCTTGCCCCGATACATCACGACTTGTACTCCTGCATGCGTCATCCACTGCAGTCGATCACGAACTTGCCAACTTGAGGGCTCGTGCGCTTCTAATGCCCCCCCCCCCCCCCCCCCCCCCCTCTGGCTCTGTTCTTCCGTCTACGCCCGGCCCCTGCCTCTGCTGCTGGCTTCCGTCTCTTCTTCTTCGACAAGTAGTTAGTACCTACCTTAGGTACTTGAAGTTTATCCCCGTACTCGCCATCAAATAGACTCGTACTGCTCAAAGATCATCGACGGCTCACCAGCTCAACCAGCGGTCGATACAAGCGAGTTCAGATACCGAGGCTTCACTGATAGCAGCGAATTACCTGAAACATAAAAGTGTTGGCATGGTTCTCGAGCCCGTGTTGGAAGTTGTCTTTGGCCTCAAAATTCTTTCACTTTCATCCGAAGATCAGCCGCGGACTCGCAACCTGCAAAGTCAAGACAACTGGCTGGTTGTTGCCAAGTGCCAACGAATACGTTCAACAGCACGACATCTTCTCTTGCTTCGAATTTTATGACCTGACGTGCGTGAGAAGGCAGTTCGATTCTGGCGGTAGCAAAATAACAGAGAAAGAGTGGTGCTGGATGGATCGATATTAAGGGCAGGCTTGACAGCCGGGTGCATGGGATCATAACAGTTTTGGAAGGAAGGCGCAGATTATTGGTGGTAGGCCGTCACCCGAAGCTTGCCAAAGGAAAACGTGCTTCACTCAGAGCAGAGCATGGACAGAGGAGCAAGTCCGAAACTGCCCGTTCCCGAAAGGTCGAAAGGGAGAGTTTCGAAAGGGCGAAAGGACATATACTGTATCGTGCAATCATCATTTTCCCATTGTTATTGTGGTCTTTTCCACCAGCTCCGTATTTCAAATGAGCCACATATGTATCTGATTTGTTCAAATGGAAATCGTACATCCTGAAATGCTCCTATACCAATCGAAAACATGTGCTCCTGAGCCGAACCACCGTAATCACTATACCTAGGAGTATGCCTTCCTAATCGAAGAAAGAGCACTATCAAGAGTTGAAAATGCCTGGACAAGTTGACTGGAGGTGACAGGTGCCTGACAAGAGACGTTTATCGTGGAGGCAGTCCTGTCACAGCACATAGGATCACCTGTCCAAGTGCTGTTTCCCTTCTCAGTCCAGTCGGTAAACTCGTGACCGCCGGGTTCCTGTCAGGTACGGGAGAGCGTGACACGAGAAAAAACTGTCTGTTCCCCTCGTCTAGAATCAAGGAGGAAATGGAAGGAACGCGTACCTCTACGAGCAACCAATCTTGACTCCCACAGTTTCTTGCTCTCCCACGCGCCTTCCAGGCAGCCGCTCCCCTCGTTCTCTCTCCCCTCCCCTCCCTTCCCCTCCTCTCTCTTCCCTCCCCACCCGTTTTATCTTCCCTTCTCCCTCCCCTCTTCTTCTCTTCTCCTCTTCCCTTTCCTTCAACATCAAACACAGCCATCGTTGTTCACCACCACTTCCTCACCATTCTTCGTCGCTGCTTGCGTTCAAGAACATCAACAGCACCACCAAAAACCACCACCTTCTTCAACCTCCAGTTACTCGGCGTACCGCCAGGGTGCCATCGTCGCCCTGCTCCCTGCTGGTGCCCTCCTCGGTTCGCTCGTCGCTGGCACTTTCTCCTGGTAAGCTCTATCGCCTTTTACCTCCGTGGCGTCCAGGAGAGGATTACCTATTGACGTCTCCTTCCACTTTAGCCCCTCATCAACTTCACCGCCATGGATCAAACATCGGCTACGGGTGCTGCTGCGGCTGCCTCAGCAGCACCCACAACTTCATCGGCTGCCCCAGCTGTACCCGCAGCACCACCAGCTGCCCCGGCTGCCCCGGCCCCATCAACTTGCTCTTGCCCAGCGCGCAACCCTAAGGGCGTCCTATTTTCTGTTCCTGTTAAGACGGGCAGTAATGCTCCTGTGCTCCCAGATTGAGCACAAGGTGAGTAAACACATGGCTTCCGCTCGTTAGTCAAAGCTCAGCAGAGAACTAACACAATGAAGTAGGATAGTAGGGCAGGGGGGGGGGTTGCCAAGTTGCAAGTCATCCTTGAATCATCTTTGTGTCCGTTTCTCTTGTTGTTGAGACGTCAATGCTAACAGTTTCCTTATGCAACCAGGTTTTTACAACCCCCCCCCCCCCCTGGAAATTGTAAAATCAGAGCGGGTCCGGGGTGAAGTTGCTAAGAGTGTCGAGGACGCTCCCGGGCGCTCTGCCATGTGGATCGTCCGTACCCTCGCCTCAGCCGACGCTCCAAGTTTACAGATTTGATGTCTCGCGAGCCTGGTCGAACTGTACAAGGGCCCTCTGATGGCTGGCTCCGCGACGTTTCCCTTCTCGGCTATCTACTTCCCAACTTACTCCCACCTAAAGAAGGGACCTTTTCGGCGAGTCAAAGACCAAGAAGGTGGGTGTTCTCCAGATCTTTCCCGGTTGTCGGTACCCTCTTGACTAATTGCTGGATCGCTGGGTGTTTGACAGGCCGGCCTAATCTGCCACCGATTCGAACTGCTATCTCGATTGCCTCCATGGCAGCCGGTCTTTTCACCGTAGATGAGGATTTGATTGAGAAGGCAATTGAAACACCGGGTTGCACTGTTTCGGGGTGTGCGGCGAATTGGATCTGTTTGTAGGGGGCGGGGTCATTGGAAGAGGGAAGAGTTGTGTCTGTAGTCGTCATGTATGTCTGTACACTTCACGAGCAAGTCCGTAGGGAGCCACGCGATAACAACACTCCATGTCTATGGCCACAAATCATCCACTTTGATCGCTTGACTCCAGCTCGCCCACCACATGTCAACGTAACCGTCTCACCATCCACATCCTCCCTAGCATCCTTCTCACACAGCAGGTACAATCCTCTACGAATAGCTGAACGAATCCCCCGGATCCGCGCTACCCTTCATACTCCCCAATCTGTCCAAGTGCTTCCCTGATTACTAGTAATTCTTTTGGACCACCTCCCTCTCCATCTGTGAATCCGGACATTTGACATATGTCCCCCACTTCTCCACAGGAATCTTCTCCGTGACCAACATTTCCCACGAAATTCTGGATAGCCGCTAAGCCCTCAGTTGGATACACGCCCATTCATGCGGTCACAGAATAATGGAGGTAACATGGACAGATGGTTCCGATGAGCGTAAGCGCTGGAGTCCACATCCGGAACGGTGACAGTAGGGGTTCGGCGGCCTTGTCACACGTCGATTTTCACGTGCCAGTCCTGCTTGTTGACTTTGGGGTAGCTGAGTCAATAGGAGGTAACAACGGAGAGTTGGGAGGGTAGTTGTATGAAGACGTGGGCGTAAAGGGAGGAGGAGTAGAAGTTTTCGTGCTTGTCTTAGTCAGTTGCCCGGTAGGGGCTGTGCTCTAAAGACTTCCACTTTGGAATGAAACGAACGAACAAATGAAGAGGAAGAGGGCGGCGGATTGAAAGTCAAAGGTGAAGAGAGAGCGGAAAACTGGAAGGAAAGAATACCTAGTGGAGCCGCTTACGCTTACGCTGACGCCAGCTGGTTCAAGTGTTAGTTACGTGGGTTTATGTTTTCCATAATTTGGATAGGTTAGCGTGGGAAAATGAGAAAAAGGGAAAAAAAAGGAGAGGAGGCTTAGGTATCCTGGACAACTGAAGTCTCACGGCTGAACGTCTGATTCCGTTTTTTTTTTTTTTTTTTTTTCTTGACTGTACAAAAGCCCATACGCAACATGTCCAGTACAGCCGAGATGCTCCTTCTACCTGGGTACCTACCGTCGCTACTTATGCTGGTGGTATTGTTATCCAGTACCTATGGCAACCTTATTCATAGGTACTATCCAGCTCGATAGTAAGATGACCGTCTTCCCCCCTTCGAATGCCGAACGAGCTGTAGGTAGCTGTGCCCGCTGCATTTGGCGTTCGTTGGCTTGTACTCGTATTTTGGAGGGCACAGGCTACCGCGTCTTGGATGATGTGCTTGATACCTAGTAATGGGAACGACTATGGTGACAGGTGTGAAGTTGTAAGAGGCCTACATCCAGTTTTTACCTAGTGGTTGGAGCCGCGAGTGTCCGATTTAGCCTACTGTTCACCCGGACCGCAAGATCGAGCTATGATGACTGGTATATGGCGCGGCTACCAGAGGATAGGGAACTATCAGGCTGGTCCTTCTAGGGGCCGACGGAATGTCATATAACGGGCATGCACTTGACAAGCCGCAAGCCTAGACTGGACCTTTCGATTTCACGCAAACCTGATCAAGTTGAGTCTGCAGTGGCCTCCTCGTGCAAATGAAGTGAAGCAGTCCCGTCGTTTTTCTGAAATATTTTTTTCTGTGTGCAACAGTATTGGAACAGAAAGCTGATCCAGGGAGCCTTTTCCGTCTCCAAAAGAGTTTTGTTGTTTTGGTGTAAGCCGTCATAGGGGAAAGGAGCTGATTGTAGTTGGGGATTTCCCAGCCAGACTACCTACTAGGGATGTCAGGCAACGTTGAGCGTTTGATAGAGATATTGGGATAAAGGATCATTTAATGGCATTTAACCACTAATGTATAGTACAGCTAGTTCCGTGACAAGGGCAAGAGGATCTGCGATGTCGATTCATGACTCCGCAAATACTTCGCACGAGAGAATCGAAATGGTGCGGAAATTTCCCACATCTCATTCGATAACCAGTACTCACTGTATAGTAGTGGACCATACTTTGAGCCGCCAAATGCTACCCTCCTTTGTCAACGCCGGCTACCGGAGTCAGGTACGAAAAGTTTGGGGGAAGTGTGAATGAAGGCAGGGCTCGACAGCCTAGTGAGAGTGAGAGTTGTGGTATTACAATACCAGCGAGGAAGGCTAGGAAGTGGATGGGCACTGGTAGGCACAAATGAGTATTAGAAAGATAGAGTAGCGCTTAGCAAACAATGGAAAGTAACAAACGCACCTCAAGTCCTTTAACTAGTGAATCACTTGATGATTTGGCCCAGAAAAGGGTTTATGTAAATATCAAAGCAATACAGCAAAAATACTGAGTTCCGCGTATGGGGGGAACTTGGGAATTGAATCTCGTATTAAGGAGCAGCAAGGTCGAAGGTTGAGGTCATTCACAAGTAACGATGGTGATTGGTAACTCCAGATGGGAGGGACTAGATATATTGTCTGTTGGGCGGCGCCTTGGAGGTGAGTTTGTTGAATTCCGAACTCCTGTACAACAATCGGTACAACGAAATGCTTCAGATATCTCTAAATCGCGGCTGCGGGCGACGACATGGACGACCATGATGAGTGATTGAAAGGTGAAGTTGAAGTGACCAAGTCGAGGGACGTCGTTGGATAGTGTGGAGCGTCTACACTGTACAGCCAAATACCGGGTTGTCTGTTAGCACGAGACCTCTTGTCAACTTGTCCCGACAATAGTACCAAATCAAGTTTATGTCTTTCTTCACCTACCGGGTGAGCATGCTAAGTAAATAGCTAACAATCCCCGCCAAGTTAGTAACTATACACTTCAAAGTACATTTCGGTGTTCAGACCAGGTCTATATGATTCTATTCGGGGTGCCAAACTAACAAGCAAATCGGCATTGGCTGTACTGCGCTAACCCTAACCCACTGCGGGGCCGCTGTCCGTGGTTCGTCAGTTGCCCTTGTGTGTCCATCCACTGTGATCTTTTGACCTGGACATCATTCTATGAACGCGACAGCTTCCCTCCACGCGACTTGGATCGACGATTTGCAGACCACCATTCCGCCCCAGACTTCACGAACAAACATTATCACACCGAACCGACGAATTCACGAGCCATGGCAGGGGAGGGACCAAAACTCCTCTGGAACCCCGAGAACGTCAAGGATGTCGCCGAGTCGATAGGAATCAACCTGACCGAAGAGCCCCTCCGCGTCCTCACCCAAGATGTAGAATACCGAATTGGCCAGGTCGTCGTCGAGGCCCTACGCTTTATGCGCGCCGCCAACCGCACCACTCTGACAGTCCAAGATGTCTCGCAAGCTCTACGGGTTCTCGACGTCGAGCCCCTCTACGGATACGATTCCACGCGGCCACTTCGCTACGGGGAAGCCAGCATCGGCCCCGGCCAACCGCTGTTCTACATTGAAGACGAGGAGGTGGACTTTGAAAAGGTCATCAACGCTCCCTTACCAAAGGTGCCCCGCGATATGAGCTTTACTGGTACGCTTTTTCAGTTCTCTCTCTCACCCAATGCTCACCTCAACCTACTAGTCGCATCAGCTAACACTTTTTCTTCCTCCCGCGCGCAGCCCACTGGCTCGCAATCGACGGCGTCCAGCCCTCCATCCCCCAAAACCCCACCACAGCCGAGACCTCCTCCAAGGACCTCCTGCCCAAGGGTCCCGGCGCTAACCCCGCCGTCGCCGCCCTGGCCGGCAACGACAACGTCGCCTTCCGCCCCGCCGTTAAGCACGTCATCAGCAAAGAGCTCATCCTCTACTTTGACAAAGTCCAAGCCGCCATCATGGACGACGACCCGGACGAAGAGAAGACGCGCCTGCGCTCCGCGGCTCTGGACTCGGTCCGCTCCGACCCCGGTCTCCACCAACTCGTGCCCTACTTTGTCTCCTTCATCAACAACCAAGTGACGCACCGACTCGACGACCTCTTTGTGCTCCGGCAAATGATGGAACTCACCGGCGCCATCCTCGACAACCCTTCCATCTTTCTCGACCCGTACGCCTCCTCCCTCGCCGCGCCCGTCTTGACCTGCCTCATGGCCCGCAAACTAGGCGGATCGGAATCCAGTCTCGAAGGAACCGACGCCCTGAAAGACCAGTACCGCCTCCGCGAAGTGGCTGCCAGTTTGCTCGGCACCATCGCCAGGAAATACTCCAAGACCAACGCCCTGTTGCGCCCCAAACTCACGCGCACATGCCTCAAGTTCTTTCTGGACCCAAGCAAGTCCCCTGCGGTCTTGTACGGCGCCATCAGCGGGCTCGCGGCCGCCGGCGGGCCCGAAGCCGTGCGCATTCTGGTTCTTCCTAACTTGAAGATGTTTGACGAGGGGATCTTGACGCCGCTCCGCGAAAAGGGCGAGGCGAGCCATTTCGAGTATGAGGCGCTGGTGGGAGGGATTATGAAGGCCATCGAGACGCTGGTGGAGGGGATCACACTGCCTGTTGTCGCGGACGTGACCGAGTTGGAGAGGGAGGGGCAGTTGGTGATTGAGTTTTTGGGAAGGACGATTGGCGAGAGGGTGGCGAGGCTGGGGAACCAGCATTTGAATCGGGGGATTTTGGAGGTGAGGCATTTGGAGTAGTGTTTGAATGCCGCCGCCGCGGCGATGAGAGCTCGATCATGATGAAAGAGATTGAAGGAGGTGAGAGAGAGACTGAGGAGGGAGGGAAAATGGCCGGCAGCACGCGAAAAGTTGAATTCTTACGGGACTTAGATTTTCCCGCACTTGTATCCTTACCTGGGGGTTTTCTTTAATCACACAGCGTGGCGTTTGGGTTTGGTTTCTCATATGAAAGTTTTAATAAATGGACTTGGTTAGTCGGATAGGTACAGAGGGTCGCTCAAAATTGATGAAAGTTAGTTGGCCCCATGCATGCATGGCCTGAAAACATACTTTGTGAACAAGACCTAACAGTTCGTCCGTCTATGCTTGCCTTCCGGGCTGTTGTTTCGTGATGATTTATTCACTCGTTGTGATCATTGGTCGTTCGTTTCGTTTGTACTTGGACACTCGACATCCACACAACACAATGGTTCCTTGAGCTGGATCATCGGGAATTGGCTTCTAGAAGTTTTGTTTTGTGATACAGACTGATGGCAGGTTCCTGGGAACGTGTTTGTGTGCCAGCACAGATCTCACTAGACCATATATATATACCCACGGCGGGTTAAGCGTGCTTTGCTTCACGCGAAAGAGGGAAAAAAAAAGTGAATGTCTCCATTTCAACAAACCTCCCTCCCCTTCCTCTCCTCAGGTAACAGCTTTACTCATACAGCACGGCCCAATCTTTTTCCGTGGAAATAACCGCAGGAGTATATGTCCAAGAGTACCGTAGGTAGTTCCCCCCTTTCCCTCCTTCCTTCCTCCCAATCCCTGCTCTTATCTACCAAGCTAGCTTCACCACACCTAAACCACCCTTCTTCCTAGGGAAAATGATGATTTACATGAAAAAAGCCAAATACACACCCCCCACAATGCTCGCTCCCCAAAAGTACCAACCAGTCTTGATGATAGTCGCCCTCGAGAAGCCAATGCCCAAATCAAACGCCAAGTGTCTGACGCCGTTGATGGCGTGGAACACAAACGGCCAAGCGACCAGGAACTTGAGCGCGCCCTTGACGGCCACAGGCAAAGCAGCGGCGGCAGCGACGAGCGAGGCGGACTCCAGGTGCCAGCCTACGAGGGGGGCAGCGAGGTAGGCGACGGCAGAAGCGTACAGGGCGCCTGAGAAGGAGGCGCCCGTGATGCGTTGCCAGGCGGAACCGCCGAACCAGGTTTGCTTGGGGTCGTAGATCTCGAGGTGGGGGGAGACGGGGCGGTTGAGACGCTGTTTGGCGAGGATGGCGGCTTCGTCGGCCGGAGTGAGGCGTTCGGTTTGGATGGGTCTGGATTTTTGGTGAAGGAGGGTGGGGTGTTAGTAGAGGTTTCATGGGTTGGGTCGAAGTGGTTGGTTGTGGAATGTAGGTTGGTGGTGGGTGGTGTTGATGTCCATGCTCGTTGGTGGTGTTGGTCTTTCGTGGTTGACATGATATGGACGGGTGCTTCGGCGGTTAGGCGTGTATCCCCCCGGGTATCTCGGTCGCTTTACTGGTGGTGTCTTGCGCCGGTTGCTGCTTGTTGGTGTTTCCTCCTCTTTCTTTCCTTGAGATACATCGCAACGGGTTGTAACCATAGGCGACGAATGATTGTTGACATGTAGCCTTAACCGGAGCCGCGTAGACCGAACCGACCGGGTGACGCGGGACCGCAACATCGGTGACGGAAGAGGAGAGTATATGGTCGAGAGAGAGAGAGAGAGAGGGATCGGTGCCTACCTAGTCTGCATAGCAGCAAAGGGAGCAAGCTTGAAGACGCTGCTAGGGGCAGCGGCCACTGTGAATGGTGAAGCGCGATTAGCCTTTCATCTTTCTTCTTTTCACGAGATATATCACGGGGGATGGGGACCAAGTCGCGTGAGCCGGGACGGGATGGGAGTAGAGAATAGGATGGGTTAGATATTGCATCATTGCATGTGCTACACCACCCGATGCGCAACATAGAGCAACTTGGAGAAGTACGGAACATGGACAAAAGAAGCAAAAAAAAAAAAAGTAGAGACATACCCCGACGAAGGGCGGTGGTACCAGCGCGCTGAGCAAGCATTTTGACGACGACGACGACGACGACGAAGTGGTGACGACGGAGGGGGTGTGGTGGTTGGTGGTGGTGGTGGTGGTGGTGGTGGTTTGGGAGACAACTACTAAGGTGCAAGCAGATTGACGGACTGTCTCTACCGGGATCGATTGGAACTGCGGAAGGGGTGGATGTGGATGTGGATGGATGGCGGGATGGGGGGATCAATCAACGATGTTCCATTTCCCGAGGACGTCCCGGGACCCGTTCGCGCATTCGTTCGACACCCGCACCGACCGACGCCTCGCTCAGTGTGAACCGCACCACTGCCCGCCGCCCGCCAGAGCAGCAAGAGACATCGGGATGCGGCAACAGACTGGGAGAGCTTCTCGGCACCTCGGTATGAATGTGACCAATGGAAACAAAGCTAATTCGAATCTTGACCCTAACCCTCTACCGTCATTCTTGTCTCTCGTCAGTCGTTTTCCCCTCCGGCAGCACGTGATGATGGACACACAACGAACTGAATCCACCCAGAAACCATGGACATGCCCGACAACCCCACTACAGTGCACAGACCATCCCAAAACTCGACCTACATCTGCAAATCGCGCGCGCTGTGAATTCTTGGAAATTTTCTTCTCCTTTTTTCTTCTTCAGATAGTCCGGGTGTTTCCAGCCATAGCATTGGGTTTCTTCAGTGAGCAGTGCATACGTGGCAAGGGAGCTTTGGTTCCCATGGACGCTCGAAGAAGAAATGATCCTTCGTTAATCTCTAACGTCAGTTAATCAGTCTGGCGGTGGTTTCATTCTGAGATCTACATTTTATCACGTAGTATATGCTCTGTCATTTGGGTGTTTTCATCCGTTCAGTCCCTGATTATGTTGATGCGTGCTGTACTGTTGCTTGTACATTGTATGGCCACGCCTCACCGCATGCCCGCGGTCATTGTTCTGCACGCCGGTTCTCGCGATGTGATGGCTAGAGATATGTGTGTGTGCCACTGCTTGGGTTGTGGAAGATGACCACTGTTGATGGAGGTCACGGCTCGATGGTCTTTCAACTTTGACCTGGTATCGTGGAGAGGGCACAGTTCGTATCTTCATATCTCTTGATGTATGGTCATATGTGTTGCCAAGTGGCTGACCGCAAAACGAACAATTATACACTTTTATAGCTCCCTTTATCTAGTACCCTACATGACCAACCAAACCCAGCCAAACATGATCAAAAACAAAAGACGCTAGATGCAAGAAAATAGTTCATCAATCAAACACATTCTATGCAGTCTATGCCTTTATGCGTTTTCCGTCGCAGGCTCAGGAGTAGCCTCGTCCTTGGCATCCTCGAGCTTGGCCGCAGCACCAGGGTAGCGGGTACCCTTGTTCTTGACCTTCTTCTCCTTCTTGACCTTGATCTCGGGAGGGTAGGCCTTGGTGGCAATTTCCTGCCACTCGGGAGAGGCCTGGAAGGCAGCCTGGATGGGAGCGAGGAGCTCGTTGATGGCGGCCGAGATGGCGGGCTTGACCAGTTGAGGAGTGAGCTATGGTCATGTTAGTATGGTCACTCACTGTAAGTGTAGAGGATAGTATAGTATGTAAAACAAGGCAACTTACAACATCGCTCTCGTAGTCGGCCTTGATCTTGGCAATGTCGGTGTAGACGAGGGGCTCGAGGTTGTCGCGCGACCGGTCCACGCGGAAGCCCTCCTTGCCGAGAAGCTGGGCCGCGGGCAGCAGGACGTACTCGATGAAGGAGATGAGACCGTTGCCCTCGGTGACCTTGGGGGCAGCCTCGGCCTTGCGAATCTTCTTGGTGACAACATCGGGAGCATCGAGGAGATCGATCTTGCTGTCGGGGTCGGAGGAAGACATCTTGGAACCCTGAAGACCGGGGACCATGGGGTTCATGATGTGGGCGCGCTAGCCGTACGTTAGTATCCTGTTGTGCGCTTCCTCGGCCAAGTCATGACATACCTCCTTGTAGCCCAGCCTGGGAAGCCAGTCCTTGGCAGCAGCAAACAGCTTCCTCTGATCGACACCACCAAACTGAGCATCGACCTTGAGGTACTCCTCGTCGAGAACCTGGAGAATGGGGTAGAGGAGGCCGGAAAGAGGAGCGTTGTCGGACTGCTTGACAACCTCAGCGCCGGCCTTCTTGGCGTCGTGCTCGGAGACGAGGGTCGCGAGCTTGTAGACATCCATGATGTAGTCGGGGCTCTTCTGGTAGGAGCTGCCAAGGACGAACTCGAGCTTGTCGGTAGGGACACCAACGGCCTTCAGGAGGGCGGTGATGGTGCGCTCATAGTACTTGGCGCGGTAGCCAACGAGCTCGACGGTGGACTTGAGGTTGTCGAGGACGGCGTGGATATCGGCGAGGAGGACGATGACATGGCAGCCGGCGGCGAGCAATTGGGCGATCTTGATGGCGGGAACTAGGTAGCCGCAGTGAGGACGGCCTTTTGACAGGTGTCAGCTAGATGTTGCGAGCATGGAACATGGTTTGCGACAAAGTACGGACCGGTGGTGGCAGTTCCTGTAAACGGGAGCGAGAGGTTAGCCTTTGGTTCTTCTGACGACATATTCTATGGAGGGGAGTCGTAATTACCCCAGTAGATCCTCGGGGCGCGGCCTTCGTCAATGACCTTTTCGATAATCTCGGGGTTGAGGATTTCGGCCAAGTTGACGTTGATGAGGGCCAGCTGCTGCTCCTTGGTCAACTTGGTGTTGTTGTTATCACCAGAGATGGCGAGCTTGGCGTCGGCCGTCGCGGCAAGAGTGGAATCGGTGGTCATGGCGGTTGTGGGTGTCGAAGAATACCGTGGCTCGTGTCGCGATAATTGGAAAAGGACAATTCACGGCGGCGCTTTGTGTCTAGTTGAGTTGGGATTTGCGATTGAAGATGGCTTCACAAATGGAATTGGATCCAATGGCCGGCCGATAGCGGGGTCGATAAGTAGGTAGGTAGGGGCGGTCGGTCCTGAAGAGTCACCACCGCAGGCGGGCTGAAACTGCGTAGAAGAGGGAGGGGCGACATCTTTTTGGTGGACCCTTTGTGTGACAGGGATCGGTAAGGCGGCTGAGGGCGGGAGCGCTGGGTCAGGTACAGCTACTATGTAAGTACAGCCAGTCGCAGGATCTGCCGGGCTGCATCGGGCCGTCGAGACGCCTTTGCTGTGCTGCGTCGTCTCTTTTTCTCGTTCTGGGTCACGCGCAATGACACGCTCGGATGGAGTCTGTTCGTCGTATGTACACTAGGTACTGACTGCATCTTCAGCTTCGACCTCACTTCCGTCATCATCGCCTGGATGTGGAATGGACGTTGCCATCGACGACACCTTTTCAGTTCATTTCAGTCGAGGCCTTTGAATTGTCGATTCAACTCTTCTCACTCTCAAAACTCATGCCCCACGTTATTCGCACCACATTGTGCCCCGCGCTGCCCCTCGTCAATCTGAACATCCCTTGCCCCTTCAAGATGGCTCTTCATCAATGCCAAGAGCAAGCACAACCACACCTGTAAGCGCAAATGTCAGATCTCGGAATCCATCCGGCGCCAGAACACGGAGTCATCACTGATATCAAAGCCCGGCCGGGACACCCCCGGGGCACTGCGGTTCAACGGCAGACGTGCTCTGGCCGGGAACACCATCAACTTCCGCATCGGGAATGGTGGTCGGTGAGTTGGAGCCCCGTGCAACCACTGCAAATCGCTTCCCACGAGCACGCCATCGGCCTAGTGATCACCATCACATTTGATGGTTTGTCATCTGCCCATCAAAGATATCTATCATAAATGTCGACATGGCCATGATTCTTGACTCGCCGACATGTGTCCTTGTCAATATACCTTTTCTTTTTCCATCATCATCATCATCATCATCATCATCATGTTTCGCGAGGTCCTCTAAAAAGAGCCTGGCTGCTACTTAGCATCGTGTCATGATAACTCGCCACCAAGCAAATTCCCCATTTACGTCTTTGAGCCTCTGGCATCTTCATATTATTTCATGCCGGTTCTTTCCAAGATTAAGTGAGAATTCATCCTTCATCCTCAATTAGACACACACTACCATACCCCAACAATGGGCACCGACACAAAAGGGCCCAAGCCCGTGGCATCTCCGGCCAGCAGTGTTGCTGCCAGCGAGATTTTCGACGTCGACGGCTCACCCATCTCGGGAGATTCCCTGGAATATGCTGTACCAGAGTCGAGAAAAATCGGTGTCACAGGTGCCGTGTTCCTGATCCTAAACAAGATGATCGGAACAGGCATCTTCTCAACACCATCCAGCATCTTCGCTTCCACTGGCTCGGTTGGCGTGTGCCTGTTGATGTGGGCCGTCGCTGGTCTTCTGACCCTGTCCGGACTCAGCGTCTTTCTGGAATTCGGCCTGGCCATCCCCAAGTCTGGCGGCGAAAAGAACTACCTCGAACGAGTATACCGCCAACCCGTTTATCTCGTCACCAGCGTCTTTGCTGTTCAGATCGTTCTTCTCGGCTTTTCTGCCGGCAACTCGCTCGCTTTTGGCCGCTATGTCTTGCTGGCCCTAGGATACGACCTGCCTGATGGATGGCCGGCCCGGGCCATTGCCGTGCTGTGCATCACTTTCGTCGTATTTCTCCACTCCGTCTTGCCCAAATGGGGGTTGAGGCTCACCAACGCACTGGGCGTGTTCAAAGTACTGGTCCTACTACTGATTGTCTTCTCGGGCTTCGCTGCCTTGGCTGGCCATCGTCGAGTTCCCGACCCTCACAACTTTGACGACATGTGGTCTATCGAAAAGGGCGATGGATTCGGGGGCGGAGGAGCGTATGCATATGCTACTGCCCTCCTTCAGGTCGTCTACAGCTACAAGGGCTGGGAGAATGCCAACTATGTCATGGGCGAGCTGAAGCATCCCAAGCGGACACTGTCCATCGCCGCGCCCTTGGCGGTCGTTGGCGTAACCATTCTTTACGTTCTCGCCAACGTCGCTTACTTTGCTGCTATTCCCAAAGCCGAGCTGGCCAAGTCTGAGGTCATCGTGGCCGGGCTCTTCTTCCGCAACATGTTTGGAGAGAGCGCGGCGGCCAGAAGTCTCCCGGCTCTTGTGGCCCTGAGTAACATTGGCAATGTCTTGGCCGTGAGTTTTACACACTCGCGGGTGAACCAGGAGCTGGCCAAGGAAGGCGTCTTACCTGGGAGCAAGTTTTGGGCATCCATCAAGCCGTTCAACACGCCTGCTGCTTCAGTGAGTTGCTCAAGTCAATCTGTTTTTCGTCATGTCATTCTCTGACTCTGTGATAGCTGTTACTTCATTGGATCGTGACTGTCATTGTCCTGGTCGGGCCTCCTCCCGGACCTGCCTACAACTTCCTTGTCAATCTGTATGCTCCCTCCTTCCTTGTTGCCACGTTTGTTGTTGCCACGTTCAACTCTAACCATGTGGCATCAGATACACCTACCCCGGTGCCTGGATCAATGGCCTTGTCGCCGGCGGCCTCATCTACCTCCGCCTCAGCAAGACCGAAGAATGGAGTTCACCGTGGCGCACCTGGCTACCAGTTATTTTTATCTACCTCTGCCTCAATATCTTCCTTGCCATTACCCCCTTCATCCCTCCCAACGACGACTGGAATGCCGACGGCTACCCGTACTACGCTTTCCCCCTTGTTGGCACCGGGGTCCTGGGTCTGGGTGCAGTATACTGGGTTGTATGGACCAAGGTTCTGCCCCGCTTTGGGGGCTATGAACTCGTGGCCGAGAAGGTTCTTGATGAGACCGGGGCGGAAGTGGTGCGATACAGAAAGCTTTCTGCGAGGAATGTTCCGTCTTCCGAGGGAGAGTCTTCCGAAAGAGACTTACTCCTAAGGAGAGGCCCTACCGCGGGAGCCTCGGCAGATCACGGCAGTTACGGAGCTATACACTAGAGGCATGGTAAGAGAACACGAATGATACCAAAAATGGCAGTGGCTTGGAGTTTTTGTGGGATATATAGGTTACATGCTATTAGCAAGGGTACTTTTGCAGGCACCCAGGCGTTTGGGAGCGGTCTGCTTATCGGAGTACCTAGATTTCACATGTGTGTGCGACACTGGCCAGCTTCATCACTTCACAAAAAGCATCGCTTATTACGTCATGTGTGATCTCCGACGATGGACATATTTTTACTCCGGAAAGAAAAAGAAGTGTTCGGGAACGTTTTCTTAACGGAGCTTGATATACCTCCTGGGACGTTTTAGGATGTCGGCTTGGCTGGAACGCTCGAGATTGACTGGGAAGAGTCTTGCTCCGATGCAGCCAATGGGCTCGCTTCCTCGCCCGAATACCACATGGACACCCACAGCTACGGGCCCAAGCTTGAAACAACATCGACCACTCATGCAACCGAACCCAGGATGTTTCCAAACATCGGCGAAAGGGGACCGAAATCATCAACGGGCCAAGTGTGATACCAGACCATGGCGGACGACCATTCGATGCGCCGTCAACGATGCATTTCCCCCATTCCGTGCAGGAACTCGAAACAAAGCGAGGCTCCGAGCGAAACGTCGATACCCCATCCACCCCATGTGGTCCAGCCCACCATGGAGCGACGACCCGGAGCCCAAAGTTCCAGTAGCGTATAGCCCAAATCGGCGTGTCAATGGAACCCTGGCGTTGCTCAATATATTACCGTGCTCAATTCCTCGTCCGCCTGGCCTAGAACTCTTTCACCATCTGCAGTTCTGCACATCACCAAAGACACCAAGGAACCTGAATACCGGTCATTGTTCTCTCGCTAACCAGTTCGAGGCGGTGATCATCGTGTTCCATCAGCCCTTGCTGCCCTGTTTGTGGATGCTGCAGACTGGAATGAACGCGGTATGACAGCATCATCATCACCGACATTGACAACCACCGAGACAGCCACCACTTGGAATCCGACCCAGCAACATACCAGTGCCGAGTACTTTGTAAAGTACAACATGGAGACCATTCCGGAGTCGTTAAATGGCGAATTGCCTCCCAGACCCAGTGGCAGTTCGCATGGTTCGCGGGGCCACGCTTACATCCCGAACTTGCATGTCCCAAAGCGGTCAAACACTTTCTCCAGTTCTACGTCCACCTCCCAATATAACCATCAACGGCATGCGGCTGCGGAACAAGAACGGCCTTCGTCAGCACTGAGCAGGTCTTTCTCTCCTCTCTCGCCTCCGTCACCTTCGGGTTCCTCATCATCATCATCAAGAATGATGGGAGGCGGCAAGTCCACCCAAAGGGTAAAGGAGTGGGTCATCAAGAGATCTAACTCAACCCGGTACGTGTTCATATCCCCACTTGCCTTTTCCTTTTCCGTCTCTAGACCCAAACATCACTAACACGCACACAAGCGAACCTCGATCGAAACCCGGCAGCCGCTCCTCCTCCTCCTCCAACTCGGGCGACCAAACTGTCGAAATTATCCACCTCGGCGGCGGCCGTGTTGACCCCAACGGCCATGTGCACACCTCTGCTCTGTCCCCCACCTACACATCTTCTCTGTCCCCCACTCTCCTTGCTCCACCAAGCCGGGCTCGAACCAGCTTCGCCAACAGCATTGATAGCCGAGTCACGCAATGGGGGGATTTGTACCATGACCAGCCCGAATCACTGACGGTCCCCACCAAGCCTGGTACGGCGACGGGAAAGCCGCCGAGGCCGGTTAGTCCCGAGTTGCATGAACGGCCGCAGCTAAGGGAATTGGGATTGGGAGGTGTATATAACGGAGGATGGGGGCAACAACATGAACAGGAGGGACAAGGTGAAGGTCATCAGTCGCGGCACAGGCATACCAAGAGCGATGGAAGCATCCATCCGGCGCCGTTGAGGCTGCCCTCCAACTCTTCGTCGTCATCTTCCTCAGTTGGCAACCAGGACGGTGGCGCAGCTGTCACCGCACAGCCCGAAGAGACGTGGATGCCCCAAGGACTCACGAGGAGCGACTCCAAATGGAAACCTCTTCCGGTCCCCCCACCGCCCGGAGCCCCCGGTAGTATCACGCCCTTGGCAGACGGTGGGAGAAGGGCGGAGGATAACATCAACATGGCTGGCGCTATCTGCTATGGCAGTCCACTCACCTCTATTGAATCCGAATCGGAATTTGGCGAACGGGAAGATACTCCAACTCCAAGGGAGAGGTACAACCAGGGAGCTCCTCATATCGTCAATGTCATGGTTCAGAACAGCAGTGGAAGTCGGACTGCTCACGACAGGCCATCACCGCCTCCCTCCGCCTCCTCCTCCTTCTCTAACGACGTCTCTGGCTTGGGAATTGGATATGGAGGAGTCGGACTGGGAGTAATGTCGCCTCCCTTGACACCGCCAGAAACTAAGGAGACTGACGCTGAATCGTCAGTTGGTGGAGGAATAAGGGAGAGCATGTGGCCCGTTCCTCCCTCATATTCTCTGTCTCAGACTCAGCCTCCCTCGCGATCGGGGACTGCTTCACCTGAGAAGCAGCAGCATCAGCATCACCAGCAGAAACCGTCGACTTCACCATCATTGCCGGCATCTCCCTCGCCAGCCCTCGCGTCTTCCCAATCGATGCCGGCGCATATGATTCCCAAGAGGAGCGACAGCCTGAGCTATTCCAGATCTGCCAAGAAGCCGTACCGTGCACCCCAAGCACTAAGATCGACTGCTTCTACTTCCTCCCTCCGGACTACAGAGAAATCAGGATACTTTAGCGTCACAGAACAGATTGCGTTTGACAACACCACCACCACCGCCGCCGCCGCAACCACCGTCGCACCCACCCCTCCCCTCCAACAACACAGATTCTATTCACCCACCATCACTCCCCCGACCCCCATCGTCCAGGGACCTTCTTCTGTTGCCTCCTCTAGAGGTAGAACCACACCATCATCATCAACACCAACAACCCCCACCTGGAGACCCCGCGCCAGCCTCTCCTCCAAAGAGATGCTCTGGCTCCATCGTAACTACCGCGGCATCACGGCCTTCATGACCGCTTGGGGACTAAATAAAGGACTGGGCGACGAAGCCGAAAGCAAGGAAGGGCTGAGTATCATGCGGGAGTTGATGGCTGCGGAGCTTGCTGAGGTTCATGAAGAGGACGTGGCGGTACCATCACCAACAAAAACAACAACCACAACCACCACAACAACAACAAAGGATTTAAATTCACCTGTGCCAGCCAAGGTGGAGACTTCTCCACGACCTGGACAAGTGGGGGATGTGTGGGATGCAGAGGATAATGAGGATTACGAGCGGGCTAGTGGTAATTATAATGGAAAAAAGAATGTAGGAAAGGGTGACAGTGGGGATGAGTCCTGGCTGGAAATCAGTCCTGGGCCTGGGGCTGGGGAGAAAAATGCTAATGGAAGGGATGTAAAAGAACAGGAGATGGCGGGACATTATCAAAATGGGTACGTCGCTACGGCGCTGAAAGGGCAGCAAGGACAAGGTGTGAGGATGATGAGCCCTAGGGTTAATTCCGCGGCCTCTAATAGGGAGGGAAGTGACTTTATTTGAACCTAACAAATCTATTGTGTATATACAGTGTATCTATTTATCTAGGTACGTTAGCTTAGTTGCAGTCTTGCATTGTACAGTATATGTAGTAGTCAGCAAAGGAGTCGGCAAGCTTGGGGGGGTTAATTGGATGTTACCTTAGTTAGCATACAAGGAACAATACATTAAGGATGTAATACCAACTACCTTAGAATCACAGTGGAAGTCTATCGAACTAGAGCAGTGACCTGGAGACAACAGAAAAGCAAAAAAGAAGGAAAACGAGAGGAAGAAACGATGGGAAGTACCTCAATGGGAATCAATATGAACCCAGGTTGCTCGTAGATTACCTACGTAACCCTCTTTGTGTCCTTGACAGCCGCGTTTGATAAATCAAAATACCTTATCTCTACAGTACCTAGTAGTAAACCACTGGGTATACCAACTGCACTTCATTTTTTTACCTATGTTTGTTTCTTCGATGAGATCCGCAAAGGCTGGTTTAGACATCTAACGTCAAAGAGAAGGAAAGCAGTGCCCCTGGAAGGAGTGAAGGAAGGGACCACATAGGCCATGTACCAGTTCGTGAACCTCACGTTTTCTCCCCGATCCTTTCTTACAGCAGCAACAGTCAGGTAGCACTAGGTATTTAATGCTTCACTGACTTCAATGGAGATTATGGCGTACGTCTCCACCTATGCGCGGTACCACCGACCACGGCCACGGCCATTATCCTCGTGACGACGTTGGAGTCGTTGGACATTAAAGATCATGTATGAGCCGAGAGACATTCTGCAGACGGGAGGTAGGTAGGTATGCACGCCTAATCCCATCGACAGCTTCGGCTGCGACAGCTTCGGTTGCAACAGGGCTACAGTACCGGCAAAAACATGTTCTTCGTCAACGAAGAAGAGAGACTCCATATGCAGATGCCGAAGCCAGTCTCCTTAACCATCTTTGACGCCCAGCCCTTATTGCCAGCTCATCTGTCACCGGCTCAACGTGCAAAGAACGGAAGACCAACGGAAAGGCAACCTCGGCAACCACAATCTACATGAAGACAGCACACACATGCCAGACAACCACTGAGCCAACCAGCCACGAACCAGCCACGAACCAAGATCTCCAGGGGCACGCATGTCCGAGTGTGGGACGGTGACATAGATGTCCATCAACCAAGTTCATTGATGAACTGGCAACACTCCACTATCGGGACAGGCAGGGTCAAGGCACTCGATATCAAACCCCAGGAGATAACTAGGTCTCTTGAAGACAACATTGCTTGATAGCAATATTTCTGTCGATGACGCGAATATTAGGTATATCGTTTGCCCATCTTGGGATCAGCGCACTTCGACGTGCCCAACGAAATGGCCAACCAGGAGGGTGACCTACACAGCCACCACTTCAGTCAAGATGAGCTCATCCTCCTTCGCAACGCCGGTTGCAAAGCTGGACCACCCCATCATGAACAAGATGATGAAGGAGTTGGTGGCAGTGGGCGATCCTTTTGAAGGGTTATGCCAGGCATCGGTGCCAACAACAATAAGGGGCACGAAAAATCACATAGGGTCATTCAGAATAGAGTCTGAAAAGTTCATGGACAACACAGACAAGATGCCGTCAAACCACGTTCAGATTTCATTCTCCGTACCATCAATGACCTTCACTCCACTCGTATATAAACCCCCCACAGACCCAAACCAATACAAAAGAAAATAGATGTATGAAGTCCTAGACCCAAACATTGAAAGCCGTTCTTGAAAACGACCCTCATATTCTTTCTCCTCCTCTCCTCCTTCCGCAAGCGGCGCCATCCTCTCCCCACACTAACACCTTCCCTTCCCACCCCCCGGCTAACACCTCCCATCCCAAGACCTCCCCTCCAGTCCACCCTCTCTTCCCTCCGCGACAAACCCCAAACCGTCCCGTTATAATTATCTCATTACCTCGACATTATCCATTCCTACTAGAAGTTTTAGTCGTGTTTGTGGTCGTACGGTTGTGATACGGTCAAGGCTGGTATGGTTTTTATGCCAATACCATGCTCCTTTGTCACCACCACCCCTACCACTACCACTACCACTACCACTACCACCAGCACCACCTCGTCCTCCTCCACCACCGCCGCCACCACCATCCACCCCTCCCACACCCAAAAGTAATCTCACAACAAAGCAAGGGGCGACCTTCCCGTCTGCGGCCGAGCTTGTCGTTGTCGTGTACCCCCCTCGCGGCGCCCGGCCCTGACTAAAAGAAGGCGTTTGTTGTATACCTTCCTTTGGCCAGAATCGGAGCCTGAGAGGGAGCCACTCCCAGAGCCAGGCGAACCGGGGCCCGGGCCGGGGCCAGGACCAGGGCGAGAGTCGGGGCCGGAGCCAAAGTCATCGCTGTTGTCGTCTTCTTCTTCGTCTTCGTCTTCGTCCTCTTCCTCTTCCTCTTCCTCGCCGGAGGAGGGGCGGCCGGGGCCGGGTGCAGACAGCTTCCTCCTTTTGGAGGGAGGGCTGAGGTTGTTGCTGTTGCTGCTGCTGTCGCTGCCGCTGTCGGAGCCGGAGCGAGGGCGCTTTGCTCTGGCAGACGAGGGAGAGCCGAGGGTGTCTGCTCCAAGAGCCAAGGAGCGCTAGACCCCGGTCTCTTGGGCATAGCCCCCAAACTCTCCCCTCGCCGCCGCGAGGTCGCCGAAAATGGTGTTGGAGACTGAACAGGAAGCAAGTTAGCATATACTGTTTGATGAGGTGCGAAAATGTATTTGAGGTAAAGGTGAAATGAGTTTCAATGACACTGTCCTTCACTATGTTATGTGATGTTTGGAATGGATCGGAACTGCAACCTCTTGACACGAAAAACAGAATAGGGTGAAAACGAACTGAAGTCACTTACCACGCGGAACGTTGTTCCTCGGCTGAGGAGGCCAAAGCCAGGGCGGCGGCTGGGGAAACATGACCGGCTGTGGCGGCGCAACTTGGGGCACGGCAGGCTGGGGCTGGGGCTGGTGCTGGGGATGCCAGACCGGGCAGCCTTCGCATCTCTCGTGGTTGCAGAAGACCAGGATCTCTCCATCGTCCTCGGCGACTATGTACTCATTGTCAAACGACGACCACTGCTCCTGGAGTGCTTCGTAGGCTTCAGGAGAGTAGGGTTCCTCGTGAAGCACCCAGTCGCAGTGGCCGCCGCTTCGACCAGTAGCGAGGCACTGGCAGCAAACCCACTGGGAAGTCATGGTTGCGGAGATATGGTTGGAGGAGATGTGGTTAGGTATTTGTGGGAGTTGATGAGAGTTGGTGAGGTTGGGGTTGGGTGTGGTTGAGAGTTGAGAGAGCTTGTAAAGGTGTAAAAACTTTCTGTGAGAAAAGATCTGGTCACGTCGATGTGAGTGAGTGAGTCAGTTTTGACTTTCCTAGCAAGTTGAAGAAGAAGAAAAGAGGAAGAAGAGGAAGAAGAGGAAGGCAAGCCGGGGTCGTCAATTTATAGAAGGAAAAAAAGGCAGGCACACACGGTACGCCCCACTCAAGTCCGATATTGTCTACTTGAAAGCACTGTTGCCTAGGTATTGTCACGCGTGTCCACGGGTAGTTTCAAGGGGAAGCACTCGTCTGAAGTAGATCGGATGAGCAGAGCGGGGCGAGATAAGGCGAGTACAGCATGCTTGCTGTTCTCAACTTCTGGGCAGGGCCTCCCATACCCTCCTTGTTGTTTCTGCGCATCTGTTTTTGACTTGGTGAAGCGTTCGTGGACAGTAACCTTGCACGCTTTTTCTCCAAACATTGGTAGATAGAACAAGGATAACTCATATGGTTCTCTCTGTCTCCCAAATGAAGCGGCCTACACCTGTGCACCAAATGCTATATCAACGTCCTCTATACTGTTGCCGTGATCCACGACTGTGCTCGACAGGCTAACTTCAGATGTAGGGGCATAAGGCAGGGACATGAGACAGAAAGTCTATAGTCCAACAAGATGTGAATCACTCGCCGTCTGATTATCAACGTCCAAGTTGGACTCTCTGGATATCCAAGACAGACTCTCCAGACGTCCAAGACAGACTCTCCAGACGTCCAAGAGAGAATCTCCAGACGTTGCAACGCTGTGGGCTATCTTACAAGTAAATCCTGCGGAGGTGTAAGCAGACCAGCGACTGGCCCCGAGAGATCACCTTAGAATCTTGATAGCTAATGTCTACGAGTCTATACCGTGATCTTATCCATGACACTTCGTCTGACTTGCTTACATCTTTTGTTAGGAGCGAAGAAGAATAATGTTTGTGAAACATCCAACGCCTTACCTGTAGCTGACCGTGAGATGAAAGTCGACACTCGCTGTGTTGATGACGTTGCTATGGAGATTCATGCTCTCGGGTGAGCGAGTTGCTTCATCCAAGATAAGACGAGAAATTTAGAGCAACAACTTGGGAAAGAGAATTTAACAAGGAAGTGACAGGATCGGTAGTGTACGTAAAGCTCCTGACCGAGTTCCGATGATGTTTGTTGTCTTCCCCTCCCAGGATGGCGTTGAAGAGGGACAGCTAGAAGGAGCCAGAAACAGTACCATCAATTTTAGTGAAAAGTCGCTGTTCTATAGCACGCTGCCATTCCTTGGAGACGTTACTAAATTTGCTCAATCTTGTTGGACGTAGAGGTATCCATTCCAAATCTTGCGTAAATACTTGGACAGTTAAGTCGATTGCCTCTTGTGGTAGTCGATCCATGGTGAAAATGATGGGAGGTAGAGATAGAGGTGAGCAGTCTTGATGGAATAGATACCCTAGGTACCAACCTCAACGATGGTGGGTCGCGACGGTTGCATAAAAAAAGAGCTACGGTGCTGCAGTCATCCCTATTTTGAAAGCGATGGCCGGTGGGTGAGAAAACTTAGAGGTAATGTTCAGGTGACGAAAAGTCGAAAAGAAAAGTGCGAAGAATGAGTGAGGTGGGCGTCATTGAACCCGTATAGATGTAGGAAGAGGAACCCATCAAAGAAAACCCGGGCAGGTAAAAGCTTGAAAGTTGTATCCTCACAAACCAGAGCGGTTCCAGTATTCGAGATACTCATTTGCTTCTGAACTCTCTCACATTGGTCTTGCGCAGTACCTAGTAGCTGACCGCGAGGACTTCGATGTGGTCTTCCGATCGTCTTCGTACATGGAGGTTACTGATGTGGGCTTGTGCCGCGACTTCCTCCTTCTTCATACTCCCATATTCCTGCCATCAGAGCGCTTTTAGCGACCTGCTTTCGTGTTTCGGCTTGGCCCTTCCTGCTCGAGTTACCTTGGACGAGCCGGCCGCCCACGACAGACTGCCACGCAGTTTGAAGAAATGGTGAAAAATCACCGGTGGGCCACGGCTTCCACACGAACCCCATCCAACGCTCTGCTGATTGGAAACTTTAACCGCTCCTTTGGTTTTCCTGGTTTACACCAGCAGCTGTTCTTCATATCCAAGAGCTCATGGGTAGGAGAGTAAACAATACCGCTATCACGAGCAAAGCACACGCCTACAGGTAGGCAAGCTTTCTCCTTGCTGTAGGCCCTGCATGTATTCAGTTCTATACCTCCAACGACACCCACCTATGCGGCTGACAATGCGATCAGATATCAATCACTTCCGATTCTTCAGCACCGGTCCCCCTCGCTTCCACGACAGACGACAATGCCTGCCGTTCAGTACAGAACCCATCTCGATGCTTGGCGATCTCCTCAGTCCAGTGTCACCATCATCATCACGAGTCCGTATCGGAACCAATACCACGCCAGGCCGCAAAGACAGGACTGCTTCCTCCGCAGACTGTAACAGGAGGCCTTTTGGTCTCGGCTGCCTCAGCGAGGGACGCCGTTGTACGTTGCCACAGTCCGGCCTGAGAAAGTACATACTTCACGTGTGGTTTCAGCCATCAGATTCAGCCCGGAGCCCGTCTCCTACTCGACAACCATACTCCGGCTTCCACCCGGACCCGACTGAGCCACAATCGACTCATTCCCGGGAGTCGTGGAAGCTAGCGCAATACTTGCTGCTCGGGCTTGGTGGTAGTCAGCGTCTTGTTTCCTTGTGAATCGTCGTAATCCGCGCGCACAGCTCCGATTAGTATTTCCCCTCGACGACAACTCCGAGGTTGGAATCACTATAACTTCACCTCCGTAAATAAACCACAAGTTAGAGCTGAGCGGATGCTGCCGTGTCAAAGAGGCGTCAGGAGACTCTTTATTGGGTTGTCCACCACGCGAGACATTGACTGAGAGGACGGAGCACAAAACGCATCAAGATATATTGTCCGCCTTTGTGTGCTCCTGAGACCTCGCTTATGGCCGCTGAAGTCTGGGCTCCTTTTGAACGATGAAAGCATCTCTCCCTGCGCCTCGCCGAGATTCCTGGAAGGCAAATCTGAGATCAGATGTCGCAATATGCCAAAATCCCTCGTGTAACCAAGGTACAACCCAGCCTGTATCTTCACATTGCTTTTCTTTAACCCGATATCCAGCCACAAACGTGATGGGCGCATCATAATCGCGCTATTGAAAGTACTGCCATGTTGCTTTGCGCTGGCCGTTCCAGGTTCTGTGGCTTTGGCTAACCATCGATTACTGATAGGGCTATGATCCAAAGAGAAGCCATCTGTGGACAGTGAGGGGTCGGAAAGATCTGGGAGACAAGCGCGGGAGGAAAATTGTTGTGAGATGATACCCGTCTTAGACTGTTCAGATCTGCCCCTCCAAGGTCTTTGATCCTGCTTCATCAACGCACCCAGCTTCAGTAGAGGTACGCACAATTCACATGCAGGTACTGTTCTGATTCTGTACGTTGCCGCACTTTGCCTGCCGGAAAGCAGTCTACTAACTGTCCATTATTTGCATCAGCATATGCCGATTGCCGGCCAAGCCCAACTGTCTTGGGAGGCCTGAGCTAAATTTGCTAGTCTCCAAGACATTCCGCCAGGTATTCCTCTCTACCTGAAGCGAGGGGGCGAGATATGACAAGGTAGGGCCGTTGCCATGGCATGTTTTATTGTTTGGCAGAAAAAAGGGGCAAGCCACTCGTGTCCCTCGCGTGCTCCGGAGGCCGGTCTCCAAGGATCCTGCAGCGAGGAGTCTTCAGTGGAAACGCCATTTGGGCCCTCCGCTGTCCTTCTTCTGACATTCAACGCTTCTGCAGTCTGCACCATGGGACGGCGGGAGGCGGCCAAAGAGGGAGAGTTTGTGTGACGACACCAACCTTGGACATGGGAGACCGGTCGAGCTCCCAGCTGCTGTCTCGGTTTTATGCAGTAAGCTCATGTCAAGACACCGGAGAAGTTGGGTTCTGCCGAATCTCTCGCGAAATCCCGCGACTGACCATTGATATTAGGAGAACGACACGATGGCTGTTTCAACATCGATGCTCCATGCGAGTCAGGCCCCTCGGCGGCCTGGCTGCTTTCGACTAAACAGCCATTCGGAATACAAGATCCGTTAGATTACGGACGTAGCTCAAGAGAAAAGCGAACCTTGAATCATCCCGACACCATCACAGACTCCGTGCCGTTGCTGCTTTGTTTCGAAAGACTGCAAACCGCCGAATCGAGGGCCTGCGAGGCCACGCCGTGTAGCAACGCCGCGATCGCCCAACGCATTTCTATACCCAAGCTATTCTTGGAGGGCGTCCATGTCGAGAGGCTAGTCCCGCCATACTCGTCTGGCCGAGTGAGATAAGGATGTTGAACCTTCAAGGGCTGTTTCGGACATCGCTGACTCAAAACAGACAAACCGCAGTAACCAGTGGCAAGTTCAAGCCTCGAGTACATCAGGAGAGCCGAGAAGTCAACGTACCCGGCGCTTGGCTCTCTAGAAGGGGCACTGCCATAGCTGTCTCAGAGCTTGTACAACCATCATCAAGAATTTAGCCCGACTACGTTCACAGACCCACGTTTCTCCCATGCTTAACACTCGCCCATCGTTCACTGAGGCACCCACGTGCTTCTCCGAGCTGTTGACCGTAACGGCGCTTACTTGGCTGGAAAATGGCACCACATATTCGAGAATGGCTTACCAAATATCAACCTGAAATAGGAAGTCTGCGATGTACACAGCGGCAGTACTTCCGAATTCTGCTTCAGGGTTCACTTGGTTTGTGCTGCCCCACGGAGCTTCAGGAAGAGACCGAATCGGCATTGAGCCGAAGGGATGGCACGATGGAGCGGACGAGACATGCCGACCTGATGTAAACGTGAGGATCGGAATGGGCAGGGACAGAGGAAGAGAAGGATATAAGGAGATGGCGAGGTGCATCTCAAGTGTGCAGTTGACTGAAAGAGCTTTCGAGCGACAGCAGTCTCCAAGTTGAAGTTTATCACTACTCCGGCCAGTTGAACGACGAACAGACATTGGACGAACACTCATGAAAAGAAGATACACAACGCACTTTCAACACAGCTAACAGCAAAATTCATCCCGCAACATCCACCTGTAAGATCTACCGCGCCATCAAAGATTGATGAACAAAAAGCTAACATCGATTACCTTCTCAGACAAACAGACGCAGACTTACCAAGGACGGCCAGTTGCAGCTGTCTGCTGTCAAACCCCGGAGAGAGACAAAAGAAGAAGCACCATTTCCACACCGAACGTCATTGTAGCCGACAACAGAGCAACAACGGACTATTTTGAGACGTGACATATTAGTTTTTCGGCCACTTGGGGTCAAGAAACACAGGCACTTGGGTCTAACTACTTCAAGAAAGCAGGATACAACGGATCTCGAGGCTTGGTTTGAAGAGAAGGAATAACACAAACAACAAAATGTGCACTTACCACTACCTCCACCACCACCACATCCCTCCTTGCCCAAAAGACCTCTACTTCGTAATCCACTACCTCTTCTGCTCCGACGCCACCATCGACTTCACCACCGGCAACCGCCAACCCTGCAACAACGCGATCTACGACGACTCCCACCTTGCGTCCACAGCCATGTCCAACAGCATCTCAACCCTCTCCACTTCCCCAACCTCCTCTCAATCTTCGGCATCAACCACATCCTACTACTCCGACGACGGCACCCCCTTTTCCGTCGACTACACTTCCTTGTATTCCTCCACCGCCTCCATGCCCCCCAGCCAGCAACAACAACAACAACAACACACACAACCACAGACAATGGACTTCAACAACCCCTGCGCATCCTCCACCTGCCTGACCAGCCTCGAGTGTTCCTCGGGGCAATGCAGACTCGAGCAACTGGGCGGCAAATGGACGTGCTGCAGATGTGGAGGCAAAGGGAATGAGTATCCGTGGTGTAAAGCGCGGCCGGGGCTGGTGAGGGGGGCGGATCCGGATATGGTCTGTTATCATATTGTTTGTGTGGGGTGTGGAGCGACGGGTGTTCCAGAGAAGGGGAAGGGGAAGGGGAGGCGATAGATTGGGGAGATAGGAGAAGAGACAGACTAAACTGCACTACACACATAGTTGACACGTAGAGTGAAGGGAACAATACACGAGAGGAAAAGCAACACTTGGTAGATCTATGTTGTAGGTAGAAGTGTTGAGTGGAGAAACTAAAGAGTGTTGGGATGAAAAGGTTAGTGCTGGAGTGTAGGTCTGTATTAACCAAGGCAGGTACGGCATGGGGACGGGGGTTGGCGGGATAATGTTCAACATGAACAAGACTTGGAGAATAAGGTAGGGAAGAAAGCGATGGTAAGAAGGGAAAGAATTGAATGGTGAGAACGTGGGTTGGTGGTATATACAGCTGGAAGCAGAGAAGCGCTTGCCTGATGTTCAATATAGGTTACACTAGATTGAATTGACCATCACTAGCCGCTACCTTATGTACAGGGAACAAATATAGGTATGTAGGAGTAAGCAACGAGAAGGATTTCGAAGACGAACTGTGCGGAACTTTGTCAGAAAGCAAAACTCCTCCAGTCGGACCTCTTGGGGAGAAGATTCAACCATCGGAAAACCCAGGACTGGAGTGCGTGGTGGCGCACGCCTTGAAGTTTGTTTGGGTTGCTTCTAGTGTGGCTAGAGCTGGACGGCGGTCGGAGACAGGGACTTCACCGGTGTGGTTGGTGTTGATGGGACTCTTGAATGCCAGGAAAGCGTGGTGGCTTGGGTTTTTTTTTCTCGATACCTCAGTGGTGCTCGCCTGGGTTATTTCATTTCTTGCCCCTGGGTTCTGCCGTTGGTGTCTTCCATAGGCCAGTCTAGGTGTATAGCAACAATAGGTAACATACGTAGAGGTATTCTTTAGTTACACTTGGAATCGTCAATGCGAACAGCGGTTCCTTTGCCACTAGATCGCTCTGTCGACATCATACGGGAGGCATAGGTAGGTAGCCTTTGTCCCACGATAGGTAGGTAGCTTGTAAGTGGCGAGCTGTCATAGAAACTCAAAACTCTCTACACCATCTCCAACAAACCTGTCGATTACGCCTGGCATCACCCATCGGTATTGCCCATTCAAGGCTGTATCACATATCTTGCGTTGCTTGATCCTTGACGTCGAGCATCTGTACTTGCTGTGTCCCTTTCCTTGCCTGGTTTTGTGTGCCTTGTCCTTGTCCCTGTCTTTATCCTTCTGCTTGGTCTTGTCCTTGTCCTTATCTTCATTACCTATTCACACATGTCTGCCTCGCGCGGTGAAGCCTTTCTCTGTCTTCCTCTGCCAGCCTTCACTGGCCTTTTTTTGCACTAACAGCTTGGAGTAGAATAGAAGTAGAATAACTTTTGCCTTCTCAACTTACCATTTCCTTGTCTCCTCCGATATCTAGCATTCGTATATGCGGCGGCTTTTCACACTTGTCAACATAAGGTCTCAGATTATGCAGTTCGTTGATGCAGTTCATGCAGTTCGTGCGCCAGATTCACATGTCTGGCGGTTATATACCTGTACCTAGGTATGGCGGCTTTTGATGGTTGGTGGCTGAGGATGTTGGCTGTGGATGGGTGCTGTTGGTGATGTTGGTGATGGTCGACTGACGCTGGCTGGCTGATTACCTACCTAGGTAGGTAGGTAGAGGTATTGATGGCGAGGATACCTACCTCTAGGTAGGGTTTCTATCCCGATACGCCAGTGTTCTGGATTCTATTCCATTCTACCATCTCAGTATTTCATAGTGTACCTGTAGGTACAAGGTCTAATATATTTATCTGCATGGGCATCACTTACCAACTACACCTCTACGAACAGAAAGTGAATGCCGCATGCCCTATCCCTCTAGCTCCCGTACCCCATGTGCAGCCGCCATTGAAGATCATGTAGTTCTCATCATAGGTATGTTGATGTTCTTCCCCTCTCAAAGCGAGCCTTCTAAGTCATCACGCATATCCCAACACGGATCAACCCTGTTGGTCGACAGCCTTACTCTAGGTTGTCTTTGATTGTTTTGGTGTTCGCTTTCTTCTTTACAATGAAAACCATGATTGAGATACAGGCTTTGGTTTGGAATAGTACCTACCTCTATATATAAAGATATGTTGCACGGCTCTTATTTGATGAAGCTTTTCATCAGCAGCTTGTCAATTCCAACGCTTGAAACGAGGACAGTTCACGAGTGCTGGGCTTTCTAGGAAATCTTCCATCAACAAACAGCTCCTCTTGAGAATCTGCAGAACGGGCATGCAGTTCCCTAGCGTTTCCTCTTCGGCACTTCCAACCTCTCCCCATATTACACTAGTTCTAGTTCTAGTTCTAGTTCTGAGTAGTCCTAGTCCCCCTTCCTACATACGCTTCAGCCCGTCAGCTCCAAATCCCGAAAAAGAAGCTCGCTTAGATCTTCTGCATAAATTATCTGCAATCAAGCCAATCTGTAATCTGTCAGCTGCTGTGACTACCCGCACAGCGATATGTAGGTACGATTTGACCATAGGACTGCTGCAAGATAAAAGTTCATGATTGATGCCCCTGACTAGGTATCTAGGTGAGCATTCAGCCTGATATCTGTATTACTAACTGGCCAATGACGCGAAAGTCGAGAAAGACTCTACAAAAGTTCATGACGGTGATGGACTAGAGGTAACCCTTTAGAATACTAGCCCAATTATACTAGTTTAAGTCATAGATAAGTCAAGCCGAAAAGAGCAGTCTTCAGTAAGATACTATAAAAGAAAAAGGTGAGAGCAATTGACAAAGGTCACCAACATAGAACACCAACTCAGGCATGTGACTGAAGCTAGTCTTACTACCTGCATGAACTCCTTCGTTTATTTAATTTCCTTTTTTTTTTTTTTTTTTTTTTTTTAGGTAGTAATAAAGAGTAAGACGACTATACCTACTTGCTGATTGCCTACGCTATTCAATTAGTTCTCCCTCCTTACTGGTGCCTATCTTATCGAGCTTACCTACAGCTCAGCTTTCCTTCCCCAAGAATTTGGGGGGTGAGGGAGATGACCGATAATTGGTATGTAATCCGAGCAGAGAAGTACATCCGGCAGGACCCAGCCAATAAATGATGCACGCAGCACAGAACGAGAACACGATATCGTCAGGAAAATGCGTTCATACCTCCAGGTACCTACCTACCTAGTTCCGTGGAGATGTCCGTCACCCAGGATAATCCCCAAAGTGACTTGTCATTTTTTTTATTTCTTCTCTCTCTTGGGAACTGTCCACAATGGGGTAGGTAAGTAAGGTAGAGGTAAGATCCAAGCTCCATCTGCGGTTGAAGAGTATCTGAGACATTTGTTTTCTTACATCAGCTAGGTACGTAGGTACCTAGGTATCTTGCTTGTAATTCAGCTGAGGGTAGTGTAAATGTAGGTAGCTTAGCTTGCCCGGCTTTACTGGATCGGCTTTACTGGATCGGCTTTACTGGGTCGGTTTGGTTGGCAGAGTTGGATCGGCCATCAACAGCTAGAGCTACTGAAGCTGTGCACAGCCAGGTACCTAGCTGAGGGTAGGTACCTACCTAGGTAGATATGCACGATCAAAGATGGCTGAATAAATAGCGGGCGGTTAAAGATGCGATTGGTCAAGCCAGGTGCTAGAAGTTCCTAGCCTCCTAACTCCTAACGAACATGGGTCACGCAATGGGTAAAGTCGCATAGAGGCGGTCCACCTCCAGCTTGTACCATAAAGTACCGCTTGAGATTGCGTAGTAAGGTGTTCGAGACTCGTGAGTTTAACCAATGACCAACTACCTGGATCTTAGGTCCCATTGAAGGATTCCACACTTCCAAATCGGGGAACTATATTACGTACATCGAGTGTAAAACCTAAGAGGTCGGTAATTTCCATACACAGTAGGTAAGTATGCTTGGGAGAGCTCTTCCCACGCGGACTTAATTCCTAGGTTTACCATTGGCCATACAGCCCTTCACGGCTCACGCTCGCAGCTCAACGTCATGGGTGCCATGAAGCGACAGTGGGGTTTGATATCTTTGACAGAGGAAGTTCCTCACGCTTGTCTCAAACCTCCGGGCATAAGAAGAGATCTAGGATGCCGGTCCCAGTCGGAAATAGGAATGGACAATAGAAGATGGGAATTGGTGTGATTTCCAAGCCGGATCTTTCTCTTTCCGATCTTACTTCGAGTGCTAAACGAAGGGACGGACATGTGCATGTGTGAATCAGGTATGGCGTGGGTATTCGGTGTGATAGAGGCCTTGATATGCCCTTAAAGTGCTAGTGAGAATCCGGGTGTGAAAGCCGTAGTACTAACAGCACCAATTGGTGCACAACTACCACCTGCTCTTGAAATATCCGGAGATCCGGGATCAGGGAGCGAGCGAAGTGCCCTGGGGGGTTGCTTAGCGAGCTTAGCTGCCTACTTTAGTACGATCCTCAAAAGAGTTTAAGCACGTGGCTGTGGTGCTTACCTCTAGCTTGGTAATGAACACCCATGCCTATCCGGGACCACGAACGGCATAAGTGGGGCATTTCTGCGCCGGGAATGTCTCAATCTTCGGGCAACAAGGACATCGGGGGCGGTCAGCGGAACAGAGTCTGTTCGCATCTGGTCAACCATGATGGAGAACTCCGGGACCGGGTTCCAGGATGTAATCTCCAGACCATATCACGCTAGCTGTAGGTGCCCATCCCATCGTCACCCACATGTTGCTGCGGCCGGCGTACACATGTCAGGCTTCCAGCAAGCGGCGAAAGCAGACATGAACGTATGGGCACCATACCTTAGGACCCCAACGAGTACGAGGACGTTGTGAAGAGGTGGTTGGAGTTTGAGTTGAGCCCTGCAGACGGCCCGCGAGAACTCACCTATGGTAGTGAGTTGCGCTAAGCGGTAGGATCCTTAGTGTTGATCTGTCTTTTCTTGTTATGGACAAGTCCAGTTCGCTTGGTTCATCTCCAACGAGAAGACAAAATTCCGCAGCAGGCTCGAGGTTGTCTTGAAGCTGCTAGCTATCATGTTTTTACAAAGGTGCAGATCGCCCTCCCTACCATAGAACCGCGTGCCTGTGAGCTGCCAGTAGCCTGGTGGCCGGTGGCCGGGATCATGGGAATAAAACTGCTGGAACTCGAAACCGTGGGGAGGCTGACAGGCAGGTGAGTCGGTTCCATTACTGATGGAAATGTCTCATCCTCTTGCCCATTTATCACCGGACTGATCATCTATCAACTCGCGTTCAAAGTCAATGCCATATACGTTACTGACGCATGACAAGTGAGGCAGGCCGGTCAGAGATTCTGCCAATACCCGTTTGGAGTTCATGTAAGTGTCCGATAATTGTGACTCTGATGTCTGCTGCTTAATGTCGAATCCTCCGTCAGTCCATGGATGGACCCTTCATTCAGGTGTTATGGGTCTAAGCCTGAGACTGACATACTGTACTCGTGCCCATTCTCGCTGCCACTCTGATGGTTCCAGTTACCAAGGATATACGGGTGAGTGGGGATCAGGGATGTAGTACAAAGACCAAGGACACGTGAATTTCTCTGCCCTGTGTACATCGACAGACTTCTGGGCTAAAAGACTGTGTCGTTGACATCACAAGACAGGATCAGGAGATCTCTTCAGCCAGCATGAGGGAGTACCCATGAACCAGGGTGCGCAGTAAAGCTTGGAAAACAGAGTACTGCCATAGCGAACCGGGTGAATCCCGAGCGCAGACCCTCAAGGCATTGCTGCACATGAGGAGCGTCATGAATACCTCCCTCACATCGGAACGGGGACAGTAGTCCGTCCAGCCGGAAACATGTTCGCATGTGCCCCGGCTTTTCATTCCAATCACAGCGAGGCGAACTGGACGAGTAGACGAGCCGAACGAGGACTTTGATCAGGACAGGAAAGAACAGCCGAAAGGTCGCATACCATTTCCAGATGTTTGCAGCATGCATGGGAGATCTTCACCATCCTCGTCACCATCATCATGGCTAGCATCTCACATCATGTACGGTGCAACCCGTGCACATACGTCTTGCGTCGTATGCCGCATCGGTTCAAAGCCACTGGGACATTGGGGGAAACGAAGGATGGGATCTGAGAACATGGGGGCAACGCAGGGGCAAGACAGGAGCGGGCGACAAATCGCAAGCTCTGCGGTACACCGGGGCAGTCTCCGAGAACCGAGGCTAAGGTATGGGCTTACACTAGAAGGGGGGTAGAAGACGGGGGATTGGTGGAGAGTCCGAGGGTGATGATTAGAGGGGAGGAATGGAAACAGCGGGATGGATCAATGGGAAGCAAACCGGGCAACTAACCAGTAGCGGAATGGCGGCTCATCGTCGTTTCTCCCGCGCGAGGTGACGGAGGCCTGCCATGCGTGCCTTGTTTCGTGTTTTACCGTTACTGTGGTACTTGCCCGATTTGAAATGACCATGCTTTTTTTCCCATTGCCTTATCGATTGACCGATCCGCCAAATAACAGGGACGATGGGTAGAGAAAGCGGCTTTTGAGATCCCATCCCCGGGCATCAGCCATTGTCCATCAGAAATCCGCCTTGTGTATCGATGTCTCGTCCATTCTCTGATCATGCTGGTCGGATCAGGGGTCCCAGTCATCACTCGAGATCGGCCGTGGATGCTAGCGAATTCGGGAAATGCACCCAGGACCGAGGACCTGGAACGACCATGCTAAGGGCCCCTGCTTCTTCCGTCACCGACAGCCTGTTTGACTGGTGGCACAGGCTTACACTCTTGGGAGATGGGCTGATTGACCACTCATTTTCCTCACAATCTTGATGGGCTTGAAAGCCTTTGATTGTGTAACCAAACCGTAATGCACGGCCACTGCATATTGGTCGAGTCGCAGTGCCTTATTGGCAACTGCGAGATCTGGGGCCGGGTATCGACAGTCTTTCAGGGCGCCGGGGCTGGTCAATTTGATCTAGGGGTGGGCGACTTACCTTGTACTTTGCAGTAGCTCACGATCTTGCTGAACTAATTTCGCCGGAAATCTCCCTTGCGGGGATTATCGCATTAGCCCCAAACGTGCTGATATTGCGTCGAAAGGGGCACTAAGCGTACTGTGTAGTTTAAACCTCCGAAAGCGCGGTTGTTGGTTCACGCCGACAAGGAGCAACTACACGTCCCGTTATCAACTCAACAATTTCAACGTGAATTGGAGTAATACCTTGGGCCGAGAAACACTGATGTCAGAACAGTCAACCTCAATGCGACATTCGCCTGAAACTGTCCACATTTCCAGACAACGTTGTGACTGTTCAATTCATCGCAACGTCATGTTAGTCCCAACCGCTGCCAGTGATTCGCACCGGCAACTGGAATCGTACTTAGCGAAACGTGGTAGGGTGCAGTGAGAGGCATGATAACAACCCATCTACTCGGTCTATAGAGGTCCTGACACCATGAGCCGAGAGCATTGACAGGAAGCTGAAATTATTGACAAGCCCACAGTATCCGGGAAGAATCACCGAACCTCCGCAACGGCATCATGTGGATCTTCATCAGACCGAGAACACCAGCTGGGGGAGACGTTTACCGAAATCCATCACAGCCGACGGCTTGACGCTATCTCACGATTCGCGACTGCGCTATTGAGCCATACCCCCGGAAAGTGGGACATCCGTGACTGTAACAGCCACTGGTGGTGATGCGAATATTTCCTTAGCAAATTAGGGAAGTTTCGGAGCCCTTCCCAAGATGGTTACGGGTGATTGTCAAGGATGGTAAGTCACCGGAGAGGATGTCTTCCGAATGGAAAAAGAAAGGAGAGAGAAGCCCAAATCACTGGGACAAGGCAGCAGGAGTCTTGTTGCCAGATCTCTATCCCAAGTTGTGTCGACACCAATGAAACTTGTTCAGCCGACTTGATGTCTTTCCCGACAGCGCAGCCATCCAATATATGCCAGCGTCTGCATCACAACACCTGCAAATGATAGCACTGGCACGACATGGATGACCGAAAGGGCTTTTCAGATGCCAATCCACCGTTGTCGAAGACGTTTATGATCCCAGTGCGAAGCCGTCGGCGAAGGCAGAGTAATCAGACCGAAGGAGGGCGACCAAGTCCGGTCAAGCCCATTAAGCCAGTGGAATGACCGCGCAGTTTACCACCAACCCACGACCGGTGTGAATAACATAGGCCCTCGCTGCCATAGCCTGCAGCAGAGAGTGGGGATTCGGGCAGGATGCGATGCCTCGAATCTGGAAGTGGAGAAAGCCGTTAATGACCGTGTTGCATTCCCACGGTAACCATGAGCACGGCGTGTAGATATGAAAAAGGCTCGGTTCAGTCTGGGTTTGTGGGAGGCGAAGGAGATCCCACGAGGACAAAACTGGAGACTCCGAGGCACCAGATGACTCGGCAACGGTTGCTAGCTCGTTAAGGAGTTGCTCGTCGCGCGTGGCAAATAGATGTGCGCCAAAAAAAGAGGATCTTGGAGACCAGCATTCAGGTGTTGGCCGTGCGAGACACAAAGCGTGAGTCCAAACTGTCATGTGGATTTGAGAATGGTGAGCAACCGGACGACGACTTGTCTCGGCTGTGATGCTCGACATGTCGTATACTGTGTCTGTCTGCTGGACTCGAGGATTGGAAAGATTGCAAGGATAACCCGGGTAAAGTGAAAGAAAACCGATTCTCGAGATGGAACGGCGTGAGGCCGTTGGTCGAGAGATGGAGGCAATGCTGCTCCAACACGGTCCGGCATAGCTCCGCGCCAACTGCTGCCATGATGCTGCTGAGCCAGCACAAACATGATGATCAGAAAGGAAGTAACGAAGTGGGAAGTAGTTCTCATGGGCTCCGCACTGGGCGATTTTGCGCGGAACATCGTGCGTGGTTATGCAAGAGATGCTTGCTAGGAGGCGGTCCCCTGAAAAATGATATTCCAGGGACGTGATGCTTTGGTTGCCATCTTGCTCTGCATGTCGCATTGTCGAAGTCGAGATCCCATTCAGCTGAATGATGTCAGTTGATTCGAGTAGCTAAGAAGCAATGTGCGGCAGCCGTAGGGATCGGGGGGCCTTTCGTGGAATCCTACCAAGCAAAGACTCGTTGATTCACGGTATCCGGCGAGTTGGTCGTGAATCGAAACCACTGGAGGGTGGTCGCTTGGCCGCACACGCTTGGCGTGCTTCCCGAGACATGATTCGTCGACACGAAGTGAGGCGCACCCCTAACATCCGAAATGTACCCCTGTGTACCTTTGGCTTTCGATATGAAGGACACGCAATTTGTGTTGCGATCCCAAGGCGTGTAGGTTTCTGTTAACCCACTTGGCTTGGCAATACCCTGAAATCCGAAGACCAATGACCCCATCAGCCTCTCCCTTCACACACATCGGAGGACGTGAAGCCGGCCGCCTGGTCACACTACTCCTGGATGTTGGTGTTGGAGCGGCAAGGATTCAGGCCTTTGACTTATCTTTAGCTTTTCCGAAAAGCTTCGGAGCATGGAAAACTAAGGAATACTCCGGTTATGCTCAAGCGAAAGCTGAGCGAAATCGTTTATATAACTGGCCTCTGAACCACCGAAACGAAACGACGACAGAGATCACAAGATCCAGGCCACGATAAGCATCTACAACAAGAAGTTAGCAGCACGCTCTGACAAGACAAATACAAGCCTACCTTCCGAGTAAGAACGCACCTTGCACACACCGAGTGGCAACATCAGAACAACCTCAAAATACAAAGATCATCAAGACATCACCGTTCGTCCAAATATCATCAAGATGTGCCACGGACACCCCGCCGGACATTCATGCGGCCATACTTCGCTGCACTGGCACTATTGCCCGGCAGCCAAGATCGACCTCAATACGGGATACCAAGAGCAATGCAGCAACACGACCATGGCCAAAGAACAGCCCTCAAACGCCGGTTGTCCCTTGCAGAACTGTGACTTCAAGAACACCAACGGCAACTGGACATGCTGCCAATGCGGCTCCCCAAACACGACCGGGTGGTGTGACGGCATGCTGCCTAACCCGCGATGGGAAAGAAATGCCCTCACCAACGAATGGCAGTACATCCAGACCTGCGATCACAATTGCTGCAGGAACTGTCCCAGGGAAGGTATGTGGTGGACCCTCCTCCAGTGACCTGAGACCTCGGATATTGGTAGCAATAAGCTAACAGACAGACCAGCACCTGCCCCCGGCTCGAGTGCCGAAAGCTCTCGGAAGAAGAGAAAGGATTCCAGCAAGCGCGGTACCAGGGACCCCAGAGATGGTGTATCCATGACCGCAGAGGAGGTCGGACAGTCGACATCCTACGACATTGCGCTGGACTACAGCGGGAAGGAAAAGAAGCACAACAAGGAGTCGTCGTCGAAGTCGAGGTCCCGGAGGCACTAGCCAATTGCAGTGTCCCGAGGAGGAATGTTTGTGCGAACACGAGAAGCCGGACGTCATGCCGGCGGATGCATTGCTTTTTTTGGTGCGAGTCATTGGACTTTGGAGCCAAAAGTGGGAGGTTGCCTTCTCTTTGATGATACCCGTGGGTACCTCATAAACCACGTCTTGGAGTTGGGCGGCGTCGATTGTTTTTCAGAGCATACGGCCAGCATGTATCAAGGGCGCACAAAAGGAAAGGACCGTGATTTGACAACTGGAAGGATGGATAAATGAATGGTGGGGAAAGCAACAGCAACACCAACGGCGTTATTTTGGTTCGGTTTTTTTGTTGTTAATCTTCGGCGGGTTCTGGATCCGAATTTTGTAATCTGGGATTTTCGGTCGGCAGGCTCTGGGCGACAGGGTCTTGACGTGTGCGTTTGCTTTTTGTTGTGTCATCATAACCGATGATTGAGCCTTAATGAAATATCTCCAACTTCGCTTCTTCGTCTTTGGTGCTCATGATCTCGAATGGTCTTGCTACGTAAATGACCAAGGTGGCGTAATTGAGTGGGTTGTAGTGTTGATGCGGTTGACAACCATGGCAGTCATGCCTGTTGTCTTGCAGTGTAAGAAGGTCCTGACCTATTGCGTGCCGTGTTTGCGTGGTGGAAGTCATGTTGATGCCAACACGGCAGTGTTGGTGGTGAAGACGGGAACGGGAGAGAAGACCAGTGGAAGTGGAGTGAGGTGGGTAAGCGGGCAGTAAAGGAATAATAAAGAACAGGACCAATGCTGATGTGGATTCTCTTGACAAGCACTGGCCTGCCGCCACGGGAATGATGAATGGTACCTAATCAATATGAAGCTATCGCATGTGGGCAAGCGGTGAAGCCGGCATCTCTTGTGAGACCGACATGTGTGTCAAACAGTCTCAATCGGTCCAAGTCGGCAGCGTACTTTCCACTTTCGAGGGCCCTGCATGTGTAACCAGACTGTGTGCGAAGTTGGGGTGATGCTGGGAATATTTGGGTCTTTGTTTGCCCATAGCAGAACCTTTGGTGTTGATGCTATCCGGGATAGGGTTAACAGCGAGGAAGCTGCACAACCATGGTTTGTGGTAGACAATTGGTGGGGGTTGGAGTCGGACAAGTTGACATCATCAAGAACGAGAGGTGGTGAGGAGGGGTAGAGAGGTTGAAAAAGAAAGAAGGAGAGAAATGGGAAAGCAGGGGAGAAGTCCGGTTAGGTATCTCTCAAACGTGCACAAGTTCCTCGGCAGCAAGGAATCGATGCAGACTGATACTCGCGTACTTGAAGTGTTTGGGGGAAAGAGCAACGTGATGTGAAGGGAAGCACAGAACTCAGCTTGAGTCGGACAGATTGGCGTGGATTTTGGGAGGAAGTCGTAAATGGTTCAGTCGCAAAGCTCATCCAAGCGGAAGGTGTTGCCATTTCCAGTCTCGGGCAAGAACATTGACGTCAATCGTACGATCACGGCAGTTCGCTTGAAGCAAGAGCGGCTAGTCAACCGCCTTCTGGTGGTGGTCACTGACGATCTGCGGCAAGAACGTGGCCAAGAACAGGCAAGAACGGCGAGCAAGCCCACTACGGCAGTATGAACCCACTACAGTCCGGGCAATTCAGCCCCCCCGCATCTTCGCCGACCACCAATGAAACTTGGTGTAGGGTTAGGGGACTGCTAGGCGTGATTGAAGCATGTTCGCTCGCAATCCCCTCATTCAGTGCCTCGGTTGCCTGTTCACTTCGGGTCATCTCAATATCCATTTCATGCGAGGTTGAACCACAGTAGTTCAACGATACAGCGTTGGCGATGGGTTGATGGTACATGATGGAGGTTACTTCTGGCATTTGTATGAGTTACCCGAGACTTCGATGATCGTCGATATCCGGCCAACATGCACGGAAATGGAAGCCAACAACCCATTCGGGGAGTACGATAACTCGATGATCGTTTTCTACGGACTGTCGATACTGAGATTATGTTTTCTATCTTCAGAGATGATGGCGCCCCCGTACGACGTGCAGACAAAGACATCTCGCCATGGGAGCGCCAAGTGGGAATTGGTTTCTAAACCCGTCGTCGTCCCCCCGAATGGAATCACCCGACGTCTTATTTGTCCTTGTCGTGCCACGTGCTGTACCGTCTGTGCAACGCCTCGCTTCCATCTGATCTGATATCTGTGCAAGGATGGGGCGGGCAGAGCACCGGATGGTGGTGAAAGCTGGGTGCGGCACGGTGATGTGCATTTGCTGGTCCCGGGGTTGTGGCCGCGGCGTGTGTCCTCAATGATCGTGACTGGGTAAACTATATACAATCTAACCCTAATTTATTTATTAGCTCGATACAAGCAGGGGTAGAAAACAAGGATACATAACCAATAGAATCTATTTATTTCAAGCCAATTTGAAGTAAAACTAACACACTATAAACACCATTATACATTATTTAACATTAAAAACAAGGAAAATAAGGTGCAAAAACAGGGATTTAAAATATCAGATTTTAATAGCCAATATATCCACTATTCACTACAATAACAGAACGCAACCACTTAAACATTAAATACACTAATTTTTTTATATAAAACTCAAAGCAAGTAACCTATACCTCTTTAATAACCTCTTTAAAGGTATTACCAATTAATCTAATTAAATAAATATATTCAATCCAATACTTTATCCAAAACTATACATACTTAATAGGGTTCAAATTAAATAAGTAAACTAACTACGTAATTTATTTATCCATTAGAAATAACTCCTTCATTACCGCTTTTATTATACAAAAAGTATAAATAGGAATGTTATCCTATTATACTATCCAGTTATAGTCTGCGAAATAAAAAGAATAAAATAATAGTAAAATACGTTCTTAATAATTAATAAAATTAATTTTACCCTATTTCTTATCTTAAATTAAATAAAGCCCCTTAATACTACCGGTAAAACACCCCTAAAACATCTAGCTATTAATTCTCTAATAGATTTAAACGAGGTTATTAAAGTCTTTTCCCGGGAATATAGTAATATATTTATGCTTAGAATTAAAGCTATTAACCCAAATTTCGTTAGACTAGATCTAATTTTCCTATTAGAACATTATTAACCCTGCCTAACGCAAGGTAAATTGTAAGTGAGTTTATTAATTTTTAGGAGATAAGGGTTAGCGGACTAATTAAAAGATCCGACGGGCGCTAGATTATTATATAGTATTCTAAATAGTACGGACGCTATATAATTCTAAAACTGGGAGCGCTTTATAAACCTTAAATTATAGTAAGAAATATTTAAATTACTGTAGAATCTATAAAAATTTAGCAATAATTTAGCAAACTTCGGGCGGTATAATATTCGGACAACTATATAATCCGTATCCGGGCTAGGCACGTACAATAATAATATATAATACCTACCGCTCTATAATATTAAAAGAACAAACAATCTAAAGTACTATTATTTTACTATAAAATCAAAGGGTTTTAATTATAATCCACTCCTTGTACGAAGTAGGCAAAGATTTCTTAATTAAACCGATATAATACTAAGTAAAGGAAAGGTTATTAACATTAACAATAAACGCGAGAGGGGCACAAGAAGGGAGATAATTAATCGGCAGCAGTGTAGGGCCCTTAAAGCCGGGAGTAAAAAATACTAGACTAGCTCAATTATAGAAAAGTAAAATAATTAGGCTAAGCGCGCCGGACGCTATTAAAATACTAGTCTAATATATTAAAGTAACTAGATTATTATTAATATAAGATTTATATAATTAAAAAGATTAACTTACCAAATATAATCGGAAAATAAAAGCGAAGGCCTAGGTAGCGAGGGTAATAAATTGAAGGTTTATTCTCTTTATTAAATTCGGCTATTAAATTAATAATATTGCGGAGGGGGGTAACTACTTCTATAACTACTAGAGTACAACGGTTGCGCTATTCCTAAAAATAAAGTAATATATTAAAACAATTTAAAACAATCTTTCTAATTACTTACCCGGGAGGTACTATAATAAGGGGACTAGCAAAATTATTATTATTATTATTATTAAAGTAATTAGAAGAGGAAGTACTAGAATTGTAGCTATTAAAATCTATTTTTTTATTAAAATAAAAATTATACTTATTAAAAAAAATAGGGTTCGTTAAATTAATCTTAACCTCCTAATTAATTTGTTTAACGAACTAAGGAAGTTTACGGACTATAATAGGAGTATCGAAGCGATTTAATTAACTAAATAAAATAATAAAATAAGAAAAAATTGGAGTGAAACGGACAAATAATATATAATACTATAATAAGGATATATAAGAATATATATATATAAATAAATAAGAATCTAATTAACGAAAGGGAAATTTAGCCTCTTTAACCTATAGAATCGAACGATTAATTCTAACTAATTCTAACTAATCTAATCGATTCCCCGTTTAATTATTTGAATAAGGCTATTTAGAGATTGCACTCTATTAAAAGCGTTTAAATTACAATTCTTTTAGTACGGTTAAGCACAGTTAAGGGGCTTCTAAGCACGGGTAAACGCTATAATCCCCTATAATCTAACCTAAAAGGGAGTCCTACACTCCCGTAGGCGCGGTAGGGCACCTATATAGCACTTGACCCCCTAGTTATTATCCTATATCAATAATGACTAAGCACGTACCCGGTCTATTATCCAATAATCTAACCAATAAGAAATCGTACACAGACCACTTTCCCCCTATTAAGCACCCCTGTCCCAAGAACCAAACTAATAAACAAACTAGTATTGAATTGTACATTCGGCTACACACTTGACGACGATAACGAGATGTACAGTAATGTGCCCTGTTAATACAATTAATGCCGGCAGCCAGATTTCTTTACAAAAGGGGGGCTTTTGTAAAGGATGGTACTAGTGTACAGACCAATATATACTGTGGGGCTACTAGATTACGGGTCGATTACCCTAAAGGTGGGTCACTTCGACCCTCTCGCACCGCCGCTATTCGTCCTGCCTACCTAAATCAGATCCCTATTAATGCAAATCCCCCCCGTCAGTATTACAATTAGCAGTTAGCAGTCTTCACCACCAGAGGGAATGCGGGCAGCCGAAATCTTTAGCAAAAGGGGGGCTTTTTGCATTAAGGGGGCTTAGCATTAACAGGGCACATTACTGTAGCCAAGCACCCAATGTTGTACGTGGCATCACCCTTTCCACGTGCCAGGATGACATGCAATCACAAACCACATGGCTCTTCTCCGAACAAAGATCCAGTTTCACCACGGCTGTCAGTGCGTTCCCAACTCTATCACCCGTTGGTTTGCATGAAAGAGCTCTCAACCGGTTACCGGATCCAATCTTGAGGGCTACAGATAACCGATCAGCATTCCCTGACAACGACATCTCGGTACTGAGTTATCGACAGGCTCTGGAAGTGAGGAGGAAGGGATCCCTTCCATATACCGACCGTGATATTGCCATTATGTAGCACTCGTCTGCCTCAACCGAGTGAAACAACATCGTGAGGAAATGAGGCCGTAAACAGGAACCTTCCCGCCATCGCGCATCCCTCTCCATCTCGGGCTGTCCGAAAAGAAAATCAACAGAAAGAAGATAAGCACCGGAGGGGCCTCGAAGAGGATAACCGACGACTGCTGCGCATGAGGTGCGGTTGCAGTATTTGGTGGGGACTTTGAAACGCATCACTGCACGACGACGAGACCTGGACCTGACCTGGAGTTGTGGAGGGGTTCCACCGAGAGGAGTCCATTGCTTGCAGTGGTCCCGCTCCGCCCACCTCGATACAATCGGGCCATCCAAGGGAGTACCTATGTAAGAGGAAACAAAATAAAAGTCTAATCGATCCCAAAGTTCATCTTTGCCATGACGAATGAGGCATTTTTGTGTTGTCATGGGAAAATCATCATCGGTACAGTCTCCGAGCAACCGAAACCCGGATCCAAACTAGGTCATGGAGCTGATAACTCCGGGAGATCATCATGAGCAGATCACCATCAAGCAGCCCGTCCTTCAGTCTCAAAACGGGCTGCGCCGTGACGCATTGAATTGATGGAATGAATGTCGTGACACTCGGCTTTGGGTTCCCCAAACTGCCAAATGCCCTCGTCACCTTGATAAAAGCCCTGGCCATCATTCTGCAAGGAAATCAACGCTAACGCGCCCGTTGAACGAATGGAATTGGCAGGCAACGAATGAGAGAAAGAGAGGAACAATTCTGGCTCGGCACTTTGTCAAGCCATGCCACATGGCAACTGTGATGCCCCTGACGCCAGTTGACGAAGGGATAAAGACGGGGTCCGATCCCATTGGACTGAGGGTGCCTACAGTTGTGCCTGCCGGATCGCGCCCATAAAAACTCCAGCGGCGTATACTAGTGTATAGCAAGTGGACATGAAAAGTTCCAGCGAGGTCCAGGTGCGTGCCCCCATGTCGTTCGTTGTGTTGCACAACATCCATGTTGGTGATTAGCATCGTGACAGTGACAGTCCGAATATGATCCGAACTCGACTTTGTTGAATAATTAATTGCCTGATCACTTCAAGGCTAAGTAATGCTAGGTCTCTTGAGGTTGCCCACCCATTCTTTCCCAGGTTGAATTGCATTTGTCCAGAATGCCAGTCGTTGGGGGGAACTGCGTTGGCCTGTTCGTCGTATAAGTCCAGACCCGGACCTGCCAAAACAGTCGCTCCGCCAATCTCTCTCCCTCTCCACTTCTCTTCCGTTCATTTGCGAGCGCATCCTGTCACTCATTCCACACCCCCCCCCCCCCCCCCCCCCCGAAATCCCATCCGTTTGTGACTTTCCTACACTCGCCCAGCCAGGAGACAAGACGACTAGTCGCGAACGTAGCGCCATCGACCAAACCAGACCCTGCAGGAGCCGTCCTTTTCCCCATTCAGGTCATTTAGCGATTCGAAACACCGACCAGACTGCTCCAGCCAGCGACCAGCCCACGCTCTCTTCCAGCGCCCATCACCACCGCGTTCGGTAAACCTTGCTGGTTGAGTTGCTTCTGCTTCTCCGGCGGCGCCATTCCTTATTCGCCTTTGATCGTCGCTTCGGCCGTTTCAGTGGACTGCAAGATTGCGACGCCCCTACGGGCACCTATCGAGCCGACATCACGTTTTCGCCCAGTGGGCAAGGGAACAAAAGGACAACAAAAAGGAGATCCCTCCCCGACCCTTGATTTACCATCGTCCGACATGTCCACCTCGTTTGATTCCGCCGATTCCTCTCGTCCTATGATGGCTCCCACTGTAAGTTTCGCGGGAATTGTCATGCTAGCATGATGATCCATTCCCCTTCCTTAATTCCATTACCCATCCATTCCAGATGCGCCTCGATAGGTTTACTTCCCTGTCTGTTGTGGTCGCGGCCGTTGAGTTAGGCCGGGTTGACTACGTTCCGGGACTAGAGAGGACTAGGCCAGGGAGAGTTGCGCAGTCGCAAAAACAGATGCGACAAGCACCGACACATAAAATAGACACATAGGGATCTTCTCTACAACACTTGGCTTTACACTTTTACACTACCACCCACTCAACCTCGACCTGAACTAACAATGTCCACCCCAACCCAGACCCAAAACCGCGCCTCGGTTCGCCTCTCCAGGGCGGCCTCCATGGCCCCCTCGGTCGCGCCTACCTTCAGCACCACCGACACCGCCGTCGCCCAGATCGTCGACATTGGCAAGGGGCTCGAACGTATGGAAAACAAGGCGCTGACGCAGCAGCGCGTGCAACTGTCCGAGGAGAAGAGCGTCAACTTGCAGAAACTTGCTCTGGGCGCCAAGCTTGAGCGCGCGCTCGACCGTCGCATGTCTGGCCAGGATGCGGTCATGAGGCCGCGCAAGCCAACTATTACCGCCGCTTCAAGTGTCATTAGCGAGAAGGAGAGGGTCGAGGCGATCTGATTTGGACATATTGAGCCAAGGGGCATGAGGTGAATGGAGCGACAAAACAACGATCACGCGGCAAGACAAGAGAAGAATATCTGGGATGTTTGGCCGGTTGGCCGGAGAATGCGCCTGTCGCTCTCGTTCACTCCGCCTGCACAATGCCGTTCCACACGCTATTGGGGGACGTTGCGCTGAGACCGGCCGCGCAATACGAGAGGATAACCAGATATCTACCAACCTTCCTCGTCCGCTCGAACCACCCAAACGCGAAACACACATGCCAACAACCACGCCGCGTCGAGAATTTGGAAAGGAGTTCACCACATCGGGCAAAAGTAGCGGTGATATTGAGAATGGGATAAACTGCGAATTGGATGCTCGGTCGCAGGCAACGGGAGGAGTTGTACGATTACATTTTCTGGGTGTTCAAAACATCATGGCGTTGCTTATTTTTATCTTCATTTTTTCCTCACCACATCTGGATTATCACCTTTTGTCAAGGGAGAAACATTCGGGTGGCCAGCTTGAACCGCTACGGGACAAGACACTGGCCAAGGATTCGCAAACATTGCTGCTTCATGGACATGTTTTCATTTTAGAAGAAGGCTGGGGGAGTGGTCAACAAAAGGGGAAGAGCAGACAGCAACTTTTATACTGGGCGAGCAAGCAGCAGACATGTTAGTTACATGGATCGATGGAATGGGTTACGTTACAACGCAAATTTCGCAACCGGCACCTCACTTTCGGTGTATGTGTATGTATACCTATATCTGAGGGCCGTGATACGAGATACGTAGTAAATTGACAGGAAGTCTCAAGTTTTAATATGAACAAGGAGATGTTTAAAATCCAAAAAAAAAAAAAAAAAAAAAAAAAAAAGAAAAAAAAAAAAAAAGGTACAATCTGTAAAATGCATGCATTGAGGTTCTTCGGTACGTATTAACAAGTCCCGAGTGCCGTATCGATGTGAGCTTGTAAATGTTCTTCTTACATATATGTATGTATGTGGTGGCGCACCGCTTGCGTGTCACAGAACTCGTCGTGTAATTCGGGTAGATTAGTAGATAGTAGATCCCACGTGGCTAGGTAGATAAGTGTCGAGTCGAGGGCCGTACCTACGTCACGAAACTGCGATTCAGGTAGCATAGTAGATTCCCACGTGGCTACTACCTAGCTAGGTAAGTGTTGAAGTGCCGTAACAAAGAAGAAGAAAGAAAGAAAGAAAGAAGACAACAGACAACTGAGGAAAACTGAAAAGATCCGGGCCTCCTACCTACCTAATCGAATACCTACTTCGTTGCTTCTTTGTTAAGAAGAAACCGACCAACCGGAAGAATCGAGCAGGGCGTGGGATGGAAATGATGTGGGCTGCCTACCTACACACACTGCCCGCGGCGTACTACTGCCTGGATGGCAACGAATGAATACCTATCTCTACAGCAGCTTAGACTATAGTACACAATAGGAGAACAGGTAGTGAGTAGAGGTAGGTACCTAGTACTTAACAACTAGCTAGCTAGGTACCTACTGCCTGCCGCAGGGCATAGGATGTCGTACAAGTAAGTACCTACGGTAAGTTTTCCAAATAGTCCAAAATATAGGTAGGTAGGTAGGAACTTGATATATTGAAATTCACGGTACCGTCATCACGACTATGTACGTATGTACATCGACTGGGGTTTTGATGTATATACCACTTCTCAGTAGGTATCTATCTATTATATACTACCGGGCTTCGGTAACTCATGTATCTTTAGCGTGTACCTACCTAGGAACTCGATTTATTTAGGTGGTGCGAAGTGGTTATCGCGAGGGGAAAGGAGTGTTGCTTGATGGCAAAATAGAACCGAAACTTCTATATCACCGCACCAACATTCGAGCAGGATGGAGAACAGAGAGTAGTGGTTCCAAAAGTGTAAACAATGATCCCAATTATGTATACCTAACGCCTCTAACGCGCAACTAACGACTGCCTGGTAGTAAAAGCAGAGCAGAGCAAAAAAAGAGCGCTGACTGTTGACAAGCGCTGTGTGTCCCTTTTAAACATGTAATACATGAAAAATAACAAAGTTCCTTCTGCGTCGTGCGTGTTTCCCTCTTTTTCCATCAAAGCCAGAAAGCAGGTGAACGAAACAACGTCCTTGGACGACGCGCCCGTCCTCTGGCTGTGAAGATGGGTTCCGGTTCCGGGGGCCACAGGCCAGCCCACGAACCATTCTTCAGATTCGGATCCTGTCATCATATCGGTTCCGCGATACCACCGCCCTCCTCTCGCAACGACCCCCAACCTTCACACCCTTTAGTCCTCGTGATCATCTCCTGGATATTCATCCCAATCATCCCACTTAGCACAAGCCAACACCGCACCCAGCCTTAAACCCAGATGCCTTGATACTCGCTATCCCCTCCCACTCCACTTCACACCCAGTTGCATTCCCAGCATCCTTCTAGGCCTGCTTCTGCTGCTGTCCCTCCTACTCAGCACCAGCACCAGCACCAGCATTCTTGGCCTCCAACCGCTTCTCAATCTCCCTCCCCAACTCCGCCAACTCCTTCTCCTCCCCTTCCACCTCCAATGCCCGTCCAACCCACTCCCTCGCCTCCTCAAGTCTTCCCATCTCCAACAGACTTTTTCCCCTCCTAAACCACGCCTTTGCATTCCCCACCCTCTTGGCCTCGACACTCGCTTCCGCATCTACCGCAGCCTCAGGCCACTCCTGCATCCACATGTGCGCCTGCGCCCTGTTCGAGAACAAGGAATGGACTTCCTCCCTCACCAGCTGGGACGGTTCCCAAAGCGGGCGGGCAAGTGCCATTTGGATGCCCAACGTGTAGAATTTAGCTGCCTCGCTGTACTTTTGCTTCTTGTACTCGGCGTTGCCGCTGTCGCGCAGCTTGGAGACCTGGGCGGAGCGTTTGGGGTTTACGGGGATCGGGGGAGGAGGCACCAGGTGCGGAGCGTCGAGGGAGTGGAGGGAGCGGTGCAGGGCGTTGAGAGCGGCGAGCTCGGATTCGAGGGCGCGGGTTTGCACGGAGGAGAGGCCAGAGGAGGCGAGGAGGGAGATGGATTTGCTTTGGGGGTCGATGGTTAGGGGGAGGTGGGTGTAGGTGTCGAGGTCTTCGGCCATTTTGGGCGGTTTGTAATTTATGTTGGAATGGAAATGGTTATTGATCGAAAGGACGACGTGTCTCGTGTCTCGTATCTCGGATGGGATTGCCGAGCGTGGAAGTGTTGAATGATGTCTCGGTCGGTTGCAATGTGACTGTTTCAATCGAGAAGGTAATGATGTCGCGGCGACGATCGAATTATCGTTTGATCGTGAGAATCGTGCACGCAAAAAGAGTGGTTCCGCAAGTTACGAATGTGGTTGAAGAAATGCCACGGGGTATCGGTTCGTGGATGAGGAGGGGAGGATGTTTGTTGTGATGGTGACCCGACAATGGAACTGAACTGGACAGGACAGGTCCCACAAGAGGACAGCTCGCAGCTCGGTCCCGGCAGGTCACCAAATGGACGGACGGACGGCATGGGCAATTGAATGAACTGGCCAAATCGCAGCTTCCTTGCCGTCTAGGCAAATCTTATCTTATTGAATACTGTCCGGCAGGCAGAGCGACCTGACGGAGCTTCCACGGCAATTCAAGTTGCTGTGATGACTAAGCGGACGAGTACCTACCCCTGTCCTTTGACGATCGGGCACTGTGAGCCTGCCGTGCCTTGCATGACCGAATGCCGTGGCCCAGACGAGATCGAATTGACGAACCAACAAACACATACAAGTTAAGGGCGGATGTTTTCAATCTGACAACTTGTTGTACCTGACGATTCCTTTGAGCATCTTGTTGATTTAGTTTTCTCGAATGTTTACAACTCCTACCTATTCTCCCTATCTAACTGTGCACCCCAATCCCAATCAGGATCCCCCGCCATATTTTTCCAAGGACCCACACACACTAGTGTATATGCCCAAACTCGCACAAACACGGTCCAATTTTCAACATGCAGCCGCTCATAACCACAACTCCCAATCCCCCTCCCAAGAACAAATCGGACCATATCAGTTCAATCGGGTATGGTGTAGCGGTAACATCGTTGACTCTCACTTCTCAGGAGTGACTGCTCTCTCAACAGCCCCGGGTTCGACTCCCGGTATCCGAGTCTCAATATCTTTTTACTTTTTCCTGCTGATATTCTTTTTGGTTTCCCTTTCTGCTTGAGAATACCTATATACCTACATCCATCCTCCGTTGTGCTCATTTGCTATTATATTATCTCTTGCTCTTTTTCTGCATACGTTTCATCCAGTGACTGGTCCTCTTTATTTTCCTGGTACCAGTCACAACTACATACAGGCACGAGTTTCCTCTGGCTTGTGGCCTGTCCACGATGAGAACAAATCCCCACACTTTATCACAAGGATATACCCGCAAACCAAGAGCTGGATGAACTGCACCTTTCAGGGGCTTTGGTTACATACCAGACGAACTAGTTCGTGATGAAAAGTTGACAAGTTCCTGGGTAGGACAGCAGAGTTCGTCCAAACAACGACGACGACACTCCATCGTAAGAAAGCGCAAGTTTGTGCTTGTCATTCAATATCAAGCAAGGTCAAGGGTCACTGGAAAATCCTAACATGCCACTGCACGATTAACAGCAACCCCGGTTTATTTTTATTTTCTTCTTCTTTTTCCCTGCCTTCGACCCTCGTCTCTTGTCTGTTTGTCCGTCCGTGCCCACATTGCTGACGCCTCGAATGAAATCTAACTTTTTGCCGGTGCTTGGGATAAAAGAATTTGCGTTGCCGTAGTCGTCTTAGTAAGAGCGCACTTTTGAAACGCAAAATGAGGGGGAAAATTCAAGAAGCAAAAGTGCCACTCCGGAAGGACAGTCAGTCCGTCCCCAATGCTTAATGCCAATGCTGAAGGGAAGAAAGATAACAGAAAGTCACATCCAAACAAGCATGATTCCAACATGAATGCCGATATCATGGACAATAAGCAACACGCGTGACAATCAAGGCGACTGAGATGGCCTAGGCGGTGTATACTCTCGCCCAACGCTCGGCTTCGCGCGGGTAAAGGTTTCGGGCGGTGACCACGGTGACTCTCTTGTCGCAGTCGAGTCGAACATCCGCGATACCCAGTACAATTCGTGTTCCCAACAGCCTTGGGCTGGGGTCTTGGGAATGCTATCCACTGTGTCCGAGTCAGCATTGGCTCTTGATAGCCCCCATGACGACAACACCTACACTTGCTCTTTCCTGTGTTTGGATCAACGCTCTTCAACTGCTCAACAGTCCATCGCAAAAGCTCGGCTTGCTCTGGCTCCAGAGTGTTTAACTTGGTATCGGCAATATCATCCCAGTCCATACGCATGAGGTCGGCGCGTTTGAAGTACTGCCAGTAGGCCAGGAGAACCACGCCACCGTGTTGTACCTCCTCGACAAAAGCACTCTCAACAAAGTCAGACGGAGAATTGGGACTCGGCCCAATCGGTCCATAACGGGTTTCCTACGCAACCAACAGTCAGCTCGTCTTGCCTCTCCCACGAGAAAATGGAGTTTACACACCTGTTGCCTGCCGCCCGAGTTATCTCTGACCCGACGATACCGATCGAAGGAGATACAGCTGACTTGATGGAGGAACAAGAATGTCACCAGATAAATGGTGAACCAATTCTGCATATCACTCGATGTGATGAGCTTCTCGTAAAGCTTCAGCACTCGGGGAGCGAGGATTTTATAAATACGCTCGTGTCGAATGCTATCGAACTGGGCAACAATCATGCGTGGCACGTCGACCCGCCCATAGAGTGGGTAGTCATCCTTGTAGACTGGTTTCATATCAAGCGTGTCGGAGCTGCTATCTAGCCATGCGGACCCTATACCATGGCCTGGAGAACTTTATCAGCATGGCTTTTGAAGGCATTGGACGAGGGTACTTACGGATAGCAAACCAGAGACGGACTGCATTCGTCAGCAACTCTCTCTTGTCCCTTTGACGCCTGGCTTCTATGTTATTCTTGCTGTGCTTGTCTTCTGTCGTCTTCTAGACGGGTCCCGTTAGTGACGGCCATCTGCACACTGAAACAGGCAAGACACTCACAGTAAGTGAGCGGCACATTTCGGCAATGGTGGCGAAGGTCCGCTTTACGATGCCGTCGGATTTCTCAACCGCCTCCTCAAGTCCAAGAAGAGCGTTGGCGCTGATATATTGATGGAATTGGGCAGCGGCACTTTCCACATTAACCAGGCAAAAGGGCTGCAAAGGCTGAGAGGCGGGATAGCCGTTGGCCACGTATCTTCGCTCGTTGATATCTGTGGGAGCCGGGTTGAAACGACGGACTTCCAACACGATGGGTGCCTTGCATAGTCGCACAACCACCTTGGGTTCATTGCACAACCCCTGAACCATTTCGACGCGGCGAGTAGGGCCGCACTGGTCGCTCACATCGACATCGACAACTTGAGTATGAGTGAAGCGTTTCGTCAAGTTCAATCCGCCGGCGCGGAAGATCCTTATCCCAATGATCTTGTCGCGAAGACAAGGGATGTTGTGGATGGTCTTTTTCGAGTCTTTGGAAAATAGGAGGCATGATTGACACGGAGCATCACGATTGTGTGGCTCTAGTGGGTTGGGGTGGCACTTTTTCCTGGTTAGCATGCGTAAAATCGTATTTGTCGTGGTATCAACAGTACTTACCCGGATCCGCTGATTGTGGCATCTTATACAAGCGCCCATGCTACGAGTGTCACACGTTGCTTTCCGCTTGTCTTCTTCCAGCGGGCCACGCTTCTTCTTCTCGACCGAGCCTCTCCGCAAAGCATTCTCTGTCCTGGTCGAGCTGCCGGCGCCGACCAAACCCATGTTGGACCCAGTCAAGGTATGGGAGAGGTCCCCATAGGAACCGCCCAACGGTGTTGTTACGGGCACAAGTTCACGCTCTTCAAAGTGAGAGTCGCCCGCCAGTCCTTCATTCACGACTTTATCCTCTCTGCCCTTCATGACCTCCACCCATCGTTGCTGTTGTTCTACATTGTGATTTTGTGAATACCCAGCTGCCGATGTTGCAGGCACAAACATGGATGTTTCTGTCGGGGCCATGATAGAACGATTCACCTCGGACCCATGTATGACTTGAACACGGTCATACCCCACAGTCTGGTCCATGGGGGTTGGGAATCGGGAATTGTTTGGGTTTGGCTCTGATAAGGCGGGGTTGCTCGAAGCACCGTAGACGCTCAAATGGCTATGTGGCGGGTAACCGTATGTTATATAATTGTGACGTTGTGGGGAGAAGCATGGAGAGGACATGGCAACATTGTCAGGATGGGGCGACGAGAAGGAAGATATATCGAGCGTCGTGTGTGACTGCAAGGTTTGACAGAAAGTGACCGGTTCTTGGGCATAGCTGTCGGTTTTTTGGCCCATCCCCGGGGCGTTTGGCACTCTGAAACTATCACCACCAGGGGTGTCGTCGACCTTGAAGTCACTGATTGACGGTTGATAGGTTTGATAGACATTCTGTGGAGGAGGGGCAACTGCAGCTGACTGCGAGAAATAATGGGGTTGAGTTACCGGGGAATATGGGGCCAAGGCCGAGCACGCTTCTGAGAGGTCGTTCCGTATTGTCGGGTCTGCAAGCGGATGATGGATTGGACCGAATTGCCCCGGTTCTGCAAGGCTAGTGAGAGACCGGCCTCAACAGTGTTTGCCCGGTGAACGAAACATACCTGGCAGCGCGCCTTGCAATGCATGCTGATATGCGTAACACTCCTCTAAAATGGGGCCACGATCGGGAAAAAGGTACGACACATCTTGTGCCCCTGGCAGTGAGGCAGAGGTGGAAGGGGTGAGACTGGGGGGCCTGCGGTCATAGCCCGCGGGATCCCCTTTTCGTTTTCTTTTGTTTAAGCGGACATCAGCACCCGCCGGGCCTACTGCATGAGGTATCGTAGAGTGGAAAACCTGGTGTTGCGCAAAACACGGGGTGTTATTAGCCAGGACAGCAAGTAGTAGGCCTTGGCTCCAAAACTTTGGGCAGGCAATCAAGCTAGGCGTCTCGAGGATATCAGGGGAAACAGAGCAAAGCAAGAGTGTGTGTGTGGGAAGAGCGGGTACTTGCATGTGAAGTTGGCTTTGCAGCGAACAAGGAGGCATTGTAGCCGGTGTTGTTTGGGTGGCCCATCTTGTGTTCCCTCAGTTCGAGGTAAAGCAATTGCCTAGATAGGGGGTAGGAGGTTGGTGGTCCGTGTCGTGTGTGAGGATTGGTCGCCTTGGGACGAGTGTGGTCAGGGAACCCAGATGCAACACGCGAGTTGATGTGACGACGAGGAAGCTCATTCACGGGGGTCAAACCGGAACCACGCTGGATCTAGCAAGCATAATTCGTTCGCGGCAGACGTGATTGTCATGGAGCGGGATGAGAGCAGCCTCCGAGCACCCAAACATGGCAAGGCACGAGGGAAGCCGGTGAGGATGACGAGGCCGGGTAGGCAAATCCTGTGGGGTCGGCTCGGCCTTGGGGAAGGTAAGGTACTGTTGTAGTAGGACTGTAGGAGGAGGGCCACGCAGCACGTTGCACGAGGGCGGCCAACAAGGGGGCGGCGATGAGACGAAAAAGGGGGCAGAACGGCCCAGCGGAACGAGGCGGAGGAAAGTAGAGGCGACAACTAATGACGAGGGCGGGCGCTCAATCTGGAGAGGTGTGTACTTTGATGTTATCGGCGGACCTGTAGATGAAGCAGCCCTGGCCGTGACCCAAACATGGGAGCGTCTGAAAAAGGAGTGGAAGCCCTGGAAGGAAACCTGGGTGTTTGGGCTTGCCGCGAGGTTGCGTTGACGGGACACAGAGGTTAAGCTTGATTCCAACAAGTGTGGTTGTGTGTGTGTGTAAGAGGAAACCCCGGGGCCCCTTGATTTGTCAACAGAGAGAGGGCAGAAAACCTGAGCCTGAGACTGGGAGAGAGAGATGAGGCGGAGAGTGAGTAAGTGGTTCGCGGTGCAAAAAAACCGCGTGAGGGAAGCGGGCGTGTATACATTGGGGAGGGTAACGTAAACGTGACACTGTCAGTCAGGTCCCTCTCTATTACTGGTACTAAGTCCGAGGGGAGCAATGAAGAGGGCCTCGGCTGGCTATACCACCATCATCTTTTTACTAACGCTGCTGCTGACTGACCAGGGGGGTGGACTGCCCAGCGAGCGTGTGCTAGGATGTTGAACGTGACTTTGCCGTAGCGAAGCAGCTGAGGTGTGTGAGAGGCCAGAAGCTGAGCCAGACGTGGGAGGGCAGCCTGTACTACGGCGCAGGCATGTGTGTGCCCCGCCATCTGTGATACGTGAGATGCCCGATAGGAGACCTCCCGAGATAACAGCCACGATCGAGGTTAGCGAGGGGTAAAGGTAGGTGTCGACAGCTGACTGTGATAAACTATGAGGAGTCCGTCGTAGTGTCAGTCAGTTGGAACGGCGTCGGCGAAGCCTCCGAATGAGGTGATTGACCAATCTGATTCGCGTAAATGAATGTATTTGCATGCCTTGTTCTGCATACTCATACTTTGTCGCTTTGTCTGCTCGGCGGCTACTATTCGTACCAGTGAGTGCAACAGACATCTTGGGCTGGACAAGCCGGCAGACTACCTGTCAGCCTGTCAGAGGCTGTTACATACAGTCTGTTGGGTTGGGTTTCCTGCCTTGTGGAGTGCATAGTTGGGACGGCAGCTGGACGACGTTGGACGTCCCATGAGGCCATCCACTGTTGCATTGGCATGTTGATAACCTCATGCCATGAGACAAGTCGTCATCACGGGATGTGGGCCCTTTACAGCTGGGTAAGGGACCTTGGGGACCTTGATCAAAGGCTTAAGTTGTCCCGCGTGGGGTGGGAACGGTGGATACCTACTCGCCACTGCTCATGGTATTCAGAAGCAGCCTAATGACCAACGACGTCGGTGTTTCTTGAGACTTGTCCCAGACTTTAACGGATCCAAGCTTTCTCGCAATTCGTCGAAGAAAAGACTTGATGAACGGATGAGAAGAATCCGATTTCTGCGTAGGACGAGGACGCTGAAAACAACCCGAGTGCCGGTCAAGAGCAAGGGCAGGCCTTGGAACTTGGAACCTGAGATCACGGTCTGGATGTCGTGTAATGGTGGGAAGACCTCCGAGTTGTGACACTGTTGTCTCGAGGATCAGTGGTTCTGTGTGGGAAGCGAGTGAGAAAAGAAGCATTCCAATGCGCTGCTGGTAAAAAAAAAAAAAAAAAAAAAAAAAAAAAAAAAAAAAAAAAAAAAAAAAAGATAATAATAATAAAAATGATCAAAATTAAAAAAAAAAAGGCGAGGGAGCTTTATCACATTTGGGAGGAGGGACCAGGAAAGAACCAGCCATGAGGGTATTTGAGAAGAACTCTTTGAGCTGCCCCTGCTGCCTCTCATTGGGTGACGGCCTAGGTACACCAGTCAATTCTCACGGCGTTCAACCAGTTTTCGGGAAGGCAATAAAGCTGGGGAAGCTGCCTTGCCTTGAAACCGAGGTGCAAATCGTTCAAATAAAGGCACAAGGGCGTGAATATTCTTGGATGTATGAATGATGGGTGGTGTCCATGGTGCGCTAATAGTAGTGTAGCATCCCAGCTCTTGGATGGCGGGGTTGGTTGGCGATTGGGAACGAAACGACGAGGGAAGCCGGCGACCTCGATCCATGTCCCTGCCTGCCCCTCGATGCCCCTCGATGCCCCTTGTTGCCCAACACTCGCTGTCGACACATGTGGACACATCTGGCATCGTAACCAAGGGACGTAGTCTGATGCTGAAGACCACTAGATCCACGTTCGACGAGCCGTCACAAATGATGGCAGGCTGAAGACTGGACTGCCAGTGAGTGAGGAAAAGAGACATGCAGCCCCAGGAAGGACTGGAGTGTCTGGTGAGTGGAGTGGAAGATGAATGGAGGCGCCCAGATGGATAAGGTGAAAAAGGGAAAGAAGTGAACAGCCCGTTCCATCCCGTGTCAGTGCAATTGCCATTCAAGTTCCCTTGTCATTGCCAGTCACGGTGCAGTGCATCATGGTTCAGTTCGGATGCCTGTTCGACCAACGGGACTGCAGCGTTGAAGGAAACCGGCGTGTGCAACGTGAGTGTTCCTTCCACATTCAAAAGTTGACGCCGAATGGAAAGTGCAGTGCATCGCTGCGGGTTCCATGTCGCGCTTGACAGAATGACAGTACATAGCAATACACGTTACGACGGGATTCGACAAGTCGCCCACGGCGAAACCTCCGAGACGTACGCTGGCTCCCATTACCCGGTAACATGTTGTCGGCACGATCAATCTATGTATGTATATATGTCGATGCATCCTGTGACCGTGTCTGGACGACAATGAAAGATCCAAAGTGGGTGACCTGTGGATGGTGTTTGTTCTGTTGGACATGTAATGATAATTTTCATCCTTGGGACTTGTACTATCAAAGCTACCTTCACTTGGCCCAGTGTAACTGCGACAACAAATGTATTTTTTGATAAAAGGCGACGGTGTCGAAACATACAGTGCCTGCCGCCACTCACTGCCCTGTCTTATATCCATGTCACCCGACTGCAGGCGGCCCGGGGTGGCTTGTTGCTCCTTCCCGAGTCCTCCTTAGGTCTTCCTCCAAAGTCGTCAACCGTACGCGTCCCGTCTTCCACTTGGGAGAGTCGGCGGACGCAATAGGCATCTTTCCACAGTAGCACAACCTCTGCCAACCTGAAGCAACCTCCAGGAATTTGGAGCCAAGGAACGAACTTGGAGCAACCACCAGCATCAGGCCATTATCCCTTTGAACGTCTCTATTCGCGACCTCTGTCCATCGACGTCTGACGGTGTCTCGTCCTCCACGCCCGCTTCCACCGTGACCTTTTTTTTTTTTTTTTTTTCCTCCTCAACTTTGAACCTCAGACCAGACCGCCGGTACTACCAATCAAGCCAATCAATGGCGCGGTTTTTGTCCAGACATGGTTGATTGACCATCTCGCGTCAATGTCGCCGATCTTCCGTCTTCTCCTGGCCCTGGAAACCCACTTTCCATGGCTACCTCTAGCATCACTCCACCACCGCATACACACACTCGCTCTCTTTCAATTGTTACCAAGTTGAACCGTATCAGTAGTACGTTCAATACAATAATACAGAACGGCAGGACCGCCTATACTCGTCTACTGACACTCTCCGATCCAGACACATCCAACAAGGATAGTCGAACCTTTGAACCCCCGAATCGCAAGCTGTCAAGGCGGATACCCCAAGCTGGATACTCCAGGCTCGCTCCCCGTCCCATGCCCTGATCGTCCTCTTTCTTCAGTCCCTTGATCTGAGGGTTTCGACGACGAGGGCGTACTAGGCCCCGGTGCCCTGGACAAAACCCTTCTTAGCTAGTAACCCTTTTCCTTTCCCTTGCCCTTCTCCTTCTCTTAGTCTCCGGCGGATTGGTCTGGTTACACGAGAGACGGGACGGACAGCCCCAGCTGGACGGAGCATGCAGAGTGGAAGCCACCGCTCATCATACTTTGCTGTCACGGCACATCTCTCGACAGCCATCGAACCCAGCAGCCGGTGCCAGTCGCATTGATCAGCCTTCTCGTTGATGTGCTGGTGGTCTCGCTGTGGTCCCTCGACCGAGAAACGAGACACTCGGCACTGCTTGACTTGACCTCATTGTCCGGAGACCGGATCTTCCAAGCCTGTCATCATGGAACGTCCGCTTTGCCTCCCTGCCGGTCCTTGTTTGTCGAGCTGGCAGCCCGAGGACAGCAACCCGGAAAACATAAGGCGTATTCCCGGATATTGGAATTCTTCGCAGCAAATCTGAAGCAGCCATGTCGACAATCTTCCCCGTCCATGGTTGCAGCGGCGGTGTTGCATAACGCAGTATTACCGTCAACGATAACATGCAGCTCCTCTGGTGCATGACATCAGTTGCCCGCCTCAACGACAGAGCTCTCGTCTTTTTCCAAGGATGATCCGCGAGACCCGCCGTTCAAGCACCAGTTCGCTCCTCCTACAGATGCAACTACACTAGATATTCGGTTTGGTTTAGCTAACAGCATGTCGACATCACCACCACAGCGCCAGCCCCCAAGCTGCCCACTTCTGGAATGCACATCAGGGACATCTTACTGGTCGAGCTTTGGTCCCTGAAAGCCTTCTTCGACTTGCCCCAAACGACTACCACCTTGGTGTAGCAGCCGAGCTCTTGACGTATCAGGTGTCAGCAAGCCCGGCATTGGACGGCTGTCAAGTGATGTACCATCTGAGCTGCATGATGGGGAAAGAAAAATTCTCTACACGAACGACTGTGGGCCCTCAGAAATCCACAAGACACGCCGGGCTCTAACCCAGATCTAAGAATGATGCAGTTCCTACTGCCGGCGGACCCATGGGCCAGGTGAGCAATCATGAACTATCCGTAATCGCCACATGATTGCTTATACCGGTGAACCAGGAGCATGGAGCCTTTGTTCGTCCATTCCTCTTCGGACTATCAGAGTCTCCCCGAGTTCGACAATGGATTTTATCCGATATAGTCCTTCGTCCTAAGCTTATTTTTTTACAACGCATCTTTTCTCAAGGGTCCGCGCGCCAACGGGGGGGCCACTGTCAGTCGTGTCCGAAGGAACATATGCCGCTAATTCCAAGCCCCCTCATTTTCCATTGCTGGACCAATATTGGCTCTTGCCACGGGAATACGTCGTCTCAGCATTCTCCTCCGTGCTCGACTTGATTCCATGACACCCACCGGTCTAACCCACAGGACGACCGCCCTCGCCACGAGTCCACGAACGCCCAACGATGTGCGATAACGGATGCCGGCTTGGTCTTGTCAAATTTGGGCCTCTCCGCACGGGATGTTGAGCGACCTTGGGCGTCGAGATGCTTCACAAAAGGCAAGCTGTTTGATGACCCACACAAATGTGCCCCCTTCCGTTGCCCCCTGGGACAGTCTCTGCCAGGCCAATCATCAACCTCTAGTAGGCCAACAAACACGAATGTCTCCGTTGAACAGGGCACCGACGAGAAAGACATAAATGGCGTTCCTTTTCTTCACGATGATACCCAGGTGACGACTGCTCTACCACCCCTCATCTGACATATCGACTTCTCATCTTCACATATGCTTCTGACTGCCTTATTCTTGGATTCCTGTGCCTGACATGGAGAAGCTCGGAACTATCAAGGCTCGGGAGGAACCACTGCAGCGAGAGTCTGGTGCTCCCACTCCAAATAATCTCAACCTCGGTCTTGTTGGTTCGATGGCTGGGAATGTCATCCTCCCTCCCAAGTCACCTGTTATTCACGTAGACGAAAAGGGGATCGAGGAAGTTCGGCAAGCACTGCAAGCCTGCGCCGGTCAGTACCATATGTTCATGTACGACAAAATATAGCAATCTCTGACGCTATCCAGACCTTGGACTCGCTGGGGATACGATCAACAAGGCCAGCTTTCCCCTCCCCACTTTCCATGTCGTGCTGGATGAGGCCAGGCGTCAAGTCCATGAAGGTCAGGGGTTCGTCATTATCAGGGGCATCGGCCTTTCTGATTCGGCCCAGAATAACAACAACATGTTCCTGGGCTTGGCGAGCTACATCGGAGATGTAAGAGGTGCTCAGGACAAGCAAGGGTCCATGCTCAGTAAGTATACCAACCTTGAGAGCTACCTGGTACTCCTATGGCTTCCCATGGCAGCACAAAAGTTACTGACAAGTATCTGATAGCTCATGTAACTGCTTCCAAATCATGGACTGTTCCTCCTGAACTCCGTCACGGTATCCACACCAACACCGGCTTGGTAAGTCTTCATGTTCTGTTAACTCTCATGCATAAATCAAAGCCCGGCATTCGAACAACTTGCTAATGTACAATAGGCTTGGCATAATGATATGGGCACCGATGTGATTGCGCTTCACATTCGATCATTGGCCGAGGAGGGCGGTAACACCTTCGTGGCTTCTTCATGGACCATATACAAGGAATTGGCGACGTCATACCCCCAAGTTCTTGAACTTTTGTGTGAGCCATGCTGGCCAATCCAAGTGTACGTCCCTGGAAATCTTGTTGTCTTTCGGCTAGTCCCGAGATACAACCTGTCACATCCCAAAAACCCATTTTCTCAAGCATGTGCTGACGCTGCAGGGGTTATCCATAGTTCTGGAAATCCTCCCCGACACATTGTCGCACCTTTGGTGCAAATCTACAACAATAGGGTCTATCTCAGCGCCGATCCGGGCCGTCTAGGTCTCCATCCCGTCACCGCTAAAGCCTGCCTGAGCTCTTCCATTCCAAGCCTCACCACTTCGCACCTCCAAGCCCTTGAAATTCTATCTGAGCTCGCGACCAAACATCGGTTGATGCTAGATACTAAGCCCGGGGATGTGCTTTTCATCAACAACTGGGCCCTCATACACGCGAGGGATTCGTACAAGGATCCGAAAGACGGCCCCGGCCGTCACCTCGTTAGATTGTGGCTCAGGGATTCCGAGTTAGGTTGGAAGGTCCCCGAGTCCATGAAGGTGCCCTGGGAGGCCACCTTTGGCCCCAATGGAGACGGATATCCGACTGGAGTTACGCGCAGAGAATATCCGCTTGCTCCGTCCCACGAGTACAAGCCACCAAAGTACACGGCTGGCTCGGCAGCATTTGTCCTGGACGATGAAGATGAAGTGAATGGCGGAAATACCGAGCCATGAAACTCAACCTGAATCTAGGGTCAGCATCTCGTTTTGTACCATTGCGAAATCATTCAGTCCGGGCCGCTACAAGTGGTTGTTTTCCAATGTTTCCCCCGCAATGCCTTTGTCGTCTTATTGTCACGCCTCATATCACGCGTCATGACTTACGAACTCTCACAATTTCTCTTCCTCTTCTTTCATAGGGTCTCAAAAGCGTACACGAATAGAGACAGGATCACACAGGAGGGGTTTTCAATGCGTGGCAGAGTCTCATGAACTGGGATGGTTTGTACATCACCAAGGTCTACACCGTTGAGATGCGAAAGCACGTTTGATCACAAAGAAAACAATAACCCCTCCTTGGGTTTCAGACACATACCAAGCCGAGAATTCAACAATGCTCGTAGCATCCGTTTCGAAATCCCACTCCCAACCTGATGCGTCAGCTGTACTTCCCAATGAGCTCCGTCCATTCACGCACCGATGTATCTGTATCCAAGTGAGCGGGTTCTCAGGGACGTTGTGAATAAACCGCCAGGAATCAACCCGTGCCCCTGTTCTTCCGCCGGCTCAAGGCGCGCGATGGAACCTTAGCAGGGACCAGGGTCGCGGGGATGTAGCTTCTGTCACTCTTCGGGACGCTCGATGTGCTGTAGACCGCATGACGCATCTACACCACACAGTTGTACCGGATATGCTTTGTGGATAATACAAGGTTTATGAGCCAATCCGGTTTGGAAGATGCTGCATATGCAGAGCTACGAACAAGTCCAGAACAACGCCCGAGTATGGCTATCCCCGAGTGAGGGTTCCGTTGTGACTGAAAATTTGCGGTATGCCAGATGCCAACTACACCACTTTGATGCAAAAACGACGGTACTGGATGAAACGGTGACTGCTGGGAATACTTGGTAAACTCGATCCATTTCCGAAAACGTCGTTGCAAGATCCGCGAGATACCCATCCACAACATTATGGCGGCTCTTCACCATGTATTTTGCTCTTCACGCCCGCTACATTGCGACTACATACATTTGCCTTGGCCTCTGACTTGCACTGGATGAATCCATTTGTCTGGCAACCTCGACAAATCGGGGAAAGTTAACCCTCCACATTTCCTGCGTTGTGCTGGTCACAGCTCTGCCTCTTCAGCATCAAGTCGTGGTAACAATTAAGTGCCTCGTCACCGTGAACGCAGAGGCCAGAGGTCTTGAGAGTTCCATTCCTTTACTCTGCCAATGGGAAACTTTTTAGTGTACCTCGACTTGACGTTGCGCGAGAACTGTCTAGAAGAGTCGGCTTGATGGGGTTACAGTTTATCCCATGTGGGGACAAACAACGAACAAGGTACTACAGCCATCAGTGATACTGATCCCCTTGAACAGTGCTGGCAGTTAACTCGGGGTTTGACTCTAAAAAGGCCTCCCTACGATAAGACGAAAGAGAATGCGGTTTTGGCTTCAATAGCCAACAATCCTATGTCGGCCGAGACTTACCACGCGACAACGCTTCATGTTAGCCTTCAATTCCGATAAGGAGTATTCTATACGTTTCTAGCAACCCACGATATATGGGATAAAAGACATTGCAAAAGCTGACTGAAGCATGCTGTTACGTACAACAATCACAGACGCTCGCTATACAGCATAAGCAGCCCCGAGTCAAGGGGATACATGCAGTACCTTTTTCGTTCACTCGATCTATGTGTTTATCCTGAGCTCTTGGGCGAGGTACATGTCAGGAGCGGCTTACATATTGGTCCTGTGAGCCGTGCCAAGCTGTGAGATGGTGTTCAGGATATGGAAGAAGAGGCGAGAGTACCAGGATTTCCGCCCGGATTTGGCTAATGCTTCCGAGCGAGTCCCCCAAAAGCTGATACGAAGCGAGCCATTATTGAGTACACTCATCCAACACCAGCGGAACACTTCAAACAATAGAGTACAGAGCACGAAAGAAGTTCCAAGATCCCACGACGATACTGAAGGATTGCTGTGCAGCATACAGACTATCGCAGATGAAAGGCTTTCGCCTTTTTCTTGTTTCTTTCATTATTGTTGGGCCTCTCCTAATCCTACATGCTCGTCTTGACAAGATGGCGGGTCGGTCTGGCGGATACTTGGATACCATGACTAGCTCAAGGCGGTCATGGTGCGTCTTCAACCGGCCTTCAAAAGGTACCTACCTGCCTTGCAACGAAACGAAACCCCTGATAATATGGTTAATCCCACCCTGTCATCGAGACGATGTGTCTCCCCTCAACTGGCATTCCCGCAACATTGTCGCTACCGAAGACGGAATAGCATGCCGCGCTTGCTACTCTTGATCCTCTGTGGCCAGCTGCTCCAAGCCGGCAATTGGACCTTGCAGTCTTGCTCTATCACCCCACAACACTGCTTGCCGCGCCGCTGCTCTCAAATCCCTTCGCTTTCTTGAAGACAGCATTCACACGCAGAGATCGGTGATCATGGCCATGATCGGGGTTGATGAATATTTGTGTGTGTCATTGCATACTTGAGCAGGGGCCGTCCTGATGGGATTACTTCTGCAATGTGACCACCGCCAGAAAGATGAGAGGCAGTGCGCTGTACACATTCCTTTCCTGCCCTCTCCGTCGTCGTCTTGGACAAGGGACATGGATGGTGAGATGCATATTCTCGGGCAATCTGGTTCCAGAAAAGGCGATAAGAGTTTGGACACGTTACATGTTGGGCAGTGAAGAGTCGGCCTCTGAGACATGGCGCACCATTCGTATCGTTCCTGAACCTATCATAGGCGGGGGGGTTCGAAGAGACTTCTCTACAGTGAGATTTCAGCACCCACCGATCCAGGTCAAGCACCTACGAATGAGTGCTTGAACGTACCCCGAACCATGTCCCAAGCTTCGTCGTATCCTCGCACAGGCCAGGCTAACCAACTGTGTATCAATATTTACAAAACCAGGCGTGGGCCGCAAGCGAGTTTCCGCTTTTCAACCGGTCTAGGAGGGATGCACATCGACTGAGTCTGAGGAGTCCCAAAATTCATGATAATGTGCCGAGGTTGCTACCGTGCTACAAGAGTATCCAAGATCAACGACACCACTGTCCACCAGTGATACTGGGCGAGATGAAGAATCCACCTCATCAACTACCCTACCACTACCATTTTGCTACTTATTTTCAGCACCGCGAGCTTGTAATGGCACATCGGCTTCAAGGTTCCGACAGCTTGTGAATAAGATAGTCCAACAAGCGCACCAATACGTGGGAATGGTGGCTGGCACTTAACCCCAAGTCTCGAATCAGCATGGAGGAGTCAACCAGCAGCTTGTGCTACAGTCTTCGGTCCACATCGTATGATGTATCCGACTGTACACTAGGAAGTACCGCCCGGCATCCCGCCCGGTTACGACGACAAGGTTTCGCATTCCGGGGAGAAAGGAATCGTCCAGAGAGGTTCATCTTCGTCATTCTACGGTCTTGGTCTTGATCTCTGGCTCCACACAAACTCAATACAAGGTATAATGGTGTGCTCCAGATATCCACTGCACCGTCTTGTCTCTCATGAACGGGTCAAAGGCCAACTCACATTCGGAGGTGACGCGAATGGAGTCAGACAGGGTGATTAGTTATACGGCTGTTCTTGCTAGGGGCCAATCCACCATGGCGGCGGTGTTCACAATAGCCATTTCAGATTCGAGACCAGGTCGCCGTCAGGACAGCATGAAGACAAATAGGCACACGTTGCCATCGATATTGCTTTAGGCAGGTGCTGTAGTAAGTCAAGACACCCTTAGGGGGCTCTGACAAGCTCCCATCGTCCAACTCCAGGGGAAAGCATCCGGGTTTATCCCAGTCCGATGCACCACGTATTCCCATCCAGATCATGAAAACACCCACTAACTTATCAGCCACTGCATCAGTGACAGTACGGAAATCTTCAGGTATCACATTCGCCAATTCGTATGTGTGGTTCGTTCCTCATGGGAAGCACTGGCTTGAGCCGGAGGGTTCCTTATGTACTTGCTATCAAAGCTTCAGTACATGATGGAAAAGTAAGCAAGCCGACAGCTGTCTCATACTTAACACTAACACTAGCAAGCGCAACGATACCCCCCCTGCTACGTGTCTCCTATGTTGTTGGGGCACGATTGAGCCGTGTCAGCCTCACGATCTTGAGCAGGCAATGAAATGAGCTTGCTATATATTTTCTTGTATAGCGACATAGGTAAGCTCTTTATTCGAATTTTCCATTTGTGGCATCTTGGCGAGGAAGGGAAAGGGGCCAGTGCCAAGACCTCCGCTCTTTGTTGATACCGGCCAGAATCACGCGGGCAAGGCGGGTGGATAGGTATTTAACGGTTGACCTGCTCTAGCTCACCTTAGAGCCAGGGCAGCTTCCCGAGTGAGTTACACGGGCCGCTGTGCTAGGCCATGGGCACCGATGGGCAAGCGCTCAAAAGCCCGATTGGGATTAGAAGCTTGGCGATCTGCTTGCCAGCAATTCACCCTAGCGGTTAAGCGGTTGCTAACGACGTCTTCACCTCCTAGCTTCTAAATAGTGGCACCCAGCAGATCTGTTCTACCTTACTGTATGCGTGTCCAGCTATGATAGATCGAGGACCGAGACAAGTCATGAGCGCGACGGAGTACGTGTGATGGCAGTGTGATGTGAATGATCGCCTGGTGTTCTTCACCATCACTTCTATACTGCCGTTTGCAGTGCCCGTGATGAGCTTGAGATCTTGCCGCGGTCACATCAAAGCTGATATAAAAAAATGATAGAGTGCCAACGAACGGATACCTCGTCGCCAAACAGCAGAGGCTTCCCGTGGTGGATCTCAGGGACGGAGTGATGAGAAATCAAGCACTAGCGCATAACGTTATTCCACCACCACCGGCCCGCCGGGGAATAACGTCCGATATGGTGTACAGTTACCCGCCACTTACCGCACACTGCGCTCCATGTCGAACCTACGACGACAGGAGATTCTCTGGGATCACGAGGGCTGGAAGTGGAACAAAATTCGGTCAAATCCGCGGGCCATTTCCATATAACAGGGCCAACAGCATTCGCCCAAGGTTTGCTACACCTTTCGCATCCGGCTCTACCTCCTTGGCACCGGAGATGCTGGATTTCGACATCCCGGATATCAGGTGTCGAATATCAAAGGGAAGAGATTTTCATGACTGAATGACTCCACGGCTCTCTGCATGTCAGGATGGGCACGGCATATTCTGCGGCTGACGCGGAGGCATGAAAGAGATGGAATGATACCAATCGGAGAAAAGTTCGAAGATTTTGACAAGAGACAAGCTTCCTTTGTTCTTTGTTTATGCACAATCAATGCCATTTCTGCATGTACCCTTCTAATTGTCCAGTCATTCCCCTCCAATTCACTTTCAACCCAGCTCCAGTTGGCTCTCCTGCCCCATCCCATTTCGCCAGTGCGCCTACAAGCCGCCCAGCCCAGCCTTGTTCGCGAAGTAAGCCAGCCAGCAAGGGTGGATTGCGATCGATGAGTTGCGTGACAGGTACCAGTAGGTCACCGCAGCTGCAACAACCCTGGAGGATTGTGCCCGTGTAATCACTGCAATGTGTACGCACGCAATCCACGCCGTCGACGTACGACATTTGAAGGATTTAGAGTTCTTGGCCCATCGCGATTCTGAGACTGAACTCTTAGAGAAAGAAAAAAAAAAAAAAAAAAAAAAAAGAACCCGTCCAAGGGAAGAAGAAGCATTGAACATTGTGAAGGGAGAACATGAAGGTTCTGGGAGATAGGATGGCGATGTGGGATCTTGGACTGGGCGCTTGCGCCAGGGTAGCCGGGATTTTCAGGAGGAGGGTGGTATTTACTTCACGATCGTGCAGCGTTAGGCAGTGCATGGACATTGCCTGAAGTTCGGGACAACCGATGACATACTGGACATTCTACCCAAGCGCTAACACTTCTCAGACTAGGTAAACTTCAATGACAACATGCGAAACATATCAACAAAACTAAATTTCGACACGCAGGCGCAACTCAGCTGCTACTCCTCCTTTGTCGGACGGCCGCAGACGCAGCGGTGTGGACGAGAGCACAACGCGAACAGTTGAAGCAGACCCAAGCTTGGGCAATGGGGTATCGAAAGTTGCGATAGAGGCCACTGGCCGGCGCAGAAACGCCTCGAAAGTTACAACAGAACGAATGATTCCAGTATCTCTCTCGGGCGCACTCCTACACCAAACGGCCAGACAGCCATCGACCTACATCCCTTCCCGACCCTTCATCTTCGTCGCCCGGCCAGGTACCAAAAGCACTCGATACTACCGGTCCACTAGCAGCAGCACATCTCTCCAATGAGTTCGTTCCCGAACCAGAGTTCTACATACACTATTAGTTACTACAGCCGGGCAAGCCCCGCCTCCTATCTCAAGAAGAACTATCGAGGTAACAACGCGATAGATACAACGACATTCGAAACAATAACACCTTGCGGCAGCAGTTATCACTAGCGCAGCCGACCGACCGATAATATAACCACATCTGTACGCTTGCTCGCAAGCTACTATAGTACGCCGGCCCAACCCACACCACAACTCCCTTCGAGCAAAGAAAGCGCCCTTTACGACAAATGGTACAAGAGGAGGACAAGCGTTGAGGCTCCGATGTGCAACGTTGGGCTGATCCATCACTAAGATTGCGGCTCTTCCAGTTCCCACAAATCGAAGTAAGGGATACCCGGCTTCAGACAGCGACACGGCTTATCAACTACAAAGCCGAACAACACACACGAAAAATGGTTTCACAGTCGAAGCAACAGCGATCAATACAAGAAAACACGAACAAAAAAAACATGATCCGGAAGGATACGGTTCTAGGTAACAGGGCGGTGGTGGGAGGGGTGGAACGCGGTGATGAATTTCGAAGGCTGGAGTAATCATGCTCGAGCTCCACGCGATCATTGGAACCCAGTCGATTTCGGAACATGCTGCATCGGCCGCACTCGAGTGTCACTGATACTCATCCCAATCGTTAATCGGTACAAGAGATGAAGCGATCGACACGATCGGACGCAAAATTAACCGCGATATATACCTATATATCAGGGCCGCTCAAGGGAATGTGAATATCGTGGCCGTTATCAATGCCGGATGTCGTCAAAACATGATCGACGACAAGAGCAACCACCCCGGTCCAGGACTTGCCCTGATTGGCCGCGGTTTTCGAAATCGGAATAGGCACGGGCACTTTTTCATGCTATCAGCGCCGATACCCGCGCTCCCGTCAGCGCTATCGTACGATCACAACGACGGGAGCCTAGAGTGGAAACTTTGCTGCGAAACTAGAATAGCTCGGCGCTGCGGGCCGTGCCGTGCCGTGTCGTGCCGTTCCCCTCGCGCAGTTTTTGCCTCATCTGTCGAGCTTCGCACTTTGTCATATCCTCGGTATAGTACCTATCTAGCAAAACTTATAGGTATACAGTCTGGGGAAAGAATGAAGAGAAGAGAAGGCGGCTGACCAACCACGGCACGGCACGGCACTGTGTCGCGTCGCGTATGTGCTTTGGGGCTGAACTGTTTCAACTTTCAGGTGTGGATTTGAGGCCCTTCATTCGGCTTTTCAGCTGTCCCAAGAAAAAGAGCGGGAACCTGGAATCCACTTTGACACATCAAGAACGGAGTCGAGTCCGGTCGTTGTGACAGGACAGGACAGAACAGGGTTAACGACGGCGGATATACTCGGTTTGGCAAGCAACCGGTAGTACCCTAGTGTAGCTATCTGCTCTAAGCAGGTACATAGCATGTTCGACGTGACTGACTGGACATCGAGGCACTCAGTTCACTTGCTGTCTCGTTCGTTTGTTCGTCCGTTCGTTCGTTCGTTCGTTCGTTCGTCCGTCGTTCACTCGTGGACCTGGAAAATTGCAATTACCTAAGGTAGGTATGGACCATCATTATCCATCGGCCAGAGAAGACCGCGTAGGATATAGCTCATCTGGCCTGGCATTGGCTGGCGATTTACACAAACATAACATACTCGTTTTGCGGTTTGGGGAGCTACTGAATCCTCGAGCTAGAGGTACTTTCACTCCTCGCTCGGTCGTCGTAAAACCATGACGGCTCCGGAAACATCAAATACTTGGAGGTAGTTTAGAGATTGATAGCATCATACGAAGGAGCAAGAGGAGACGGTAGAGAGACAGAGCTGGCGGTCTGGTGGTCGCGCATAAAGGTACCCACTGGTATATTCCGCTCTGTAAAAGGTTTGTCATCTCCATGGAAGGAACATACGGCGTGAACTCAAATTTCGTGGTTCCTAAGGTAGGTAGAAGTAGGTTCTTGAAGTCCGCAAGTTGAGCGTCAAGGAAAAGCCAATCCCGTCGTAGTTTCTGGTGTATATACTAAGGTAGCTCGTAGTCTAAACCAATGACCTCCTGTCCGCTAGTAACATAGTGTACGACTACACCGTCGGCAGGCCATATAACCCAAGACCACAGAACGGAAGCCATACCTAGGTACCTCTAGGTGCCTACCTACCTAACTTACCTACCTTACTTATGTACCTAGGTCTACGAAGAAAAAAAAAACACAGTCGAGTCGAGCTGAGCCGAGCTGAGATCTAAGATCTAAGATCTAAGATCGAAAATCCATTCTAGTTTAGAGTGCTAGGGACAAACCTAACAGCCTTTTAAGAGCTACCTCTAAGTAGGCTATTTCTACTAATGTTTCCCTTCCTAGAGGTACCTAAGGTGCCTACCTACCTACCTACCTACCTACCTACCTACCTACCTACCTACCTACCTACCTACCTACCTACCTACCTACCTACCTACCTACCTACCTACCTACGCGGGCACGGTTATCAAGCTGGTGCATGTAGGTAGGTAGGTATGTAATTACGAGGGGCGTCTGGTGCGGTCACATTGGTGCTCAGCTCAGCTAGGATGTTGTTGAATTCTAGGGACTCTCTGGATGGATAGGTGAAGGGATGGATGAGAGAAATAGGTATTTATAAGAGAAGGAAAAAGAAGAGAATGGAGACGACATCGAGGACAGAAAAAGAAAAAGAAGGGGGGAGGGGGGAAGGGGGAGGAGAGGAAGAAATGATGGAGCGATTTCACTGCAGCCCTAACTACCTCTACCTCTATGTGGAAACGCGTATACAGAAGAGGGTAGGTAGGTAGGTAGGTACCTAGGTAGGTAGGTAATTACGAGAGGCGTGCGGTCAGATGCTCGGCTCAGCTAGAATTCTGTCAAATCTTTCGGGAATGGATGGATGAATGGGTGGATGAGGAGATAGACATCTTTAAGAGATGAACCCCCCCCCCCCCCCCCCAAAAAAAAAAAAAAAAAAACCATCTTTCTTCTCATTCCCCTCTGTTTCTTTTTTGCCATGTTGACTCTTTTGCGGTGTCTCGGCTTTCCTTCCTCTATTTCCTCTCTCTGTTTCTCTTTCTTCTTTTTTTTACTTTTTTTTTTTTTTTTTTTTTTTTTTTTTTTTTTTTTTTTTTTTTTCTTTGTTTCTCCCTCAGCAACTTCATTGAACCTTCTCCGGAACAGTCAGTTCCATGTCCTCGCGAAGCCCGATAGCCATTTAAACTCGTCGTTATCGAAACTACCTAGGAACTTATCACCTATTTAAAAGTTAAACCCCTCCCCGTCCGTCCGTTGCTCTCGCTTTTCTCACCAGTACTTCTCCAGTGACCAACAGCTACCTATACACATATATATATCAACGCGCATTTGAATATTTGCGGAGACTTCCATAACCGAAAGACATACCATACATAGTCCACGTCCCTCTAGGCCGTACGTAGACTGTCATCGTCTTCAACGCCATGGCTATTAGACATACCATGGTCATTACCTATCTCTACCACCGAACGCACTGGTTTGAAGGGAAGAGGGTAGTTATTTTTTTTCTTTTTTTTTTTTTCTTTAGCTTGATGTCTTTTGCTGGCCATAGCTTGCGAAGCTGGAAAGCCCGCGTTTTGTCTACAAACCTGTGGAGGTGCATGTACCTTCTATGTATGTACATGTTGATGTGGTATAGTGAGTAAGGTAGGTACCTAAACTCATAGTCAAAAAATACTGTCCCCCCCCCCACATGCCTAATGCACCGCATTTATCACCATCCTTCTATAGTACATTTTGCCACTAAAACTAGATATTTCTTAATAATTTTAATTGTAATAGAAAGGTAGAAACTTAATTTAGTATTTAGTATACCAGCCTTTATTCCTTCTAACCGCCTTAAAGCGCCTAGATATTAAATTAATCAAACTATTAATAAACGGTTGAGGGATACAATACTAAATATCTATAAATATCTCTCTAATTCGACATTCATTTACCTTATTCTCTATTAATAAATAGAGCTCTAGGAACTCTTTTTTCAATATCCTCTTCATTCTATTCTAAACGTATTCGATTGGGTTAAAATCCGGACTGTGTGCTGGATGTGCTATATACTAGATGCCTGATAGGGTAACCTGGGTGCTTCCAAATACCACGATGCAATGGGTGCAATACGTAGTATTAGAAGTAAAAGAAGAAGATGATAGAGGAAAAACGGCGTAGCCGAAGGCCGCCCCGCGCGGGAATCCCTTTATAGGAATTCCCTTATCTTATCGCTAGATTATAGCTAGTCTGCAGCTCCTGCGACCGGGCGAGCCAGGCACGTACCAAGGCACGTACCTAGGTACGCTAATACCTTTATTGGGGGTGGGTATAGCTATAAGCCGTGCCTAATTTAATCTACTCAATTAATTTAATTATATATATAATACTTCCTATATTAAGTCCCGGCGCCACAAAGAGAATACTATTATCCTTAATAGGAATAGCCTTACTTCCTTCTTAGTAACTATCTACGATCCTTCTTATTTACAAATCTAACTTTTCGCTAACTATCAACATACGAGTAGAGAGTTCTAACCTTACGTTTATCGGGCCGGTACTTCTAATAATCTTCTACTAAATCCTTAGCCTTATTAAAATCCTTAGTATCTTTCTAATAATTATTATAGTAACTATACCCTTTCTATTTAATATAATACCAAAGTTTACTATTAACCTATTTATAGGTGGCAATCTTTTCTAATTTATATTTAGGACCTTCTTCTAAATTAAAATTACTTTGGGAATTTTCTATTAGTCCCGACGGGGGAGTAAATCGATTAAATAAATCTTTATTATTAGGAGCCGGCTTAAAATAAACTATAAAAATAATTAGGTAGATCTTTATATTCGGGGGTAAATTAAATTTATATATTAAACGTCCAACCTTCTAAATAATTATAAAGGGGCCGGATTATTATTATAAAATCTTGCAAAATAAACGGCTAGGTAAGTAATAACTATAATTAAATTTGAGAAATACTTTATCGCCCACATTTAGACTAACTTACCAATAGCTAGAATTATAGCGAATTTTAGCGTCGACGATAGTAAAATCTATAGCTAATTATACTTCTTAGCGGATATAGTTGCGAATTGTAAGGTTATTTTTAAGGGTATAGGAGGAATTATTTTTATAAGCGTTAGTAATAATATTTAATAATCCTAGCAATTTATAGCCGAATAAGTATTCGTATAAAGATATTTTAATCCCTTCAATAAATATACTATTAAAGTTCTATTAGAGAGAGGGGATAATTAAAAGCTAATTATACCCGAATTTATAATAGAAAATATAAAATTTAATAACGATTTTACTAATCTAATTCTTTTATTCAACGGCTCTATTACCGGCTAAATAATATATAGTTATTATAAGAAGTTTAATTCCTATAGCCGTCCATATTCCCTTCTAGTAAACCAAAGTAAATTTACAATCTTAATTAGAAATAATACTAATTAGGAAACCCTAATTATATAATAAGAATATCCGGATAGTAATAATACCCTATTTAATAACCGTATATTTTTCGTAGTTTAGAATTAGTAGGGATCGTTTAAATATCTTATTAGTAACGGGCATTAAAGCGTTAAATGTATTATAATTAAGTATTTACTAGGGTATATCGGCTAATAATACTTTTAGGAATCTAATAATAAAATTAATTAAAATAATATGTATAAGGAACGCCTCTTCTAATTTAATTAATTAGTAATCTCCAATTAAAATATTATAATCGGTTTAATTAAATTAATAGGCCGGGTAATATTCTAGATATTACTTTACTAATTATATTTTATTCAAAAAGGAAACTCCCTAAAATTCGTATATTATTCAATTTCTACCAAAGTAATACTTATTATTATACACTACCTTTAGGATATCTTTTATAAATTTATAGGAAATATAAAAGTTTTTAGTACTATCAGCCTATTAATTATAAATAAACCCGTTATATAAAAAGAAAGGATAATTAAATTTAGAAAAGATAATATCGCCGTCCTTAACAACCCTCCTATATTATTTTAAATACTCTAGGACCTTTATAAACTTCTTATCTAACATATAAATATTAATATAATTCTTTTAGAATTTTAAATTTATTTATACTTTAAAGAAGGCGTACTATACATTATTTAAATAAATTAAATTAATTATATCCTCCCAAATATTATTTAAAATAGGGACCCCGTCCGGATTTTCTATATTACTAATAACCTTCAACCCACTTAGGGCGTCCGGTACAAAATTCAGCTTACCAGGAATATAAAACACTTTAAACTTATAACCGGACAAATAAATAGAAACGTTAATAAACCTACAATTAGCACAGTCGGTTAATATTATATATAACAAAGTTTATTCAATAATATCCTTCGTAGCTAAATAGTCGGTTAGGACTATTACAAAATAATTATACGAATATAATTAAATATAAAACTTCTTAATAACCTAAACTAAATAAATTACTTCCAATTCCAACAATCCGTAGCGAATCTCAACCTTAGTAAATACTTTACTAAAGAATATAATAAAAAAGACCTAAGAAAAGGGGATATAACTTCCTTCTAATTAATTAATACCTTTTTTTAAATAAAAGAATATAATACTAAATCCTCATTCGAAAGAGCTATCTATTTATAAGAAGGTTTATATTATAAGATCCAGGTGATATAAAATAATAGAATTATTATAAATCGCTTACTACAATATTTTAAAAATTACCTTTTCAACCGGGGTAGGGGTATAATAAATCTTTATACAATAAGCGGCCCATTTTACTAACTTTCCTATTTCTACTTTACCCAACTTACGACCCTCGGCTAGGAAATTAATTTTATAGGTTTATAATAATTTAACAAATTAAACGTAGTAGGGAATTAAATACTATAAAAATCCAATACTATTAATATACTATTCAAATACTTTTAGGTTATTAGGGAAGGCCAACTTCCTAAAAGCTTCAATTCGGTCTTTAATAGTAAATAGGCCGAAGTTATTAATATAAAAACTAAAAAATTCGACGTTAGAATAATTAAAATAGGATTTCTTAGGGGAGAGTACAATATTCTTAAAAATAAATAAAGTAAAAATAACTTCTAAATATTTAAAATAATTATTAATAAAATCGGAGGCTATAATAATATCGTTAATATAGACCCTACAATATACTTTATAATTACAGAGCAATATATTTATAAAATATTATATATACGCAAGAGTATTTTTAAATCCTATTTAAGCGACGGTAGGCTATTCCAATCCTCAGTAAGTAATTAGGGTAAAACAGTCCCTATACCGTAGTTAAACCCCGAATTAATAGAAAAAAGAAATAACATTAATAATTATAATAATAACTTTTCCTCTTATAAACATAATAATTTCGCTTTATAATAGTTATTAGGAACGTAGGCGAAAGGTAGGTTGAGGTGACTACGGTCGTGGCCGTATATAGGGGATAGTAAATTAGGGGTTAATTTAAAGATATATTAATAGTTACCGATTATAATAAGATACGCTCCGTTGAACCTTTTTTATACCTATGTAAATTCTGTTCCTCCGCTAACGAGTATTATAGAGCCTTATATTAGTTTGGCGCTTCGGCGCAGTACTGGATTATCCTTCCCGTAGGTCCGACCTAATATAGGCGTTATTATAAATAATCCTACGCTTCTATTAATAAAGGGGAATAATAATTATTAAGGTACTTCTATATATAAATTCTTAACCTCCTAATACAATCCCCCTCCTTATAGGTTCCATCCTCGGAACTTCTATAATAAACGCCAGGTACTATAGCGTTATCGGGCATTACTCGCCCTAACCGCCGATATTATATTCCGGATTATAGCCGCTCTATCCCCGGCGAATTGCCTATTAGAATATCGATATTACAATATCTATTCTTATAAACTCTAATACAGCTCCAAAGCCGGTATTAGGTCTAAAGAACTAGCGTTCTACCTACTAGAATATTAGTATTATAATATCTATTCTTATAAATTCTAATTTAGATATAAAATTAGTATTAGATTTAAAGCGTTAGTATGCCGCCTATTAGAATATCGGTATTGTAATATTTATTTTTATAAACTCTAATACGGATACGAAACTAATATTAGATTTAAAGTATTAGCATGCCGCCCGCTAGAATATTAATATTATAATATCTATTCTTATAAATTTTAATACGGATACGAAACCAGTATTAAATTTAAAATATTAGCGGGGTTTCCAACTATTATTTAAATTATTATTCCGTAAGTATACGAGGTAGTAAGTTTCATTTTATTTAACGAGGAGTACTACTCCGAATTTAAGAATATTAATAAATACTTTAGAATATTAATATAATTACGCCCTATAATTCCTCCTCCTAAATATTCTCTATTATCTATATTTATAGTACAATTTAATATTTTTATAGGGTACCCTCCATTATTTATACTTATTTCAAAATACTTATATAATTGAAACCTAAGGTTCCTCTCGTAAATTATTCTCTATTATTCGTATTTACTATAATTTATTATAATACTTAGATACAATTCCCCTCCCTATAAATTCCGTCCTTAGGACCTTCGTTTCTATCCTCCGCTTCTTATAATTTTATATATTACTTCCTCTGTAAATTTCCTTTATTTATATTATTCCTTCTTAATTATTTTCCTATTACCTTCGTTTTATTTTTTATATTATTCCCTCCTTTTTAATAATACAATTCTTAACCGCTTCCCCTATTTTCCTTATTGTAATCCAAAGTATATACCTTCCTATTTTCCACTTTTCCCTCCTACTTTTTTATAATTATTATTATTATTTATTTGTTCTATTTTTCCTCTTTTAATTATTACCCTTATTTTATTTTTTTATTTACTCTTTCCCGTTATTTATATAATTATCTAATATTCTATTTACCCTATATTATTTTATATTTATCTACTTTAAATTATATTTATTTACTTTAATTTATATTTATATAGGGACTTCCTCTTTTATTTATATAATATCCCTTCCGTTTACCCTCTTTATTTTTCTTCTCTTTTTCCTCCTATCCTTACTTTTATAATTATATCTATTACCCCTTCCCTTAATTCTATAACCGCTTTGTTTACCCCCTTATTTAAACCGCCCTTTATTACGGATGTGTGTGTTTTTATTGTGTATTTACGTATTAATTTCTATTTCCCTTATAAGCCCGATTAATATATTCGTTTTTCTTTTCTATTTTTTTTTTTTATTTTATCTTTTCCTTCCTTTCGCCTTATATTTATAATTAACTTTTAATTAACTATTCCTTTTTTATCCTTTAATAATATTCGTCTTTTTATTTATTTGGAATATAATATTATTTTAGCTTAAGTATTTACTAACGCCCTAATTTTAAATTTGTATAAAGTACTTTATTTAATTGGTATGTATATTTGTTAGATTAAAGGTACGCTATTTTCCCCTTATTATCTCCCCTATTTTTTTTTTTTTTTTTTTTTTTTTTTTTTTTTTTTTTTTTTTTTTTTTTTTTTTTTTTTTTTACTAACGTCTTCTCCTTCCAGAATTCAACGAGAGATCGCAGTATTCGCTATCGCTACGCTACTACATATTCGAAGTCCCCTATAGTATTTGTAACCTTTGGAATAATATATAGGATATAGCGGCCGAAATTATATACTTTATTAATACCGGTAGCCCCCTACCTACCCCCCTCCTATAGTAGTTATATCAGTCCGTAGTGGCGTTTTGGGTTATAATATAGGCGTGTTTTATTAATAATAGTCTCCCTACGATATTGTTTAGTATATTCCGAATTAGGAACTTCGATTATAAGGGCTATTCGAGATTTAATTACTATAATATTAGTAATATTAATATTAATATTAATCCAATAGCCCTTATTAGTAATCCTATTGCCGGTAATAGCAGCTTTCCTATAAATATTTTTATATTGAATTCTTTTATTCGTATTACCCCCTCCCTTAATTATAATTAGGGTTTTTAATATTAGACGGTTAATAGGAAATTAATATTTATAGATAGGAAATTAGATAAATTATTAGAGTTTACGAGGGAGGACTATAAATAGATAGTATAAGGTAATATTTATAAATATTATCGATAGGCGTAATAGTATACGGGAATATTTCTTTTAAAATTGTAGATTCCAATTCTATATTAACGATAGTGGACGTTGCCGAGGATTTTTTCGTTTGGGGCAATAATGGAAAATGTGGGCTATATTTTATTTAGCGTTTTATTAATATCCTATATTAAATTAAGCTACCTTCCTTTTCTATTTCTCGTTTTCTTTAGTATTTTTATTTTATATTTCCATTTTGCGTTTTTATTTTTATATCCCTACTTTGTATTTTATATTTATATTTTATATTTGCGTTTTGCGTTTGCATTTTACGTTTTACATTTATATTTTACGTTTATATCTTATGTTTTACGTTTGTATTTTGCGTTTGCGTTTTGTATTTGTGTTTTGCGTTTTACGCTTGTGTTTTATATTTGCGTTTTGTATTTGCGTTTTGTATTTTATATTTGTGTTTTGCGTTTGTGTTTTGTATTTTACGTTTGTGTTTTGCGTTTGTATTTTACGTTTTATATTTGTATTTTACATTTATATTTTATATTTTACATTTGTATTTTGTATTTCTACTTTACGGTTTATATTTGTATTTTACGTCTTTACTTTGAATTTCTAAATAATTATTATTCTCCTCCTATTATTTAATTAACCCTTATTAATTTAATAGTCGGCCCGTTATTAGTACGCCGCTATTATATTTCCTTAACTTTATATTTTTTAAGAAGGTCTGAGTAATTTATATTCTTTTATAAAATTTACGAATTTTCATTATTTAAATACCCCTTCTATTTAATTTAGAATTAATATTAGTAATTAAATTTATAATACTTTATAATCGCCTCGACTTCGTACTAAATATTATTTTCCTTAATATCTATAATTTCCTTTTATAATATTACCGTAGCGGGATCCTTATAGTACGGTTCTAGTAGAATAATAGGGAATATTGGGTAGATCTAATAATATATAGGGAATATAAATTAGTATATTATCTTTTTCTCCCTAATAATTTTAGTAATTTAGAAGGGTTTTAAAAATTTATTTATTAATTTGGCGTTTGGGTAGTATTATTTAATATACTTTATATTAAGTAAAATCTAATTTCTAATATTAAACTCCTTTAATTTCTAAATTTTATTATACTATTTTATATACCTTTAATTAATAATTTCTAAGGCTACTACAATTTCTAACTATTTATAAAGTAATTTATTAATTTAATTAGTAGTTATTATCGGAAGGATTATCCTCTATCTTCGCTCTAGGTCCGCTAGTCCCCGAGGATAATATTCGAAGAGTAGTTTTAAGGGGGATTTTTTAATAGCAGTATAGGAATAATTATTATATGTCTATTACGTTAGTGTAATTTTTTCGGCCTAATTGATTTATTTTATATTGTAGAAGATTCGGAGGTATAATTCTAAGTTCTAGTTTTACTTCTCTATTTATCCGTCTATTTAGGGGTATTAAATTATATTAAAGTATTTACAAATATTTAGGAGTTCGTAGTAAATTTTTTAAAATTAATTTGTAAAAAGGCTACTTCTATTTAATATAATTAAATCCGGGAGGCTAAATTATTAGAAGATATTTTATTAGAAGAGGAATATAAATTGCCGAATATCGATTATCTTTTGTGTAGGGATGTATAAAGCGTATTTAGTAAAGTGGTTAATAATAACGAGGATTATATTGTAAGTCCGATTAAATACGGGGTTAAATAATTTTAGTATTTTAGTAATAAAGTCGTATAAAATATTTTATTAAGGGATAGTAAAGATAGATAACGATTCTAATAGCCTATATAGTTAGTAGTTATAAGGTTTAGCCTTTTAGTACGTTAGATATTCGTAGATATGTAATTCGACGTCGGTTATAATAGTAGGTTAATAATAGAATTAATTAATACGTTTTAACGTTTTCCTTTAATTCGGATATCCTATTATTGTTGTATCGTAGTAGGCGTAGAGTAATTCGGCCTATATCCGTTCTAGGATATAGATTTAGTATTAATATTATAGAGTTCTATCTTCCCCTATCTTTTAATTTTTCGTCCGTCTCCTCCTTTCAT